TTATTAGTTATTACTGCGTTATTACAGCGTTATTACAGCGTTATTAGTTATTACAGCGTTATTACTGCGTTATTACAGCGTTATTACTGCGTTATTACAGCGTTATTACAGTGTTATTATATCGTTATTAGTTATTACAGCGTTATTATTGCGTTATTACTGTGTTATTACAGCGTTATTACTGCGTTATTATATCGTATTATTACTGCGTTATTACTGCGTTATTACTGCGTTATTAGTTATTACAGCGTTATTACAGCGTTATTACAGCGTTATTACAGCGTTATTACTGCGTTATTACTGCGTTATTATATCGTTATTAGTTATTACAGCGTTATTATTGCGTTATTACTGTGTTATTACAGCGTTATTACTGCGTTATTATATCGTATTGTTACTGCGTTATTACTGCGTTATTACTGCGTTATTAGTTATTACAGCGTTATTACAGCGTTATTACTGCGTTATTACTGCGTTATTATATCGTTAGTTATTACAGCGTTATTACAGCGTTATTAGTTATTACGGCGTTATTACAGCTTTATTACAGCGTTATTACTTATTACAGCGTTATTACAGCGTTATTACAGCGTTATTATATCGTTATTAGTTATTACAGCGTTATTACAGCGTTATTACAGTGTTATTATATCGTTATTCGGTATAACAGCGTTATTAGTGTTATTATATCGTTATTAATGTTATTATATCGTTATTAGTTATTACAGCGTTATTACAGCGTTATTAGTGTTATATCGTTATTAGTTATTACAGCGTTATTACAGTGTTATTAGTGTTATATCGTTATTAGTTATTACAGCGTTATTACAGTGTTATTATATCGTTATTCGTTATTACAGCGTTATTAGTGTTATTATATCGTTATTAATGTTATTATATCGTTATTAGTTATTACAGCGTTATTACAGCGTTATTACAGCGTTGTTAGTTATTACAGCTTTATTACAGCGTTATTACAGTGTTATTAGTGTTATTATATCGTTATTAGTTATTACAGCGTTATTACAGCGTTATTAGTTATTACGTTATTACAGCGTTATTAGTTACTACAGTGTTATTAGTGTTATTATATCGTTAGTTATTACAGCGTTATTACAGCGTTATTAGTTATTACAGCGTTATTACAGCGTTATTACAGCGTTGTTAGTTATTACAGCTTTATTACTGCGTTATTACAGTGTTATTAGCGTTATTATATCGTTATTAGTTATTACAGCGTTATTACAGCATTATTAGTTATTACGTTATTACAGCGTTATTAGTTACTACAGTGTTATTAGTGTTATTATATCGTTAGTTATTACAGCGTTATTACTTATTACAGCGTTATTACAGTGTTATTAGTTATTACAGCGTTATTACAGCGTTATTAGTTATTACAGCGTTATTAGTGTTATATCGTTATTAGTTATTACAGCGTTATTTCAGCGTTATTAGTTATTACAGCGTTATTAGTTACTACAGTGTTATTAGTGTTATTATATCGTTAGTTATTACAGCGTTATTACAGCGTTATTACTTATTACAGCGTTATTACAGCGTTATTACAGTGTTATTACAGTGTTATTAGTTATTACAGCGTTATTACAGCGTTATTAGTTATTACAGCGTTATTACAGCGTTATTAGTTATTACAGTGTTATTAGTGTTATATCGTTATTAGTTATTACAGCGTTATTTCAGCGTTATTACTGCGTTATTAGTTATTACAGCGTTATTACAGCGTTGTTAGTTATTACAGCTTTATTACTGCGTTATTACAGTGTTATTAGCGTTATTATATCGTTATTAGTTATTACAGCGTTATTACAGCGTTATTAGTTATTACGTTATTACAGCGTTATTAGTTACTACAGTGTTATTAGTGTTATTATATCGTTAGTTATTACAGCGTTATTACAGCGTTATTACTTATTACAGCGTTATTACAGTGTTATTAGTTATTACAGCGTTATTACAGCGTTATTAGTTATTACAGCGTTATTAGTGTTATATCGTTATTAGTTATTACAGCGTTATTTCAGCGTTATTAGTTATTACAGCGTTATTTCAGCGTTATTAGTTATTACAGCGTTATTAGTTACTACAGTGTTATTAGTGTTATTATATCGTTAGTTATTACAGCGTTATTACAGCGTTATTACTTATTACAGCGTTATTACAGTGTTATTACAGTGTTATTAGTTATTACAGCGTTATTACAGCGTTATTAGTTATTACAGCGTTATTACAGCGTTATTAGTTATTACAGCGTTATTAGTTATTACAGTGTTATTAGTGTTATATCGTTATTAGTTATTACAGCGTTATTTCAGCGTTATTAGTTATTACAGCGTTATTTCAGCGTTATTAGTTATTACAGTGTTATTACAGCGTTATTAGTTATTATATCGTTATTACAGCGTTATTACAGCGTTGTGTTATATAGTTATTAGTTATTACAGCGTTATTACAGTGTTATTAGTGTTATATCGTTATTACAGCATTATTAGTTATTACAGCGTTATTACAGTGTTATAGTATTAACAGCATTATTACAGCACTATTAGTTATTATAGCTGAACAACATACTGTTAGCTTTCCTGCGTTATTACTGCGTTATTATATCGTTAGTTATTACAGCGTTATTACAGCGTTATTAGTTATTACGGCGTTATTACAGCTTTATTACAGCGTTATTACTTATTACAGCGTTATTACAGCGTTATTAGCGTTATTATATCGTTATTAGTTATTACAGCGTTATTACAGCGTTATTACAGTGTTATTATATCGTTATTCGGTATAACAGCGTTATTAGTGTTATTATATCGTTATTAATGTTATTATATCGTTATTAGTTATTACAGCGTTATTACAGCGTTATTAGTGTTATATCGTTATTAGTTATTACAGCGTTATTACAGTGTTATTAGTGTTATATCGTTATTAGTTATTACAGCGTTATTACAGTGTTATTATATCGTTATTCGTTATTACAGCGTTATTAGTGTTATTATATCGTTATTAATGTTATTATATCGTTATTAGTTATTACAGCGTTATTACAGCGTTATTACAGCGTTGTTAGTTATTACAGCTTTATTACAGCGTTATTACAGTGTTATTAGTGTTATTATATCGTTATTAGTTATTACAGCGTTATTACAGCGTTATTAGTTATTACGTTATTACAGCGTTATTAGTTACTACAGTGTTATTAGTGTTATTATATCGTTAGTTATTACAGCGTTATTACAGCGTTATTAGTTATTACAGCGTTATTACAGCGTTATTACAGCGTTGTTAGTTATTACAGCTTTATTACTGCGTTATTACAGTGTTATTAGCATTATTATATCGTTATTAGTTATTACAGCGTTATTACAGCATTATTAGTTATTACGTTATTACAGCGTTATTAGTTACTACAGTGTTATTAGTGTTATTATATCGTTAGTTATTACAGCGTTATTACTTATTACAGCGTTATTACAGTGTTATTAGTTATTACAGCGTTATTACAGCGTTATTAGTTATTACAGCGTTATTAGTGTTATATCGTTATTAGTTATTACAGCGTTATTTCAGCGTTATTAGTTATTACAGCGTTATTAGTTACTACAGTGTTATTAGTGTTATTATATCGTTAGTTATTACAGCGTTATTACAGCGTTATTACTTATTACAGCGTTATTACAGCGTTATTACAGTGTTATTACAGTGTTATTAGTTATTACAGCGTTATTACAGCGTTATTAGTTATTACAGCGTTATTACAGCGTTATTAGTTATTACAGTGTTATTAGTGTTATATCGTTATTAGTTATTACAGCGTTATTTCAGCGTTATTACTGCGTTATTAGTTATTACAGCGTTATTACAGCGTTGTTAGTTATTACAGCTTTATTACTGCGTTATTACAGTGTTATTAGCGTTATTATATCGTTATTAGTTATTACAGCGTTATTACAGCGTTATTAGTTATTACGTTATTACAGCGTTATTAGTTACTACAGTGTTATTAGTGTTATTATATCGTTAGTTATTACAGCGTTATTACAGCGTTATTACTTATTACAGCGTTATTACAGTGTTATTAGTTATTACAGCGTTATTACAGCGTTATTAGTTATTACAGCGTTATTAGTGTTATATCGTTATTAGTTATTACAGCGTTATTTCAGCGTTATTAGTTATTACAGCGTTATTTCAGCGTTATTAGTTATTACAGCGTTATTAGTTACTACAGTGTTATTAGTGTTATTATATCGTTAGTTATTACAGCGTTATTACAGCGTTATTACTTATTACAGCGTTATTACAGTGTTATTACAGTGTTATTAGTTATTACAGCGTTATTACAGCGTTATTAGTTATTACAGCGTTATTACAGCGTTATTAGTTATTACAGCGTTATTAGTTATTACAGTGTTATTAGTGTTATATCGTTATTAGTTATTACAGCGTTATTTCAGCGTTATTAGTTATTACAGCGTTATTTCAGCGTTATTAGTTATTACAGTGTTATTACAGCGTTATTAGTGTTATTATATCGTTATTACAGCGTTATTACAGCGTTGTGTTATATCGTTATTAGTTATTACAGCGTTATTACAGTGTTATTAGTGTTATATCGTTATTACAGCATTATTAGTTATTACAGCGTTATTACAGTGTTATAGTATTAACAGCATTATTACAGCACTATTAGTTATTATAGCTGAACAACATACTGTTAGCTTTCCTGCTCAGCTTCCAAACCGCAGTCTGAAGAGGAGAAGTTAGCCTGTGCTGAATGATCATGTGACCATTTAGTAGTTTTGTCCGATGCTGCACTCCCACCACCCTTAATGAGGAGGATATTAACCTCCTGTAATGAAACACAGAGCACCGGGAGAAGCTGTCTGAAGGTGGAGGTGTCTGCAGAGACCGTCACTTTCTCTAGTGTGTTCAGGTTTGTTTTTAACCAGCTGTGTTGGTGGTGTTGTTCCTGCCAGGCTGCAGAAGGCTCAGGAGGAGCAGCGCTGCGTCCAGGTGGAGAAGGTGAAGGTGGAGGAGGAGCTGAGGAGCGAGATCGACTCGGCCAAGCAAGAAGCTCAGCGGCTCCGAGAGCTTCGAGAGGGAACCGGGAATGAGAGGAGCCGGCAGAAATACGCAGAGGAGGAGCTGGATCAGGTAGACGACTCCATCAGGTCACCGTATTATCGGTATATGTTTCACAGGTGATCAATAAATGATGAGCAGTAAGATTTGTCTGTAGCTCAGCGCAGGACTCACAAGGGCGAGCATCAGGAGGATCACATGACAGACAAGAGGCAGCTGAAGCGTACTTTAAAAACAAACTGATCAATCAGAATCACTGGAGAAACAGGCAACACAAAACACTGGCCGACTAACTTTAATGAAAACTAACGAAATAATAAAAACTAGGTGTGGCAAAAAAAATAAAACGAAGCTTTAGAAAAAAACGATAACTGAAAGTAAAAATACAGAGTGAATGTCGTTTTTGGCGTACATAACCCTGGGATTTTCGGTGGATATGAAATCTATCTTCCGATTTCTTAGCTGTGCCAGTCTTGAATCCACGCCCCTCGACTTACAATGAATAAAAACAAGCAAACCAGCTTTAATAACTGAACTGAAATTGAAAAGTCAAAACTAAATAACACAAAACTAATGAATACCTTGGTCGGAACATATTATCGGCCCAAATGATCGTGCAGTGTGACGGGTTTACAGACAGATTCTGAAGGTCGCTGATTGGATCAGAGGCTCCCAGAGCTTAAAGCGTCACCAGCGTGTTGTGACAGTTTCCCTTTTGTGGTTCAGTTTTAGTAAATATAAAAAATATCAAATAAACACCCTCACACTGAACGATTTAACAGTTCGATAAGAAGAAACTTCACTAAAAAGTTCAGCAACAACATTAAACATCAGAATAAACACAATGCAACCAACCCTAGTCTGAAGTCACGTTTGATCACGTGAGATTCTGTGAGATGCCGAGTTGGGCAGGACAATAAATATAAACAATAATTATCGTAATACAATTTTTTTTTCAATAACAATAAAACAAATGTTCAATGAGTATTTAATAAATGTTTGATTTTATTCACTTGAATCATACACGAATTAGGACTTAATTTTTTATTAAGATGTTTATTGTGTTGAGGAAAAAGGACTGAAAAAGCTTTTACTTAATTTACTCGTGCATATTTAATGACAAAGATTTTATCGTCATTGATTTGAATCTTCTACCTCAGATGTGTGAAGTGATCTGCTGTTTGGCCTCAAGTGTTCTGACCATAAAGAAAAGTTTAAACCACAATTAACCATCAGGTTTCTTCAACTTTCACTCAGGAGCAGAAATCAGCCTTTAAACTCGAAAGAAATAACGATTTGATATTTATCGTGATAATTAGGGCTGGGCGATATGGCCAAAAATGTTATCACAATAAAAACATTTCATATCATTCAATATCGGTAATCAGCATGTATATCACGAGAATATGTTGAAAACGCTTGATGCCAAACAGTGGATCACTTCACAAATCTGAGGTAGGTAACAATTAAAACAGTTTTTTCTGTCTTTTAATCTTTTTCAGTCCCTTTTCCTCAACAAAATAAATAATGTAACAGAAGAATTTGGTGCTAATTTGTTTGTGATTCAAATGAATTAAACCAAATATTTACTGACGATATATTGAACATTTATTATATTGTTATTGAGGAAAATTATATTGCGATAATTATCATTATTGTTTTATTGCCCAGCACTAGTGATAATTATCGATATCGAAAGATATGAAATGTTTTATCGCGATGACATTTTAGGCCTCATCGTCCAGCCCTAATCCCACGTCTGTGGAACTGCCGCTCTGAAACCGTTTAGTATAAACGCAGAGTGTGTGGTCCTGAGACGGGACTGAACCGTTTTAAGATAAAAAAAATTTGTCGTTAAGTCTGTGGGATCCCATGTTTTTAACATCACTATAGATCTGAAGATCCTCTAGTGAGCAGCAGAGATGAAACTCTTTACGTTTCACAAGAGCAGATTAGAAAAGCCTCATCCGGGGGGACGATGTGAGAAACTGAGCTCACAGAATAAAAAGATTATTTGATCATGTGATGATCTGCCCTCACCTCTGTTACTGTCCCAAAAGGAAAGATTTTTGAGGTCCATGAAAATATCCTGGACAGGAATTAACTCTGAATCCTGTGTGTGTGTGTACATATATATATATTGTAGGTGCGTATGGCGTTGAAGAAGGCGGAGAGGGAGCTGGAGTCGCGGGCTCACTGGGCGCCACCGGAGGCTCTGCAGAAGTGGCTGCAGCTGACGCATGAGATCGAAGTTCAGTATTACAACATCAAGAAACAGAGCGCAGAGAGGCAGCTGCAGCAGGCCAGGGAGGGGGTGAGGACAGAACACACTGATCACGGTGATCATGGTGGTGGTGATGGTGAGGATGAGGATGGCGGTGATGGTATTGATGATGATGGTCGTGATGGTGATGATGAGGATGGTGGTGATGGTGGTGGTGATGATGAGGATGGTGGTGATGATGATGATGGTGGTGGTGATTATGAGGATGGTGGTGATGGTGGTGGTGATGATGAGGATGGTGGTGATGATGATGATGGTGGTGGTGATTATGAGGATGGTGGTGATGGTGGTGGTGATGGTGATGATGAGGATGGTGGTGATGATGATGGTGGTGGTGATGGTGATGATGAGGATGGTGGTGATGGTGATGAGGAGGATGGTGGTGATGATGATGATGGTGGTGGTGATGATGAGGATGGTGGTGGTGATGGTGGTGATGGTGATGATGAGGATGGTGATGATGATGGTGGTGGTGATGGTGATGAGGAGGATGGTGGTGATGATGGTGGTGATGGTGAGGATGGTGGTGATGGTGGTGATGGTGATGATGAGGATGGTGGTGATGGTGATGATGAGGATGGTGGTGATGATGATGGTGATGGTGATGGTGAGGATGGTAATGATGGTGATGATGGTGTTTCAGGCTGAGAAGATCAAGAAGAAGAGGAGTTCTCTGTTCGGGACATTTCATGTGGCTCACAGCTCCTCGCTGGACGACGTCGACCACAAGATCCTCGCCGCCAAGTGAGTGACTTTTTGTTCTCGCTCCCTCTCCTCACTCCCACTCGCTCCACCACCGCTGCTCTTGCTCTGGATCGTGTGTTTACAGATGGAAACGAGCAAAAATCCAGTTTCACTATAAAAACGTGTGAAGCCTGCCAGAAATATACTTTTACAACAAACACTTAGGTTAAAGATTAAGTCTTTATTTCCAAAATTATAAACAGAACGGCAGCCATTTTATAAAAACTCAAGATGAAAAGAATATAAGAATCACGTTGTGCTGGTTCATCTCAAACTGCAGAAATATTATTGACTATCAATAAAAAGTTTTGTCTTATGAGAATACATATTTTTAATAGTAGTAAGTAAAGTTTATTTATTATAGCACCTTTCACAGATTTAAAGAGTAAAATATAGTAAAAATAATTTTCTGTATGAGGGGTGTGGTGATTATATATAAAACACACATATATATTATATAAATATAAAACTTGGTTCAGTTGAAAAATCAGCGAGTTATGAAGATTTTTAGTTGTGGGTTGACCTTTTGCCTTGATAGACTCACAAGCATTAGGAGACTCGAAACCAATATGGCGGCTGTGTCGACGCGTCGCTGTAAGGTATCTACATGTAGATCTCTCTGGATTTTATCCGCTTTAGCGAGCTTTTCTGAAAGAAAATGCGCTGACAGTTGTGATGTTCTGGCCATTTTTTGGGGATGAAATTGTGGAGCTAGATGTGATTATTTCAGGCATGCAAACTGGTCAGGGGTAAAAAAGGAGGTGTATACGCAAGCAGAGAAACAGACGGTGTCGGTTTGTAAGCTTACATGCTGTATAGATAACGTGCATTTGTCCTCTGCAACAAGAGAAAGATCCCGACATGCAAGGGCGTCACTGTGTAGAACAGCAGTGGGGACATAAGGACTCAGATCAGGGGAGTGAAGATACACTTAGCTCACGCGACGTGGCGATGCACCACACTGCTGTCACAAGAACGAAATGTGACGATACGTTAAAAATATTTAATAGAAATCATCAAAGCTGAAATATAGGAGTTGGGGGGGTTCTAGTGGTCCTCCCCCAGATAATTCTGAGCATAAAACACTTACTTTCCTGCATTCTGGTGAATGTTCTGCACCAATTTCTGCATTTCCTGCATCAATTAATGGTGGAAATGTTTTTATTTATGTGAAGGGAAACACAAAAATCAGGTGGCAGGTGACGTTTCAAAATCTATAAGTATTACAGAATCTATGTCAGAGCAGCTCTCAGTCATTCTGTGCTGCTTTCAGATCTGTTTCTCCTGTAGATCAACTTTTCTCATGTAATATCTTCCCTGCTAAGTCAGCACTCATGCGGGCTTGATTTAGTCTTCACTCCTCTTTTGTCATGTTCACAGGGAGAGAACGGAAAACTTGGCCAAACAGGAACACTGACAAGAATTTGTTAAAGTTTCTGACTAGTGCTGCACGTTATGGGGACATTTTATAATCAGTAGCTTGTTTATTCTTACTTCAAAATGCAAATAAACCTTTTTCAAAGCGCTTGTGCTTTACCATTTCATGCTGCAAGCTATTTTTCAAAGGATTTTTAACAGTTAACTCACTGTGTGGTGAAAGTTCAGGTCACATTTCCTTTTAGGTTCAAATTTCAGCTTCATTGTCATTTTATTATATGGTTACATTTTATTTAACAGAAGTGACCTCATTGCACGTAGACACATTAACGCCCCCCCTCCCCCTCAGACAGGCCCTGGCCGAGGTGACGGCCGCCCTGCGGGAGAAGCTGCACCGCTGGCAGCAGATCGAGTCTCTGACGGGGTTCTGTGTGGTCAATAACCCGGGCCTGGGAGCGCTGGCCGTCGCCCTCAACCTGGACCCGTCCTTCCTCGGCCTGCGACCTCCGACCCCTCAGCACCTCCTCCTCTCCGATGACCTCGACGACATGGACGAGGACATCCTGTCTCCTGGGACGCTGCAGTGTAAGTCTGAGACAATGAGACGTTTGGTTACCTTTAGCATTAGTCTGCTGATACGCACAAACTACAAAAAACACAGCACAGTAAAGACTCTGCGTGCCATTTAAGGAACTAGAGACATTTAAGTCCTTAAGGTGGATGCGTGTAAATGCACTTACTGTGGGGATTCAGTCAGACCTTTAAGGGTAACTTCTGTATTTTTAAACCTGGTTCCTATTCTCACACGTTTGTCTTGAAATGACTTCTAGGTACAGAAAGTTTTAAATCCGTGCTGGATTAGTGGATAGTAGTAGACGCTTCAAAATAATTTTTTTCACTGGGCCTTTAACCTGTAAGCATGTAAATTATCTTTAAACAAATATAAATTAGCTAGCTCGTCGTGCGTACTGTGTGTTGTTGTGAACACTGGATCAGCTGCTGGCTGCAGCATCTACTGCACATGTTCAGAACTTTCTGTACCTACGAGTCATTTCAGCACCAACATCCAGTATCTCACAAAGTGAGTACGCCCCTCACATTTTTGTAAATATTTGATTCTATCTTTTCATGTGACAACACTGAAGAACACTTTACTACAGTGTAAAGTAGTGAGTGTGCAGCTGGTATAACAGTGTAAATCTGCTGTCCCCTCAAAATAACACATCACACAGCCGTTAATGTCTAAACCGCTGGTAACAAAAGTGAGTACACCCCTAAGTGAAAATGTCCAAATTGGGTCCAATCAGCCATTTTCCCTCTCCGCTGTCATGTGACTCGTTAGTGTTAACTTACAAGGTCTCAGGTGTGAATGGGGAGCAGGTTAAAATGGGTAAAGAAGCTGAGGGTAAAGGTGACGGACTGGCCGAGCATGTCTCCCGACCTGAACCCTACTGAGCATCTCTGGGGCTCCTCAAACAGAAGGTGGAGGAGCGCAAGGTCTCTAACATCCACCAGCTCCGTGATGTCGTCATGGAGGAGAGGAAGAGGACTCCAGTGGCGACCTGTGAAGCTCTGCTGAACTCCAGGCCCAAGAGGGTTAAAGCAGCGCTGGAAAATAATGGTGGCCCCACAAAATATTGACACTTTGGGCCCAATTTGGAAATTTGGGGGTGTCCTCACTGCCAGCGGTTTAGACATTAACGGCTGTGTGATGTGTTATTTTGAGGGGACAGCAGATTTACACTGTTATACAAGCTGTACACTCACTACTTTACACTGTAGCAAAGTGTCATTTCTTCAGTGTCACATGAAAAGATCTATAATCTAATATTTACAAAAATGTGAGGGGTGAACTCACTTTTGTGAGACACTGTATGTGGAAACAGGTTTAAAAATACAGAAACTATCCTTTAGGGTGGATGCAGATAAAACCACTTACTGTAGAGATTAAAGCTGACGTAAAAGAAATAAATCTGTGTGGACTTTACATCCCCCAACAGCTCCACTAACCACTTCAGGTTTCTTACGGAGGCTCAGAAGGGACAAACTGTACAAGACATTTACGTGATTCTGAGTCAACATGTCAGAAGAAATAACGAGACACGTATACCTGACCTCGCCTCAGCTCACCTGTGGCCCGCCCAATGTCTCCATCCCCTCCTCTGATTGGTCCTCTTTTCTTGGCATCTCTCTCTGTTGATTGGTTCCCTCCAGACGCAGCATGGCAGATGGACCGGCGAGTGAGCGACCTCTGGCCCCTGAGTGGCATCGCAGACAACCAATCACCATGGAAACAATCTGGTTGGCCCCTCCCTCTTTCAGCCTTCCCCTTCCTCTGATTGGTTCTTACCTCTGTAAAATCATCAGATCGTGTAATCCTTCAATTGACGAGCATCTCAAAACTCTGCCAGGGTTCCCAATGTCCTTCGAAAACAAGTTTGAGTTTCAGAAAAATTAAATGCAACAGTAAGGTCTTTTGAACATTTAGAACTTTCACATCGGGGTGAAGCCCTTTAAAAAATGACGCACACCAGCACTTCAAATGCTGAGAAATATTTATTTAAAAATACTACATCTTAAAACCAAGTTATATTATTAATGTGAATATTAAATAAACATCATTTCCATATTGCAAGACCATATAAATACCAAAAAAACAGCAAAAAAATATATTATATAAAAAATAAATCACTAAATTCTTGATTTCTTGAATACGACCCAAAGATCTGTTGCTAAATGAACGTGGGAACCTTCACAGGTCCAAATAAAACAAGCTTTACACTTTTAAACAGAGGTATAGATCACCCGGAAGGCGGCGTTTACGTGAACACAAAGTGATCAGTCGAAAACATCACAACAGCTCGCATTGACGTTAGCTTGTTAGCTACAGATGCTGGCTGTCAGGCAGGCTTGCTGACGTACGTTAGCAATTTAGCTAATATCCCTTTGCTTAAAAGCCAAGACAAGATGTTATGACAAATATTAGCATTGCTTTCTTGAGGCAACGCTAACACCTGTTAGCTGGCAGTGTTGCATAAAGATAATTTAGCTTTTCGTCAAGCTAACGTAGCTGCTGACAAGGCAAACAGTGAGTTACTGTCAGATTAATACATTTTATTCTCTCAAACTGTCAGTTTCTTAATAAACCTTCTAGGCAGTACTTTAGTACTTGGTAGTATTTTTATGTTAAACTTATTTCTATAAAAGTTAAATTGGGGTTCGTCTTACTGAGACGCGCGTCACAGTTTCTGAGGGCAACACCAGCTTTAAAGGAATAGTTCAACATTTTACCAAACATGCTTATTCTCTATTGGTGGATGTGGTTAGCCTAGCTTAGCATAAGACTAGGAGCAGGGGTAAACAGCTGTTATCTTGTTTGTTTGATCAGCACACAAACAGAAAACAGTTGTTTTTTTTGTTTTGTTTTTTTACGGGGAGTTTCTCACTGGAACTGTTTGTCCATTGTAAAAACCACAAGCTGTTTTTTACATTTCTGTTTGTATACGGATCCATTTGTCTTAAATGTGTTAATTAGCAAGGTTTAGCAGTACTGGCCAGTTGTTCCCTCTGCTCTCGGTCTTATGCCGCGTTTCAGACCGCTCGGAACTGGGAAGTTTCCAAGTTTAAATATCCGACTTCTGACCTCAAAGCGTTTCTGATAAATGACGCCAGATTTAACAATAAACATGGCTGACAGTGACAAACTTGCACTGTTAAACCCTCAACAGTGCACTTGGTGTTAATTAAAAGGATGGCCATTTTATTAAAAGGGATAAATATACGTTAATACTCGTTAACTGTGTGTCATTCCAGCTACATCAGTTGGTAATCCTCAAAAGTCAGCAGAGGTTGGAGGCTATATTTCAAAATGTTTTCACATTTCTGGGCATTTTTAACATTTTCCTGAAGAACTTTTGTGCAGAGAAGATTACTTTTAATTTACATGCAGAACAAGTCTGATACTAGCATGTGTTATTCTAATTTAATACTTTACTTTGCCTTTTAGTTTATGGTTTACTATTTACAATGGGAGCTGCCTTGGTTGTGTGACGTCATTCAGCTGCTACTCGTGAAGTCGGGGTACAGATTTTTTTCTAGCAGTAGGAAATCCGACTTCAAGTTCCAAGTTATCTGGAAAGCAGCATTAATGCTAAGCTAATCGTCTCACTCTCACAAAGTTGTGTAACATTTGATGGAAATGAAAGGAAACTATGACTGACAGCAGGTGTCCACGTGAACGCCTCCTCACCTGCGCAGCTCTCCCCTTCTCCTCCTTCCTCCCTGTGGCCAGATCACACTTCACAGTCTCCTCCTCACCTTTTCCCTCTGAAGACCTGGAAAACAACACTTTATATTAACAGCTTACCTCCTCTTTTCACTGACACCCACTTACAGGTCTGCAGCAGCTGCACAAAGTAAATGCTTTTTAATTTCAGAATTAAAAAACATTTACGCAAGTCAATTCACGCAGTTGAATGTTTTGATTCCAAAACACACAAGTCAGTTATTTTTAATAACTCCTAATTGGAAAATAATAATTATATTTATAATAATATTGTAATATTCAGTCGTCATCTTTAAAATCACGGATGGGTCGTTTTGGAATCACATTCACTTGCAGTCAGAAAGTCTCTGATTCAGTCACTGCTGTTCGGTTGTATTTCTTTGAAATATCTGACTTCCAGGATGTGAAAAATGAGGTACACTGAGTTAGCATTAATGAACCTACAGCATTGTATTATATAGTGTGAAAGTTTGACTTTAACATTTGAGATTTTCTCACCAACAGTTGAGATTGGATTTTGGTGATTTATAAAGATCCAACATTAATATTTACTTATTTCGGACAGTTAACAGGATCAGCCAACAAACAACAACTAGGATGCAGCTTAAGGCTCCATCCACACTTCTACTTATTTGTTTTAAAAATAAAAAGATCTCCGTCCACTACAGCGTCTTAGCTGCGTTTCAAAATTGATCTCCGTCTGTATTAAAACGACTGAAAACACACATCACGTGACCGTTCACGTACACTGGGCATGTGCGGTGTAAACAGGAAGCAGACTGTCTGCTCTGCAGCTGCAGGAGATTCGGCTAAAGAAGAAAGTTCTACTAGAGACAAACGATGTGCAGCGACAGTGAAGAACCACAGCAGAGATTTCTCTGCATGGACCGACAGCGAGCTGGGACGGTTACTGAAAGTAACACGGGAGGACAAAGAGACTGTGGTGGCGGGAAACAGAGAATCGCGTGTTATTTGCACAGTCCAAAATATTTAAATGAAAATACCAAAACTACAAGTTTTAGTTAGTTTTAGTTTTGGCTGTTATCATTCATGCAAAGCATGTTTCTGCTTTGCATGAATGATAACAGCCAATTTAAAGTTTTAAAACAAAGACGTAGGAGTGTGGGTGGAGCCTGAGTCAGTCTGTAAACCAAAACAGTAACTTTGTAAAATCATTATCCACCATGGATCTATGTGGGAATTTAGACCACAATAGCACAAATGCACGTCTGTTTCACTGCAGGAAAAGACATAAAACTTAAACGGATGCTGATTTACAAACTGTGTTTCCTCTTCCTGTAGACCTGATTTTCAAAATAAAACAACCAACTCAGCCTAACTCCTCCTCCTTCTCCTGCAGCTCAGAGCCCGATGCCCCTGCGACAGAGGATAGGAGACCCTGCTCTGACCTTCAGCTCTCAGAGGTTGGTTGAAGGGCGTGGCTTATCTCAACAGGAAGGCCACTTCACATCATCCCGCCCTCCCAGCGGCTACACTCGACAGAATCGCAGCCGCTCGATTGGCCAGCTTGAGTTCCTTCCTGTGCCCTCCCCCTCCCTCTCTTCCTCCTTGTCTCACCCCTCCATTGGCCCCACCTCTCCTCCTCACCCCACTTTCCTTTCATTCTGTCCTCCCCCGAGCTCCTCCTCCTCTTCTTCGTCCTACTCTGAAGGCACCACTCATTTTTCTGCTCTGCTCTTTCATTCTTCTTACTTCCACTCTGTGAAGGCGGCGTCCAACCTCCCGCCTGCAGGGGGCGCTGCGACCAGCCAGAGGCAGCGCTGTCGCTCAGGCAGCTTTGGGTATCTTCTCGTGCATGGCCGCTTTCCAAGATACTGATGTACTAATGAGAAAGAAAGCGGAATCAGCGGACCTTGTTTCTGAAACATTTGTACAAAAAGATTTGACCTGAATTTAAGATTCTTTGTTTTTAATTTTAAAGTATTTGTTAGTGGACAGAATTTACAGGATGTCAGGATTCAACGTTTACGAGTTTTACACATGGCCAGAATTTGGAGTTTATGAGTTTAAGGGGTGTCAGGATTGAGAGTTTACAATTAAACGACTGGTCAGGATTGAGAGTTTACGAGCGATCCGGATTTAGAGTTTACAAGTTTTACGAGTGGTCAGGATTTAGACTTTACAAGTTAAATTAGTTTTAAGAGTTTTACGGGGGATAACGATTACAATTTACAAGTTAAATGAGCGGTCAGGATTGAGAGTTTTACGAGGTTTACGAGCGATCAGGATTGAGAGTTTTACGAGGTTTTCGAGCGATCAGGATTGAGAGTTTACAAGTTATACAAGTGGTCAGGATTGTGAGTTTCATTTTTACGCGTTTCAAGCAGTCAGGATTAACAGTTTGCAAGCTTGATGACCGGTCAGGATTAAGAATTTACTAGATTTACTAGTTGTCAGTATTGAGAGTTTGAGATTTATCAGCAGTCACGATTTAGTTTTACGAGCGGACAGGATTGACAGTTTTACGAGTGGTCATAATTTAGATCTTACGAGTTTTACGAGTTGTCAGGATTGAGAGTTTACGAGTTAGCTGAAAATGTACTAGTGGTTAGGATTTAGAGTTTACACATTTCTGAGTGGTCAGGATTTAGGCAGTTTGCTTATTTAAGTCTCATTCAGTTTTTATGAACAATTTTAAGAGAAAAAATACAACATTTGTGAATGAGGCCTAATCTCTACATTGAATTTCTTCCTGCTCGCTATCCCTCCTAACCTTGCAGTATTTTATCTATTCTTGACATTACAAATGTTTTACCATCAGAATTTGTTTTCTAATTCTATGAATTGTTTATAATTTCCATGTTGTTGTAAAACAAGTTTTAAGTGTTTTCAACGGATACGTGTGGATACAGAACACATCCATGTTTTTAATCACACCAAAACAGCCTGTTAGCAACGTTAGCTTCTGCTGTCTTTACACTCTTACTCTCTCTCTCTCAGGGACATCATGAACCGCTCAGACTCTGACTCCGCCCTCCCTCACTCTCACAGCGAATCACGAGGCCTGTACAGCACCAAGCCCCTCCTCCTTTCCTCCAGGCTCCAGCCCCTGCAGGGTCAGGGCTCCGGGGCTGGTGGAGGAGGCCTGGAGAAGTGCTCCAGCCTCGGGGAGCTGAGGGGGAACCCGGGTGCCTTCCTCGCCTCCTCCTGCTCCACCCGCTCCCTATGCATCACGTCCGACGCCGTCGACGGCCCGCTCTCGAACAGGAGGAGCCCCATGGAGGAGGACGGAGGTGACGAGAGCGAGTCAACCGGCAGCCGGAGGAGAAACGCTTTTAATAAGATCTTTAAGAAGAAGCAGGGACGTCACTGAACCGGGAAGATCTTCTGATCTCCAACTTGCTTTTATGTGCTACCGACTCGTGATGCGATCTTTATATTCATCGTGATGAACGATCACAGGAAACGTCTGTTTTTAACGCTTCACTCATTTGCTTTTTTTATTCAAGCAGTGCTTTCTGATCTTTTCTCTTCGTTAAACTGAGATCAAATTCGATCTCACTGAAGCAAAACGTACAACACAGGACACAACGCCCAGCGGACATGGTGCCGAGTCCTACAACGACCAAACAAACCAACAAAGAAGAACAAGAGCAGCACTGAAAAAGAATGTGAAAGTGAAACTTTGGACTCAGGACTTTTTCTTTTTAAGACAAACTAGGACAGAAGGTGATCTCCTAGCTGGATGTAGTTTTAGAGAAAATAATCACCTGTTGAATTCAGCATCTTTAAATTTGACAATTTCCTTGCCAAAAAGTCTCTTGTTGTGATTCTTCTTTTCTTTCAGGGTAGAAAACTATCTCGGGGGAAGAAAACCTCCTTCTGGCCTCTATGAAACCAGCAACGTTTTTTAACACGATCCTTTGTGTTTAAAATGTCATCGATAGGACTAGCAGATGAGATTAAGCTTGGTTGCTAAGAGTCCCATGTTTTCATTGTTATTGTTTATATTATTTTTGTGTATTTAATTCCTAAGGCCTACACTTGAATAACAATTGAATGTTTTTTAAGTGTCCCAGTTTGACAGCAGCGCCTGGGAAAATGTGGTTTGAGTCAATGTGTGTTTGAGGACGAGTCGTTTAAGCCTGAAACGGTTCATCGAGGAACTCAAATAACTCGATAACTTGCACACCGTTTCGCACGGACGATTATTACTGTCGCACAACGCGCGGACGCTGTAGACAAGTGAAAACATCGTGATTTGATGGCGCAGATTGCAAAATAGAGGAAGAGAGAGAAAATAGCGAGGGACGAAGAAGAGACAGGCCAGAGAAGAAGACAGAAAGCGTCCAAAGGCTGGGAGGTCAGGACTCGTCGAATAGAAAAGAAGAGTATGGAAACCAGGTGAAGTTTGTTTCACGGCTGTTAACTCCGTGTCACAGCCTGGATTTCTCCCAGATCATTTGGAGAGCTAATTTATGCAGATGTTTCATAGTTTGATCACCTGAAAATCACCAAAGATGACGATGCAGTTCGTAGCGCTAAGAACTGACCGTCTGTCCAGCGCGTCCGTTACTGTAGGCGAAGTTAGGGACCGTCTGAAGAGCTCAGTACGATCCATTTCAGTCATCAATCTTCTATATTTTCTCACTATAAAAATCTCAAACCAGACTGAGACCACCCTGAAACAATTCGCACCTGAGAGTTTGTAAAAAGAAAATTAAGTAATGTATTAAATAATTGATGAGACACAGTGCAAGGTTGTAATTTCAACAACGAGTCAGCTCATTTCTGAATATTCTGACATCAAACCACCTCATCTGTCCTGGACAGCCTCTCACAACTTTCACAGCTGTCAGTCGTTCTTTGTAAATGTTCAGATGTTGTATGTTGAAGTACATGGGATTTATTTATTCATTATCATCCTCAGTGGAATTTTACTGGCATCAGTAAATTCCTGGTACCGTGGCTAAGAGAAAACAGCAGCTCTGCACAGCGAGTCTGCTGTAAAACAGAACCAGCCGACCGCAACAGAACCACGGCTTCAACATCTGAACGGAAAACAAAACCAGCTAACTTTAGCATTTAACATAAAGCGTGACTGAAGGCTAGCAAAGGTAAGGCTCAGCTCTTAGCTGTCAATGTAGAAACATGCGTTTGTTGTTCTCAGACTGGTTAGTCCGTGAGTTCGGGTTGGAACGTTGACAGTGACATGAGATTATACAGCTGATCCTGGTACCGGGGGCGCCAAGTAGAAGGATTTCATATCCGATTACTCGATGAATCAGCGGAATAATCTGTAAAATATTCGATGACTAAAATAATTCAAAAACATATTTAATGTTTCTTCTGTGTAATAGAGCGTTTAAGCTACTTAGAGTAGCATCATGAGGGGATGAGATGTTTGGATTATAATTAAAAATGATGCAGAAGGTAAATTATTAGAAAGTGTCCCACTTTACCGATATTCACCCTGTGTGTGTTCGTGTGTGTGAATATATACAATCTACCTTTCAAATGAGGTACTTTGGGCCACTTTATGACCAGTTTTGAATGTTTTTTTTTTATAATTAAATATGGTGTTGCTATTATCAATGAGGCTAGAAATGTTTTATATTTTATATGCACTGTATAGTACTTTGCTATTTCAATAAACTCACTCTGGGAAGTCTGATGATTTTTGATTTTCTTCATTTTACTCATATCAATGATGATAATGAGCTAACTGTGCAAATTGCCCAACATGCAACTCTTAGCAACTAAGTTGAATTTCATCCACAAGGCCGATGGATGACATTTCAATCGTAAATAAGAAAAAAAGCGAATAAACTCGGCTTCTCAAAGCGTAGTTTCGTCAGAAGATGGCGTTACCCATGGATGGACAAAACCAGTCGCATGGATCTGAAAAATGGAGAGAGGTCTTCAGAAATGTGTTTCAAGAGGGCAAGTTGCCACCAGCCATGTTTATGCTAGTTATGAAAATATCCGGGAGGACGCCGACGGCGGAAACAGCTGATCAGGCGTGAGGGAAATGATCACTGTCAGAATTTATTCAGCAAATGTGTTTCCATCTCCCATTTAGTGCATTAACGGCAAAAGCGTAAAAACTTGAAATTGAGGAATTTTGCCGTTTCTATCAAACTTTTCTAATTCGATACTTCAATACGCGCATTAAAGAATGTTGATGGAAACACGACATTTGGCCTCATGTGACAATGACATCAATGGTTGTTCACACTTGGCCTCAGGTGACTCGAGCCAGGAGCACTAACGAACCAAGCGGCATCCATCACCTTGGTAACGAGCCCACAGAGGTTAAACAGCAAGACTCCAGTCAGAACTAAAGAAGAAACATCTGCAAGTATTTTCTACTGAGTCCTGTGATGTAGAGACAGAGCTCAGTTAAAACTTTATGGATACAGATTAATAACTCACCGCTCTGAAACTCTCGCTCCAGTCCGTGTTGCCAAGCTGGTCGGCAACACGTACGGCTGAACCCGAGCTGTTTACCGGCTTCTCGCTGACCCGCCCTACTCTGCTTCTGATTGGCTAGTAGTCCTTAACTAGGAACTGAGCATGTGCAACTCCCAACAAAGATCATTTAGAGACAAGATGTATCACTCCATAGCTAAAACGAAGCCTTCAACACAGGCTGAAAAGAGGAGCTGCAGCAATGTGCAGGATGACAAACATATAACCATGTAAACCTGCTCTGGTACAAACTCTAAATAAGATTATGAACCTGAAAATGAGCAGAATACCAGCTCTTTAAACTAAAACAGCAGCTGCAGATAAAAGACAGTTCAAGTGTTATAATAAAACAGTCCTCCATGTTGTCTGACATGAACTAATATTGACAAAAATAATTAACCCTCCACATTAGTCAGAACTCAGTCTCACTGTTGACTCCGTCAATATTGACTGTAGGTGGTGCGTTCACTGACCTGTCAGCTGCCTGGGAAATGTGCGAGGGAGGGGCAGACGTTTAAACACCAGGTGGCAGCACAGAGCCGAGCAACAGTCAGGACTGATCTCTGGTCTGTTAGGGGTCAAATTCAGCTTTAAAAGTACTGATAATACCACCTTAAAGTCCACCTTAATCTGACCATGATCGGTTTGCCTCATCAGTGAATATAAAGCAACAACCTGAAAACGTTTTAATCCAAGAATTTAATCAGTGATTTAAATAAAGCACCTCAGAGTCTTTCAGCATAAAAGTGGTCTGAACTCCCAGGCTGTGTGCAGACTGCAGGCCACAGTGACCCAAATCTGATTTCTCTGCTCTTATCAGATTCAGAACAAGTCACATTGAATCTGATCTGTTCCAGTTTGGATGTGGGCCACTTTCACATGTGGTCTAAATCAGATCCCGGTCGGATCGTTTGAGTTGTAGGGCTTCTACGCACTGTAGAGCGCCAGAAACAGAATTGTGACCCAGAGAGGAAACCGAGAGAGGGTAATGACAAAAGAGAGGGTTAGCAAGTACGAGCTGAATGCTGTAGTTTACCACGACAGCGTGCTGCATGTGACGTCGTGTTATTCCTTTCAGTTCAAACTGGAGTCTGATATGGGCCACATTTAAACAAATAATGTCAACAGTCAAAAAAAATCAGATCAAGGCAATAAATTGTAATTAATGTAAACGCCAGACTGTGTGTCAGGTCCCAGTCAACACCGAGAAGTCTTGAGTCGAGACCAACGAGTCCCAACGTTCCAAGTCAAGACCAATCACAAGTATTTTAAACGTCTTCAACGAGTCTTTATGTGCAATTTAAAATACTCAAAAAGTAAAAGTTATTGATTCATGACTCTCAAACCTGACTTTCAAAATAAAATGACTGAAAATGACTCCTGAGCTCAAAGTTCTGCCTCCTGTTTTCAGCCGATTGAGAGAACCTGAGGGGTGAAGATGAAGGGCTGATTTATAGTTTTACTGTTCGGGGCTTGAGGAGGACGCTAAGTCATTCCATGTGAAGTAAAACTAAAGTCTGACTCTTCCACACCGACTTTTTGGTCAAATATCAAACCCGTCTCAAGTCTTTGTGTTTCTGCAGTCGCCCGAAACGTTTTCTTGCCTTGTATCTCCGTTATTGACAGAAGCTGTGACGTAGCGTAACATTATTCTGGTCGCGCTAATTTCACCTTATAAGGTTTCATAACACAGCGTTTCTTCCTGTGTGCCTCACTCCTCCTCCCCTCCCACCACATCCTGTGCTGCTTGACAATCCACCAACACTGATCAGCAGATTGGTCAGCAGATAAGCTGAGACACACCTGAAAGGAGAGAAGATGATTTCATCATTTTCTTTGACTGTTTCATCAGTAACAATCTTTTAGAAACTGTTTGCCTCCTTCAAGAGGAAACAGGCGTCCTCCATTCAAAACCTCATTTAAAAATCAGTCGTTTTTGTGGCAGCGTGTTTCTCCAGTGCTCCTGCCTTGAATTTCACCAGAACTGTTAGTTTCAGACTGTCTCCTTATGCAACCAGCAGTTAGTTGGTCAACACGCAGAAGAAGTGAAGAAACACAAAAGGAGAAATGAGAGAAAAAAACATCTCCGCTCGAGTGACTCAACTTCCCTTTAGAGCGCAGGAGGCATCCTGCAGCAACAACCGGCTGCAGGTTCCTCTTCATCCAAACAGAGCTGCTGATGAGACCACCTAAACGCCCACACACAGGGGTGGACAAAATATCAGAAACACCCGAGCTGTGTGACAAAAGCTGCTATCGACCGAGCCGGAAAACGTTCTATCAGAGATTCAACTCGAACTCTTTAAATCCAACCAGAACTGTCCTTTAATTTCAAATTTAAATGCACTTGTGTATTTAAGTGCACTTCCCATCATAAATCACATTTTTAATAATCATTTTACAAACTATCCTGCTAATATTGCTGCAGATGAATCCATTAGAGTTCACTGAGTCGACTTTTTTAATTGAAAACACTTTGAGTCGTGCAACAGTAATGTTTTCCTTTCTATTTACATGTCATGCAGTAATGAACAATTTTAGAAAACCGTAAAAGGCTAGCGTGATGTTGACCACGATGAATCATCAGTCTGCAGCAAGACTCAAGTCAGATTTTCATAAACATAAAAGGGGAAAGAAATGACACACATCAAACATTTAAAACACAACAGTTTAGAAAACTATCAATAATCATGTCTGTAAATAAATCATATATCAGGTATGGCTCAACGTTGAACTGTTCTGCAGCAAAGACATTTTTTACCGTCCCTCCCTCCAAAAGTTGTAATTCATGAGTGTTACAACAAAACCAAAGACTTCCAAGTTTCATTATTCTAGATGATGGATATTCTGATAGATGGTGACCGTGGTGAACATTATGCTGGGGTCCATTTACCTTTGAAGTCGGACCTGGGATTGATGTCACACCCAAGTTGACGGCGTCAGAAAACCAAGATGGACGCCTCTGGCCAGGAAAAACACTTTGGCGCTGCAAAACATACGGAGAGAAAGTCAGAAACACGTGGAGGAGTCAGCTGTATGAAAGAATCGAGGTCAGCTGGTGTAGATATGCAGGGTTAAGGTCAGGACCGCCAAGTCCTGGAGGGGCTGTTTAATGATTCAACTGCAATTCTAAAAGGTCAAAATATCACAACTTTCATCGCAATCCTTTTAGAAAAGCCAAAAAAGGCCCTCAAGATCCTGGAGGGGATGACAAATAAAGACTTTCACGGCTGCTGATGCTCGGAGCAGCCATCTTTGACTTTGAGGTCGGGGTTGATGAGGTTCTTCCAACTTTCGGAGTCAAAGATCTGACTTCAGGGGGAGTTTCAGTTGAAATTTCTGACACTGAACTCGGAAATTCCCGACTTCCCGTGTCAAACTGAACGCAGCATAGCACCTGCTAAACACCAGCACGCTAGCAGTGTCACTGTGAGCGTGTTAGCGTTTAGCTCAAAGCGGCCTCACAGAGCCGCCAGCACGGCTGCAAACAGTTTGTTTACTACTTTGTTTACTGCTCACTTCCTCGTGCAGCCGTACTAATGCAGCTCATTTCCTGTTGACACTTTTATTCTCACCCTCCTCACTCCGGCCGGTTTCTGAGCGGGTGTGAACATTAATTTAAACTAAAATCACATCTTTTTAATCAAAATGAAGCTGCAGAACAAACAGCAGAGAGAGAGAGAGAGAGATGATCAGCATGTGACAGAACATGAGCCTCTCTCTCTCTCTCTCTCTCTCTCTCTCTCTCTCTCTAGTGACTCTGGTTCTATATTTAACCTGCAGGCCGACTGCCGCTCACACATACTCGACATAAACGAGTCCGCCGTGAGACGACGAGCAGGATGGAGGTAAAACTTTTAACTCTCGGCTGTGTGTTTACTTTGTTTTCTGTTGGATCAGCTTGAAGCCAGACACAAAGAGGAGTGAACAGTTTGGTGAAGCCGCTCATCACTTTTAAAAGACCTCCAAAAACGTTTCTGATTTCTTGAATTATTTGGGTTTTTGCCGTGACCTGGACTAGAATTGGCAGAGTGGTCGTCGTGGTGTTTGAGGGGTCGTCAGTCATTTTATTAGAGCCGCATTTTTACACTTGATCTTGTAAATTTTGCAGTAATTTTCTGCAGTGTGATTTAAATTTAAATATGGTTCGCAAACTTGTTTCTTCACTCACACATACCAGACAGTCGCCTTTCCCTCTTTTAAATTCCACGTGAACGCCATCGAAAGCCGGATGTCGGAGTTTTCCAACAGCCCCTCAACGCACCACATATTTGTGGATCAGAGGACATTTCTCACTGCGACAAACGTCTGAGACATGCGGAGATGAAATGCAAATGATCCGACACATGCACGCATGCAAAAACACATCGGTGAACTAGTTTTGACTGTGAGACTAAAAAACGGTTTTTGAAACTTATTGTAACTGATTGAGCTGCGTGATGTTTATCTGGAGTTTACAGTAAAATGATCTGCAGAGCAACATGCTGTGCGTTCTCTGAGCTGGAGGTTACTGCAGGTCACAGCGCGCTCGTTAAAGTCTGCGGTGACAGAAACTACAGGTTCATGACGATGATGTTGGTAGTTTTTACCTTTTCTTCCTAAAATTATTGAAATAGATATGAGAGCTTTCCTTTCACTGCAGCGTTCAGGTCAATTCTCGTTTTCTGAGAAGATTGACTTCATTTTTGTCTTTGTGTCCGGTGCGGAGATAGCCTAGCTTAGCATAAACACTGGGAGCAACAACTCCCAAGTCAGTTTGGAAGCGTGCCAACGTATTTGACAAATGAAGGGTGAACACGATTAATAAACAGAGGTTTCAGATCATTTCAGTGGTTCAGCTGTGGTGACCTTTGACCCACAAATCTGCACCAACGATTTGGGCGGAGAGTCCAAGAACTGACCGCTGGCAAGCTTCATTTTCCCTCTTCAATAACTTTGACTTGTACGAAGCGTGAGATGGAGAGGGAGAGACGCAGAGAGCATCTCCAGGAAACACTGTCAAAGAGTAGCGTTACTTCAGCTGGCTAGCAAGTTAGCTGTTAGCTCGCCAGCCACCACGTCACCAAGACTCAGGAACCAAATGTCTTGCAAAGAGGCGCAGATTATTTTTGCTGTACCACTTCCCGGTGCGATCAGGCACCTTTAGTGTTGTGTTGGATGTTATTTGGACGCCAGTGACGGAGGCTTTGCAGCCATTTTGATACTTGTTTTGTTCACTCTGGGATTTTCGGTTTCGGTTTTTTGGTCATGAGGGAAACGAGATGCAGCATATTTGTCAATCCAAAACGGCAGTCGTAGATTTCACTGTGAGACACGTCCACTGACGGACAGTCAGACCGGCGGTGATTGTTTTCTACGTAGGCCCGTGCACGGACAGCGTCTCGTAGTGCTTGCTGGTTGTAGTGATATTCCATTACAAATTCAATTAGGCCAGATTTTAATTTTTCAGCAGCCTATTTAAAACAATTTTTAGCTTTTGTTTGACACATTTTAAACTAACAGGAATGTTTAACTTCTGAAATATGCAACCTGACTTAACACGGCTCCAACCGTACAACGCTTCTCTGTGAATATTATTAACTACTGCACTCGGAGATGGTGGTAAAATAAACAAGTAGTAGCAGTCCAGGCAGGGTTAAACTGACGTGTTTTCAGAGGAGCACTTCCCTTCTTGTGACTGTAGAAGTTTTTGAAAAGCTACTAAGCGTGGTCAGAAGTCACGTGTGAAAACTTTGATTTGTGTCGCTACATCCGTAAACATCCTCCCAGATCAATGCTGCACATGTGCCAAAAAGAGACGGCTCTCTCGTTGGCTTCTTCCACTCATGATATACGGTTTACAGTTTACTTATCTTGTCATTTATCAGATTTATGTATGCTGGGCCACTCAGACACTGCTTCTGGGCCAGGATGTGGCCCGCGGGCCCCCAGTTGAACAGGCCGGAAGCACTTAAATGTCAGGCTAAATCGCTGTCCTACTTCCCAGCGTCAACCCTCCAGAAGGGCAGCAGTTTTATCATATATACATATATGCAAATATATACACATATACGTATAAACACATCGAGAATGTTATTAAAATATCACACATTAGTCAGATTTCCGTCCTACTGTAGAAAGAAAATTATTGCGTGAATGAAGACCATGAGATGTGTGTGAGAGCTCTGGAAAGCTCAAAGGGGAAGTTTAAATTTTTGTTTTACTCTCACCCTGAGCAATGACACCCAGCAGGTCTCAGCATCATTATGCCAAAGGCTCACTAAAGAATATGACTGTTAATAATAAACCTAAAAGCTAGAAACTGATCCAAAGACATGCTGAAAGTTTGGAAACTTTTATATCGAACAGGGTGAACAGCAGCTATTCTTAGTTTGAACAATGAACACACACACACACACAGAAAGAGGAAGTGGTTTAACGGTTGTTTTCCTCATCACCTTCTGCCTTCAGTCGACTACACGCTGTGGGCAAAGACCAAGACTGAGTGTGTGTGTGGTATTACTCATGTTGTGGGGACACGCCTCTGTTTACACAGTCACATTATGACGACTAAATCTTTAACCTAAAAAAAATTAGGTAAAAGATTTGGTTTAATGTTGGGGTAAGGTTGGGCAGACCGTTCTCATCTCAGGGTGTCCAATACAAACGCTTTCAGAAAAACTGACAAAGCGTAGTTATTTGTGTGAGACGCATCCAGGCTATGTCTTTATGCTCTGGGGTGTCTCACAAAGACTAGCTAGCAAACTAGCACTTGCTGACAGCCTCCCAAAGCCCCCTATTAACCACCACCATTTAACCATAACCATTAGAAATATTAGTGCCAAACCAATGACAGTGAATTTATGCATCGGTTGACTCGCTGCTGGCACTTTAGCCTTTGTGTTGCTGCGACGTAGCAAACTGTGGCATTTCATACAGACTTACCTTTAGTGTCAAATAATTATGTTTTGTCACGCTGTCTGAAAGCATCGGTATAAACGCACCGAGATGAAAATGCGTTGGGGTAAAGTTAGGGCAACGTTAGGTTGGGGCAACGTTAGGTTGGGGCAACGTTAGGTTGGGGCAACGTTAGGTTAGGGCAACGTTAGGTTGGGGTAAGGTTAGGGCAACGTTAGGTTAGGGCAACGTTAGGTTGGGGTAAGGTTAGGGCAACGTTAGGTTAGGGCAACGTTAGGTTGGGGTAAGGTTAGGGCAACGTTAGGTTGGGGCAACGTTAGGTTGGGGTAAGGTTAGGGCAACGTTAGGTTGGGGCAACGTTAGGGCAACGTTAGGTTGGGGCAACGTTAGGTTAGGGCAATGTTAGGTTGGGGTAAGGTTAGGTTAAAAGAGAGGCGATCTACATCTCATGGTGCACAGGTAAAAATTTTATAAAACTTCCCTATAGGGTTAAAGTAAGTCTCTGGGAAATGAATGTAAGTGAATGTAATTTCCTCTGAAGTGACAGACACACGACCGTGTGTGTGAGTGTGTGTGTTTACCAGGCGATGTGATTTCATTATCTGTTGAATGCCAGCTATGTGAGACCTTCAGCCTGAATGGATGTGGATCAACCCGCACGTCAACAGCTGTGTGTGTCTGGCCCTTTAATAGACTTGTACTGTCCCTCCTGTGTTTGGCCTGATACAACAGCTTTGGACTGGCAGCAAACAAACAAAACTCTGTCTGCTTTACATCACATACAGATGTATTTGGTGGGAAGCCAGTGAGGGGCTGGGACTCTGTTGTACCCAGTAACCCAAATACACAGACAGCTGGGAGCCGTAGCATTAGCAGTAGAGATGCTCTCAGATAGCGAGCTAGGCTAACAACATCATGTTCTGCTGCTGCTACCTCCGATGCTATCAGCAGGTACACCACAGGGTAATGTCAACATACAGCTAAATTAAAATGGAGGAAATGCTCAGCAATATACGACAGCTAATGTAGCAGGTTTTGCTAACTAGTATCATAATATTAGTTTGTCTAGTTTATTGTCCGAGCCCAGATAATCTGCGAAGCTTCAACAGGATCACTGAACAATATTTTAACAATGACTTTAGTAAAATGTTAATGTAATAGTATAATGTTGGTTTAGCTTTAATATATTCATTGTATAATGTTAGTATATTCATATAATATTATACTATATATCACTAGTATATTATTAATCCCAGTTACAGCAGTTGTTTGTAGGTTTTGTCACTTCATTCAATTATTGTGCAAGATAAATGCTCCACGAGGTGGTTTGTCTCTTATTTGTTAATGCTAAGTGCTAACTAGTCAATAATATTCAACCATTCATGCATAATGAGTTCAACATTTTTAATGTCCCGCTCCATCCAGGCTGTGATTGGTCGGTTCAGGCATCAACCAAAATTTGGACATGTTTCAACAAATCGCACCTGCCAGGTGTCCAGGCCTGCCAACTTTTAAATTAAGTTTGGAGTCAGTCGGTATCGCCGAGGTCGGTGCATTTTATGAATAGGTCTTCTGTGACACCTGCAGCGGTCGCGGTCATCACTCTTTAATCCTCAGGAATTTTGTTTTAAAAGTTCAGCAGCCACCTTCAGAGTTTTAAAGTAGAAGAGTAGAGTTTTCATATTTTTTTGCACCAATTTCTGCCTTTTATGCTTTAATTTATGGTGGAAATGTCTTTATTTAGGTAAACGGAAACATATAAAAACAGAATATAATGCAGTAGAGGCCTGAAAAGGGCTTTGAAGCATTCTGTCTCTCCTCTTTTGGTTCTTTGTTAGGGCAAGCAACCTCTTTAAACATCAATTTACAGGAGTCAGATGATGACTGTGTTTTAGTAAATGTTTCAAACTTTCTCTCCCACATATCCGTGTTCTCTGACTAACGTCGTCATTTAAGTCTACCTGTCCTATACTCTGCTGTGCGTCACGTTATTTACCTGCTGATGTGGTAGTATGCAAATACAAATGTAAATGCTCTGTATTTGTGTAGCACCTTTCTAGTCTTTGAAGCCACTTTTACACTACATCACATTCACACACTGATGGCGGAGAGGCTAAATTAACACTAGTGTTCACCCCTCAGATCGTAATGCGTTTAAAAGGTGCGGTCACCACAAACCAGCCGACGCTCCCACAGCGAGCGTTACAGTAGCTGCAAACCGCCAGCAGGTCAGAAACACGTGTGGCATGTGGCCTCAGAGCTGCCTCCCTAATGAGCAGCTGCCTTCCTGACAACAACACTCACTTTTCCATCCTAACATGGTCACAACGCTGCCGCCACGCCGCCACAGACAGGAAGTACCCTGCAACACCCGGGGCGGGACAGGCAGCAGCAGCACATTTATTTCTTTTGAACCTCATCACTGCAGCTGCTCCAAAAGCTTCATCTATACTTAAAAAATAATCGCTCGTCTTTTACTTGGTTGTGTGAAATAATTTTTCATCCCATCGACTCTGTTTCAGCCACGATGAGAGGAAGTGAAAAGTAATTGGTGATAACGAAATATTAGCAGCCGCAATGACTGTAATCTCTGGTGTAGTTGCACTGGGAGTACTGGTAGCAGTTTATTACACAGTTAGCTATATAGCTAATTTACATCTGTACTGTCTGGGCAGGAAGACAACAAACAATTTGGGACAAATCAATCAATTCAAACCTGTAAATCTAAAGACACAATTCATAATAATTGGTCAAGCTCAGTTAAAGTGTTGAAGTCAACCTGCAGAGAGTCACATCTGTCTTCTGTCTGATGCACAGGAGCTGCTGCTAAATATGAACACTGTGAAAAAAAGTGAAACTTTCATATATTCTAGATTCATTAGAGAAGTAAGATTAAAACAAAAAAAGGCCTGAAATATTTCGCTTTATGTGTAATGAATCTAGAATATCTTAAAGTTTCACTTTTTGACTTAAATCACAGAAAACATTTAACTTTTCCGTGATATTCTTTTTTTTTTTTTTAGAGGCACCTGTAGATCAGTCTGCTGCACAAACACTGGACACCTTTGATTAATGAAACCAGTCTTGTTGGTTTTTACCTTCTATCCTTTTCCCGCCCTCAGGGGGAGGCTCCGCCCCGCCGCTCTGTGGCTGAACTTGCAGGAAGATTCAAGTGCTCGGCTCCACCACACGATGCTGCCGGGAACGATACGGTGAGTTTAATGTCTGGACATCAGACGGCACATCCAGAGTACAGATATCAGCTGCTTACTGAGTTTATCACACATGAGAATAACACCACCTGACATAGGCTTTCATAAATCAAGCGCCAAGGAGTCAAAAATTAAATAAAAGTATAAGAGAGTAAAAATCAAATGGCAGGCAGAGGAGCAGGTCTCTGCAACGTGGGCGGGCACTGGTGGCTGAGCATCATCATCCACAGAGGAAATCACATGGGTACCTTTTGTCTGTGGTCACATCGGTCTGTTCACCTCCGACAAACACCTCAGGACCAAAAGACACGAGTCCGTCTTTGTACAAAACCGTCCACAGACATCTGCTCGTTCGCTCCACCGTCTAACATTTTTCAGTCATTGAATTGTGGTCGGTGGTTTCGCTTCCTCCCAGTTTACAGTTCATCATTTGGTTTTAATAAGAGAATCTAGGGCTGGGCAATAAAACAATAATGATAATTATCACAATATAATAAATGTTCAATATATCTTCAGTAAGTATTTGGTTTAATTAATTTGAATCACAAACAAATTAGTGCTTAATTTTTCTATTAAAATATTTGTTTCATTGAGGAAAAGGGACTGAAAAAGATTTAGTGATCATATTTGTTGAAAAAGATTTCGGCACAATAGTTTTGAATGTTCTACTTCAGATTTGTTAAGTGATCCGCTGTTTTGTCAGATTCCGAGTGTAAAGAAACGTTTCACCTCATAATTAACCATCTGGTTACTTCAATTTTCACTAAGGAGCAAAAATCTGCAGTATTTTCAATCATAACATTTAATTTCAGCTCCCAGTTTTTCCTTAATATAGTACAGTGTTTCCCACAGGATTTTGTGAGACTATGGTGGATGGACATCGATCCTCCCCACCAGAAGAAAGATTTGTACATTTTAAAGTTAAGTGCATTCATTTGGTGCACTTTGAAAGCAAAATAAAGAGGCCAGATCTTTGAAGAACTTTGCTCTCTTTGCAATTTTGTGCCCTAGTGAACAATTTGATCCTAAACACACTGCGTAGATATAAATGCAGAAGAGTCAACTGATTTATTTTAATGTTTTTCCAGACACCCTAAAATCAATGAATAAGTAATTCCCCAAACATTTCATTTTACTTTTAATGGACACACGTAGGCCTACGCTGTTTTTTTCTACTTCCTGTTAACGTAATCCAATTAATCTTGTTTCCATACATGTTGTGTCAACACCTTATTTTGAAAACCGGACTTTGTCACATGTGTATCCTCGCGCTGGAGTCACCCAGTCCGACGCAGTGGGATAAATTATATTGTATATTGTGCTCGTATTGCGCAAAGTTAAGATCCTTTTAACTGCATTTACCATAAAGGCTCTAAAACGCGTGCACTCTAAATTTAGAGGCTAACTCGATCGCCTTCTCGCAGGCGAGTGATAGAAACGCTGTTCAAACTCTCAGTTAGCGTCGCCGTTATTGTGGCTGTCTCGAGTCGGATGTGTGAGCGCAGCGAGGGAAACACAATAATGTTAATATGTTTTTATTTCATTTTGAAACTATGGCGGAACACAAAAGACTGTGGCGAGCCGCCAATTAATGGGAAACACTGCTAGTTTGTGTTTTGTGGCACAGCAGTTGTCAACCTTTTCTATATATTACATATGTGTTTTTTTGTTGGTAAGTGTTTTTCTGCTATTAAAGTATTTTCTATTTGGTTCAGGTTTTGCTGACCATCTGTCTTTCTTTATGACTTGTGATATATTGTCTAATCTGAAGACAAACTAACTATACAAATCCTTTGATGGGAGGTTAAGTGAACGTTACGAAGTCCAGCCGGATGTTGCTCAGTGAGGAATACAGCTTATCCGTTTTACACTGGTATCAGATTGGTTCTGGTATCGGGACTGAAAAAGTGGGACAGGTGCATCCCTAGTTATGACTTGTCAAATCTGTCTGTAAACGCTGAGGTGTCTGAGCGTCCCTGAATGCACCGACATGGAAAGAAAAGTAACACAGGAATAAAGCATAAGAAACACAGAAATGGTCCTTTAAATCGCACTCGTGCCGAATCAGATGATTGGGTTTTTTTTGCGTGTTTGTGTTTCGTTAAGTGTTCTTCCTCACATTTTCCTTGTAATACTGTAAAAAAAAAAAAAACATGTCTCGGTCACATGTGAGTGTTCAACCGCACTGTGTGAAGAAGAAGAGAAACAGGAAATGAGGCATCATCAACCAGGAGAAGCGGGCTGTAACACTACTGACTGTTCACAACAAACTATTTCAGAATTAAATTTCTCTTTCTGGGAGAGAATTTTCTGGTACATTTTGTCCCATAATGTATCTGAAAAAAACTGTAAACTCTATTAAATTCATCATGAAGAAGCTTTAACTTCTTCCAGCGTGTCAGGAACTAAAACTACAGTCACCACTTTGTTTCATCTGACAATTATTAGACACAAAATGCAGATATTTAGTCACCAGTGAAAGCACGGACACAATAAACAGCAGTGCTCAAAACTGAGATAAGGTGTGTCAGCGCTCTGAAGCTGCAGCTGCGTGACGTGCGGCTCTTATCTTTGATAATGTGTGAAATCTATTTCTGTAGAAGATGAGTGCACATTAATGAGGAACATAAACATGTGTGAGCTTCAGTAAATCTAATATCTCATTAATTAGGCCGTGACACAGACTGACACTGAGGACCAATATGTCTGTGGAGTAGAGCTGGAACAAGAAGTCGAATAATCGCTTAGTTGTCAACTATTAAAATAATCTAACTATTTTGATTGAAAAAAAAGTCCAAATTGTCTGATTCCAGCTTCTCAACTGTGAATATTTCCTGGTTTCTTTCCTCCTCTGTGACAGTAAAGTCAATGTATTTGTGTTTGTGGACAAAACAAGAATTTTGAGGACGTCATCTTGGTCTTTGGGTACGGAAGCCCTAAGAGGCCAAACATTCATACATTTTATTTACTCAGTTTTCCCGTGATAACGAGTTAATACTGAGTTAATAACTTGTTTTTTCAAGATCTCGAGTTACTTTTGTCGGTATCTTAAAATAACAAATGCTGTTTTCCCGAGATAATGACAAAATTAATTTGTACCCGGTTAGCTCATTCGGTAAAGCGCAGGACTTTTAATCTCAGGGTTGTGTGTTTGATCCCCACTCCGTGTAAATAATCTCTCTGTCTCTCTTCATCAAATAAACTATGAAGAGACTGTTTCACACAATAAAGCGTGCGCTGGAGTGTGTGCGTCCCAGGGATTGATCCACACCCATCAACCGATGGACGCTAATTTTCTTGCCGACTGTTGTCGACCACTGGTCTAGCTTGATTACAGGAAACATCATTCAGTGTAGCAATGTCAGATGAGCAGGAGAATATTGATCATATACGTCTTTTCTCTTAGGCTGAAACTCTTGCTGTTACAGAAAACATAGACAAAAACATAGAAAGCAGACGGTTAGCAAGGCTACAGCTTTATCGGCGACCAGTCACATTTGATTCATTATTGTTTTCTCGTTATCTCAAGAAAATTATACCGTTATCTCGGGAAAACAACACTTGTTATTTCAAGATAACAACAACAGTAACTCAAGATCTCGAGAAAACAGGTTAAATTAACTCATTATCACGGGAAAACAGAGTCAATAAAATGTATGAATGTATGGCCTCTTAGAGCTTCCATATTTAACACAAACTACATTCTTCACCATTTTCTGGACCTAACAGCTAATCGATTAATCGGGAAACTACTCGGCAGAATAACTGATAATCCTACTGCCCTAATGTGTCTCTTTGGCGTCATGACTCCTTTTCAACAAGGTTGATTTTGGTGCTTTTTATATGTTGTGGCTTGTTTAAGTACTCTGGTACTTTGCATCAAATTCAAGCCGTGTAACAGAAACAGAATCAAAGCGTGACATCTCTGAGCCTCCTGACCGCGTGAAGCTTTATGTACGAACATGTACGTGTTTACACAGGGTCACAGATTTAAATAAATAATAAATATTCTAATACAGAAATGATAAACAGCTGCTTTTTATAACTGCACATGTCCCACAGCCATGGATGGATCATGAGACAGCTGGACACAGAGGATCTGTTGACCGTCTCTGTAACAGGTGTCGACTGATCCCTCCGGAGACCTCGTTCGTTTCATTTCTGGTTCTGTTGTTTAAATTAAAAACATCTGAGCTGACCTCCTCTCTGCAAAGCAAAATTCATCATCATCATCTTCTTAAAGGGAAAAGTCACATTTTCAGACTCCCAGTATTCAAGCAACCAGGAAAAGTTTCTGTTTATGTCGAACATGATACTCCATTTTAAAAAGATGTATAAAGAAATTATTCTCAACAGGTAAAGAAGGGTTCTAAAAACCACCAGGAGTTCTCATTGACTGATTTGTAAATCAGAAGGTAGTTATGTGTAAATATATAGACTTGTTTGTGTGAATGTCTGTTACAATTTTTTTTTTTACATTTATTTACCTTAAATTTGAAGTTTCACTGTAAAAAAAACCAGAAAGTTGTCTTATTTTTACGCTCTGAAAAGATTTTTTTGTCTTTTAACAAATAATTCAGTGTAATTTAACATTGAAGGTAATTAAGCAGTGGAATAATCCTGTTAAAAAAACATTTCTCATTATATGAATTTAAAGATTATAACCTTTATTTAACGGTTAATATTTGTAATTAAAGTATTTTTGGCATTTTAATGTTTAATTAACATGTGATGTTGAAAGAAACTGAAAATATCTGTAAAATAACAGATTGAATTTCTGTTAAAAAAACAGCCTTTTTAACAGTGTAATCTTCTTGTTTGGATTTACTATGTTGTAGATTTATAAATTCTGTTGATTTATTATTAGTAGATGTATTTAGTAAATAAAGGGGTAGGAGCACATAAAGTTTTACTTCTTCTTACTTCCTTTCGCACATGTAAATAGGTGTGTTAAAATCCAGGAAATTGTGTACTCCATGTTTTGTTGTCTCTATTTTTTTTTACCAATGTTTGTAGTTTTTCTTCGTTTTTACATGACAGCAATTAATCAATCATGTCATTTAAGGTCTTTCAGTCTAAAAGCTGTTGGTTTCAGTCTTATCTGAAATCATTTTAAATCACTTTAAATGCTCATCGTTGTTCACAACATTTCAGTCAGCTTCATCTTTTAGTTGATTCAAACTAAAAAGATAGAGGCTGACTAAACGTGACTGTTGACGACTAAACTAACACATCTTAGCAGCTGATACTCTGCTTCTGAAACATTATGGTGCAATAATACTGTGATCGTTGTTTGTTCACCAGGAGAAGCCGGTCAGGCGACGCCCTCCTCGCTCCTTACAGCTCCCCAAAACACATGGAGATGACCAGGAGGTGAGAGACACGCTCACCACGCACAGGAGGCAACCAATCAGAGCTCAGCATGGCACACTTACCTAACAGTACACACTCACGCTAACTGGGTCTTATCATGTGGTGAGTTCAGGGAACGCCAGCTAAAGACAGAGTCATCAGTTTGTTACATGAAGCAAATGTAAGAATACTGTCAGCTATGGCGGAGTCTTAACACATTTTTACAAATTTAACCCCTGTCTTTAAAGCTCTGCTCCTGTCTGGGCCCCATTCCAAACATTTTAAACCGCCTCGGCTCCTGATTGTTTACAAGTGGGTGACAACAAAAGTAGAACTTCTTCATTTTGTAACTTGGTCTGCTTCAATGACCATTACAAGAGTTGGACAACAGAACTCTGAGAGCGTCCTTTACTGCAGCAAGGAGGTTTGGCATCTGGATAAAAAATGTTTTAAGCCATTAGATGACGGGCTAGAACATAATCAAAGGATAATTGAAGACGAGCTGGTTAAATCAGGATTCTCAATCTTGTGGTTGTGTGTTTGATCTCCACATCAGGCAAATATTTTCTCTCCTATTCAACTTGTTAACTATGAAGACACTGTTTCACATGCTCTCAATAAAGCATGTGATGCAGTGTGTGTTTTCAAAGTAAAAGCTTTTAACTCAAATTAAAGCATTGCTGCAAAAAACTCTCATGCTTTTATTTTGTAGATAAAATCAAAAAAGAGGAAATGGTCATGTCAGTAAATGTTGCTGGCTTGACTGAGATCTATTTCAGAACAAGCCGCAATTAAAGTAATCTGCCCAGGAGCCAGATATAATTGCTGGCAGCCCAGTTTTGGCCTGCGGGCTGCCTGTTGCCGACCCCTCACTCACTATGCCAGGTTAAATGTATCCCAGCTCTACAGGTGATGTGCACAGAGTTCTTGTAGGTGCTAAACTCAACCCAGGAATATGAAATATAAACAAGTTACTCTACAAAACAAAGAGGATTTAATCTTTAAAAGTAAATCCAATCTCATCAGACCACGTTAATAATAATCTGAGCCTCACCTGACGACGGCGAACAGGTGTGTTGTTTCCTCTGAGCTCTGTTTGAAAGTGTGTGTGTGTCTCAGCAGCCTCCAGGTGTCACCTCTCCTCTACCTACCAAAGCCAAGAGGAACTCTGCTCTGATTGAGAAGCTCCAGGTGAGTCCAGGTGGTTTCTGTTGGACTCTGCTGCTCTCTGCTGGTCTGGACGGAGAGCTGCACTCTGACATCTCTCTCTCTATCTGTAGGCCAACCTCGCTCTCTCCCCCTCGGCCATGTTGCCCTCACCAAAGAGCCCCGGCTTCAGGCTACTGCCCCCCGCCTTCCCCCCGGCCTCAGCCCCGGTTACCACCTCTTCCACGACGACCCCCACCAGCCCCGTTATCGTCTCTCCGTTAACTGAAGAGGAAGGCCCCGCCACCTTTGAAGCCCCTCCCACTGTGGCGGAGGGGTCCATCCTGATGAACATCAACAAGGTCAGTGAGAGAGCTAAAGGGCTGTCCTCATGATCAAACCCAGTGTTCTCATTGGTCCACTTCATAATACAACTTTACAAGAACAGGAAAAAGATGAAGTCATCCAATCCAGGATGTAAACTTTAAAAAAGTAATAATATTACTTTACTTAATCCTGTAGATTAAAAGTAACTAGTTAAATTACTGGACAACCTGTTCAGCAGCTGATACAAGAAATTAATCCACTTTATAACAATAATGAACCTGAGGAGTCAACAAGCCGCCGAATTGAAAACACTGCAGCGTCTCAGACCAGAGGATGCTGCACATTGATATACAGGATTTAACTAAATAAAATGAATGTTTTCTGCACATGAATTTATCAGAGCAGTATTCAGTGTTTTTACAGAACATCATATGTTGCTTAATGCCGCTCTCTCCCGGCGAGTGCATCGTCACAGGCATTAGCTCCTCCCGGTCAGAGGAAGAGATTCTTTCTACAAGTTTCATGTTACATCAGATTTAGAATCTGGGAACACAGCGTTACTTTGATTAATATCTGTAATATTATTACTGTTTTGGAAATAATAATCCGCTAGTTTCAGGGGAAAGTAATAATATTACTGTTACTGCTCAACACTGATTATAACACATGCAATAATGACTACATTGGCTGAGCTAGTGAACACATTAAATAAAAAAACATATATTCAGTACACTGTTTGTGGAGATGTTAAAGTTGAAGGTTAATCTCAACCTGCTGATGTGCTAGCAGCTCGGTGAGGTTGTTCATAGCAGTGTTTTGAGCTAAATGCTAACACCTTGATACTAGCATGCTGACGATTAGCAGGTGTAACATTTACCATGTTCCTAACATTAGCATAAAGAATAAGGGCTGAACAATTGGCCTGCCTCTGTGCGAAGCAGCTCTAACGCTGATTAACATGTTAAATCTCAGCCTTTTTCCATCTATACAAACTGCAGTGTAGAAACGAGGACGTCATGTGCCTGTTTTCAGTCCTTATGCTAAGCTAAGCTAAGCTAACCAGCTGCTGGTTTTAGCTTCATATTTACCATAAAGACATGATCGTGGTATCAATGTGAACATTTAACTCTCAGGAACAAAGAGAAGAAAAGGATTTCCCAAATATCAAACTATTCCTTAAACCATGACAAGGTGAGGTCGGGATACCTGATGCAGGTGTGACACGCCACCTTCGGAGGCCTGCTATTGGCTGATTGACGGGGGTCTTTGTGGGTAGACATTTTTGTTGTCCTTATGACTGATTAAAATTATTTTCTGATGAACATGAGTATTGTCCAGCTTAATGAGTTAATTTGAAATGTCTGAATGCAATGACCTCACCTGTCTGTCTCTGCCCCCATTGGTCCTTCTCCAGAGCCGAGCCCGCCACTCCATCCGGCGACGCCCTCCGTCCCGCCGCCACAGGACATCCAGCAGTGGAGATGAGGTCAGCGTCGCCAGCGAGGGCGGGGATGTCTCTGTTAGCTCCCCGAGCGAACTAGAAGACAAAACAATAGGAGAAGAAGGAAAAGGAGGAGAAGAAGAGAAAGGAGGAGGAGGAGGAGGAGGAGGAGAGGTTTTCACACAGGAAGTTAAAAGAGACGAGGCGAAGGACGAAGAGAAAGACTCTTCAACGTGTCCTGAGAAAAACAAATCCCAAGAAGAAGATCAGTCAAAGACCAACCCCGGAGATGAAGACGAGGAGAAGAAGGTGGGAGAGAACGGATCCATGGAAGAAGAGAAGGGAGACGGTTCTTCATCGGGAAAGAAGGAGGAAGCTCAAGAGAAAATCTCTGGAGACAACCAGGAAGAAGATTCAGCTGCAGGAGCGATCAACACAGATCGCAAAGAAGAAGAAACAGTCCAGGTGAGAACCAGGCCTCTTATTTTTCATCATTTTATATTTGATGATGTTTCAGTAAGAAGCTCTCCTGTTGTCTGATCTGCTATCGATACAAACTCAGCATGTCCTCCATGTTTACATGTTTGTGTCACTATAATGTCTGTTTCCACAACATAACACAGAAGTGGACTGTTGGTGGCTTGTTAGCAGCTTGCTATCGGACTGTTGGCAGCTGTTGGTGGCTTGTTAGCAGCTTGCTATCGGACTGTTGGTGGCTTGTTAGCAGCTTGCTATCGGACTGTTGGTGGCTTGTTAGCAGCTTGCTAGTGGACTGTTGGCAGCTGTTGGTGGCTTGTTAGCAGCTTGCTAGTGGACTGTTGGTGGCTTGTAGGTGGCTTGTTAGCAGCTTGCTATCGGACTGTTGGTGGCTTGTTAGCAGCTTGCTATCGGACTGTAGGTGGCTTGTTAGCAGCTTGCTATCGGACTGTTGGTGGCTTGTTAGCAGCTTGCTATCGGACTGTTGGTGGCTTGTTAGCAGCTTGCTAGTGGACTGTTGGCAGCTGTTGGTGGCTTGTTAGCAGCTTGCTATCGGACTGTTGGTGGCTTGTTAGCAGCTTGCTATCGGACTGTTGGTGGCTTGTTAGCAGCTTGCTATCGGACTGTAGGTGGCTTGTTAGCAGCTTGCTATCGGACTGTAGGTGGCTTGTTAGCAGCTTGCTATCGGACTGTTGGTGGCTTGTTAGCAGCTTGCTATCGGACTGTTGGTGGCTTGTTAGCAGCTTGCTAGTGGACTGTTGGCAGCTGTTGGTGGCTTGTTAGCAGCTTGCTATCGGACTGTTGGGGGCTTGTTAGCAGCTTGCTAGTGGACTGTTGGCAGCTGTTGGTGGCTTATTAGCAGCTTGCTATCGGACTGTTGACAGCTGTTGGTGGCTTGTTAGCAGCTTGCTATCGGACTGTTGGCAGCTGTTGGTGGCTTGTTAGCAGCTTGCTATCGGACTGTTGACAGCTGTTGGTGGCTTGTTAGCAGCTTGCTATCGGACTGTTGACAGCTGTTGGTGGCTTGTTAGCAGCTTGCTATCGGACTGTTGGCAGCTGTTGGTGGCTTGTTAGCAGCTTGCTATCGGACTGTTGGCAGCTGTTGGTGGCTTGTTAGCAGCTTGCTATCGGACTGTTGGTGGCTTGTTAGCAGCTTGCTATCGGACTGTTGGCAGCTTGCTATCGGACTGTTGGCAGCTTGCTATCGGACTGTTGGCAGCTTGTTAGCAGCTTGCTATCGGACTGTTGGCGGCTTGTTAGCAGCTTGCTATCGGACTGTAGGTGGCTTGTTAGCAGCTTGCTATCGGACTGTAGGTGGCTTGTTAGCAGCTTGCTATCGGACTGTAGGTGGCTTGTTAGCAGCTTGCTAGTGGACTGTTGGCAGCTGTTGGTGGCTTGTTAGCAGCTTGCTATCAGACTGTTGGGGGCTTGTTAGCAGCTTGCTAGTGGACTGTTGGCAGCTGTTGGTGGCTTGTTAGCAGCTTGCTATCGGACTGTTGACAGCTGTTGGTGGCTTGTTAGCAGCTTGCTATCGGACTGTTGGCAGCTGTTGGTGGCTTGTTAGCAGCTTGCTATCGGACTGTTGACAGCTGTTGGTGGCTTGTTAGCAGCTTGCTATCGGACTGTTGACAGCTGTTGGTGGCTTGTTAGCAGCTTGCTATCGGACTGTTGACAGCTGTTGGTGGCTTGTTAGCAGCTTGCTATCGGACTGTTGGCAGCTGTTGGTGGCTTGTTAGCAGCTTGCTATCGGACTGTTGGTGGCTTGTTAGCAGCTTGCTATCGGACTGTTGGCAGCTTGCTATCGGACTGTTGGCAGCTTGCTATCGGACTGTTGGCAGCTTGCTATCGGACTGTTGGTGGCTTGTTAGCAGCTTGCTATCGGACTGTTGGTGGCTTGTTAGCAGCTTGCTATCGGACTGTTGGTGGCTTGTTAGCAGCTTGCTATCGGACTGTTGGTGGCTTGTTAGCAGCTTGCTAGTGGACTGTTGGCAGCTGTTGGTGGCTTGTTAGCAGCTTGCTATCAGACTGTTGGTGGCTTGTTAGCAGCTTGCTAGTGGATTGTTGGCAGCTGTTGGTGGCTTGTTAGCAGCTTGCTATCGGACTGTTGGTGGTTTGTAGGTGGCTTGCAAGTGGACTGTTGGCAGCTGTTGGTGGCTTGTTAGTAGCTTGCTATTGGACTGTTGGTGGTTTGTAGGTGGCTTGCAAGTGGACTGTTGGCAGCTGTTGGTGGCTTGTTAGTAGCTTGCTATCGGACTGTTGGTGGTTTGTAGGTGGCTTGCAAGTGGACTGTTGGCAGCTGTTGGTGGCTTGTTAGCAGCTTGCTATCGGACTGTTGGCAGCTGTTGGTGGCTTGCTAATGGACTGCTGGTGGCTTGTTAGCAGCTTGCTAGTGGACTGTTGGTAGCCTGTTGGTGGTTTATTGGCGAAATTGTTAACAGCTTGCTAGTGAACTGTTGGTGGCTTGTTAGCAGCTTGCTAGTGGACTGTTGGTGGCTTGTTAGCAGCTTGCTAGTGGACTGTTGGTGGCTTGTTAGCAGCTTGCTATCGGACTGTTGGCAGCTGTTGGTGGCTTGTTAGCAGCTTGCTATCGGACTGTTGGTGGCTTGTTAGCAGCTTGCTAATGGACTGTTGGTGGCTTGTTAGCAGCTTGCTAATGGACTGTTGGTGGCTTGTTAGCAGCTTGTTAATGGACTGTTGGTGGCTTGTTAGCAGCTTGCTATCAGACTGTTGGGGGCTTGTTAGCAGCTTGCTATCGGACTGTTGGGGGCTTGTTAGCAGCTTGCTAGTGGACTGTTGGCAGCTGTTGGTGGCTTGTTAGCAGCTTGCTATCAGACTGTTGGGGGCTTGTTAGCAGCTTGCTAGTGGACTGTTGGCAGCTGTTGGTGGCTTGTTAGCAGCTTGCTATCGGACTGTTGACAGCTGTTGGTGGCTTGTTAGCAGCTTGCTATCGGACTGTTGGCAGCTGTTGGTGGCTTGTTAGCAGCTTGCTATCGGACTGTTGGCAGCTGTTGGTGGCTTGTTAGCAGCTTGCTAGTGGACTGTTGGCAGCTGTTGGTGGCTTGTTAGCAGCTTGCTGGTGGCTTGTAGGTGGCTTGTCAGCAGCTTGCTGGTGGACTGTTGGTGGCTTGTTAGCAGCTTGCTAGTGGACTGTTGGTGGCTTGTAGGTGGCTTGTTAGCAGCTTGCTGGTGGACTGTTGGTGGCTTGTTAGCAGCTTGCTATCGGACTGTTGGTGGCTTGTAGGTGGCTTGTTAGCAGCTTGCTAGTGGACTGTTGGCAGCTGTTGGTGGCTTGTTAGCAGCTTGCTATCGGACTGTTGGTGACTTGTTAGCAGCTTGCTAGTGGATTGTTGGCAGCTGTGGGTGGCTTGATAGCAGCATGCTATCAGACTGTTGGGGGCTTGTTAGCCGCTTGCTGGTGGACTGTTGGTGGTTTGTAGGTGGCTTGCTAATGGACTGTTGGCAGCTGTTGGTGGCTTGTTAGCAGCTTGCTAGTGGACTGTTGGCAGCTGTTGGTGGCTTGTTAGCAGCTTGCTAGTGGACTGTTGGTGGCTTGTAGGTGGCTTGTTAGCAGCTTGCTATCGGACTGTTGGTGGCTTGTTAGCAGCTTGCTATCGGACTGTTGGTGGCTTGTTAGCAGCTTGCTAGCGGCTTGCTGGCGGACTGTTGGTGGCTTGTTAGCAGCTTGCTAGTGGACTGTTGGTGGCTTGTAGGTGGCTTGTTAGCAGCTTGCTATCGGACTGTTGGTGGCTTGTTAGCAGCTTGCTAGTGGACTGTTGGTGGCTTGTAGGTGGCTTTTTAGCAGCTTGCTATCGGACTGTTGGTGGCTTGTAGGTGGCTTGTTAGCAGCTTGCTAGTGGATTGTTGGCAGCTGTTGGTGGCTTGTAGGTGGCTTGTTAGCAGCTTGTTAGTGGATTGTTGGCAGCGGTTGGTGGCTTGTTAGCAGCTTGCTATCGGACTGTTGGTGGCTTGTTAGCAGCTTGCTAGTGGATTGTTGGCAGCTGTAGGTGGCTTGTCAGCAGCTTGCTATCGGACTGTTGGTGGCTTGTTAGCAGCTTGCTAGTGGATTGTTGGCAGCTGTTGGTGGCTTGTTAGTAGCTTGCTATCGGACTGTTGGTGGTTTGTAGGTGGCTTGCAAGTGGACTGTTGGCAGCTGTTGGTGGCTTGTTAGTAGCTTGCTATTGGACTGTTGGTGGTTTGTAGGTGGCTTGCAAGTGGACTGTTGGCAGCTGTTGGTGGCTTGTTAGTAGCTTGCTAGTGGACTGTTGGTGGCTTGTTAACAGCTTGCTAGTGAACTGTTGGTGGCTTGTTAGCAGCTTGCTAGTGGACTGTTGGCAGCTGTTGGTGGCTTGCTAATGGACTGCTGGTGGCTTGTTAGCAGCTTGCTAGTGGACTGTTGGTAGCCTGTTGGTGGTTTATTGGCGAAATTGTTAACAGCTTGCTAGTGAACTGTTGGTGGCTTGTTAGCAGCTTGCTAGTGGACTGTTGGTGGCTTGTTAGCAGCTTGCTAGTGGACTGTTGGTGGCTTGTTAGCAGCTTGCTATCGGACTGTTGGCAGCTGTTGGTGGCTTGTTAGCAGCTTGCTATCGGACTGTTGGTAGCTTGTTAGCAGCTTGCTAATGGACTGTTGGTGGCTTGTTAGCAGCTTGCTAATGGACTGTTGGTGGCTTGTTAGCAGCTTGTTAATGGACTGTTGGTGGATTGTTAGCAGCTTGCTAGTGGCTTGTTAGCAGCTTGCTAGTGAACTGTTGGTGGCTTGTTAGCAGCTTGCTAGTGGACTGTTGGTGGCTTGTTAGCAGCTTGCTAGTGGCTTGTTAGCAGCTTGCTAATGGACTGTTGGTGGCTTGTTAGCAGCTTGCTAGTGGACTGTTGGTGGCTTGTTAGCAGCTTGCTAGTGAACTGTTGGTGGCTTGTTAGCAGCTTGCTAATGGACTGTGGGTGGCTTGTTAGCAGCTTGCTAGTGAACTGTTGGTGGCTTGTTAACAGCTTGCTAGTGAACTGTTGGTGGCTTGTTAGCAGCTTGCTAGTGGACTGTTGGTGGCTTGTTAGCAGCTTGCTAGTGGACTGTTGGTGGCTTGTTAGCAGCTTGCTAGTGGACTGTTGGCAGCTGTTGGTGGCTTGTTAGTGGCTTGCAAGTGGACTGTTGGCAGCTGTTGGTGGCTTGTTAGTAGCTTGCTAGTGGACTGTTGGTGGCTTGTTAACAGCTTGCTAGTGAACTGTTGGTGGCTTGTTAGCAGCTTGCTAGTGGACTGTTGGTAGCCTGTTGGTGGTTTATTGGCGAAATTGTTAACAGCTTGCTAGTGAACTGTTGGTGGCTTGTTAGCAGCTTGCTAGTGGACTGTTGGTGGCTTGTTAGCAGCTTGCTAGTGGACTGTTGGTGGCTTGTTAGCAGCTTGCTAGTGAACTGTTGGCAGCTGTTGGTGGCTTGTTAGCAGCTTGCTATCGGACTGTTGGTAGCTTGTTAGCAGCTTGCTAATGGACTGTTGGTGGCTTGTTAGCAGCTTGCTAATGGACTGTTGGTGGCTTGTTAGCAGCTTGTTAATGGACTGTTGGTGGATTGTTAGCAGCTTGCTAGTGGCTTGTTAGCAGCTTGCTAGTGAACTGTTGGTGGCTTGTTAGCAGCTTGCTAGTGGACTGTTGGTGGCTTGTTAGCAGCTTGCTAGTGGCTTGTTAGCAGCTTGCTAATGGACTGTTGGTGGCTTGTTAGCAGCTTGCTAGTGAACTGTTGGTGGCTTGTTAGCAGCTTGCTAGTGAACTGTTGGTGGCTTGTTAGCAGCTTGCTAATGGACTGTGGGTGGCTTGTTAGCAGCTTGCTAGTGAACTGTTGGTGGCTTGTTAGCAGCTTGCTAGTGAACTGTTGGTGGCTTGTTAGCAGCTTGCTAGTGGACTGTTGGTGGCTTGTTAGCAGCTTGCTAGTGGACTGTTGGTGGCTTGTTAGCAGCTTGCTAGTGGACTGTTGGTGGCTTGTTAGCAGCTTGCTTGTGGCCTGTTGATGGTTTGTTGGTAGCCTGTTGGTGGCTAACGCTGTTTCCAGAGAAGAAGCTGTAAGAAGCGGCTCAGCAGCAAACAGCAGACAGACTTAGCAGCGCCAAACGCCAAACACAGAGCTAACAGAGAGAGAATACTGGACTCACATTCATCAGGTGACACAAACACGACTCCACAAGTATTGTGTTGCTCTGTAGCTGCTAGAAGTGGAAATAAGCTGCTGTCTGATAACAAGTTCACCATTTTAATGTTGGCTTCACAGTCTGTCAGTTTGTCAAGCAGACAGAAAACGTTACTAGTTTAAATGTTGTACTTGTTTTCTCCCACAGGAGACGACGTGTCAGAGTTCAGCCCGGTGAGTGATCAGACGTCCGGCCGAGCCGGAGCATGGCAGCCATGTTGAGCCCCTGGGGTGCTGGGAGGGAGACCCTGTTGCAGCGAGGCCTGGAGGAAAAAGCCCGTCTAAGAATGTGGACTCACGGACGAACTTATGAGGTGTTCAGTGGAGATTCGTTTTCTTTGACGTGGTGAAGACGAAGTGAGGAAACCGATATAATTGGGAATTTAACTGAAGCTTTAATTCAGGATGAAGTGCGGCTTGGCAAGAAAACACCTGAAATTGATTTTTTTACTAATCCTATACTCAAAGCCTTTTTACACTCCAATGCTGGATTTGTTCCTTTTTCTAAGAATCTCATGTAATTGTGTTGTTTTTCATTATTGTGTTTTCTTGCTGTTTTGTTCCTTCAGAGCTGTGAGTGATGATGATGATGGTGATGAGTGATTTTTGGTGTCTGTGCGTTTATTTAAAGCAACAAATGTAAAGTCAACATAAGAGACACGCTGAAGGGAAAAGCTGAAGCCTTATTCCAAAGATTCATAGAAACTACTTTTTAATAAACATGGAGGTTTTTATTGTTTTAAACTGGAGACGTCACATTGTGCCTTTAAGTCTGAAAAGTTAAATTAAAATGCATATTTTGAACGTTCATCTGTGCCTTAATGTTCTGAGAGTTTTCCATGTTTTACGTTCAGCGCTGGAAGAAGTTCCTCACCGAGGCTTGTCAAGTGGATTGTTTGTAGAGAAAGTGGAAGAGAAATGTACATGTGTCATAAACCGTGTGTTTGCTCATTACTCGTCTGTTTAGTTATATGAATACATTCAGAGTAACACGATACGTCCAACTCAGCAGGAACCGCTTGCAGTTCAAGCCTCAGAAGAACATTTATTTCTCTTCTGTGACAGCAAGCACAATGCCTCAACTGTTGGGCTTAAACAGCTGCGTTACGCCTGACTGAAGTAACTTAACTACCCGTTATAGCTACACAGGAGAGACTCGCTTCCCACAACAAACCAGCGTTGTCACACATAGGTTACCCACAAGGCCACCTGCCCTAGGGTGCTTTCACACCTGTAGTTTGGTTAAACTGACAGACAGGTAACTTGTTGATTGGACAGTTTTGCATCATCAGGACCCACGTGGGGAATCACTTTCTGGTGACTCACTGCAGCACTTTAATGCTTCTGAAGTGTAGATTCAAACTGAAATTTCATTCATCCTGAGCTGAACTGAAAGATCTAAGACTTTCTCTATGTACACAGCAAGCTGCCAACAAACCACCAACAGAAACCCCTACAAATGGTTCAAAACACAGCAGATTGGTTTTGGTCACTTGAATAAATATAATCCAGCCTGTGCTACCATTTCACCAATCATTTTCCAACAAAATCTTTCAGGACATTTTTCTTTTCTCCTAATTTTCCACATGTTTTCCATGACTGGAAAATTGGCCATCATTTGTTTTTCCATGTCATCAGGACGTGTGAGAACACTTCAATAATTTATTTGCCATCGCTGTGATGTTAAATGAAGCACCTGATTGGAGGACAGGTGATGTCAGGGACTGGAAAGGTGAGTTCGTGCTGAAACTCTTTGTCTGGCTCAATGATTATGAGGATGTTCCCACAGCTGGCTCGTCTCCACGCGACTTGTTAACCGTTAATCTACCGAGCGCTGGTACCTGGAAAAGACGGATCTGCTCGCTGCGTTTAAATCTTATTCTGGATAATCTGTTTGATCCTCTGATACACTCGTATCCAGCCTCTCTCTGCTGCCTGAAATAACACAGATCAACAAAAGGAAGGCTGAAGTCTCGCTGCCAAAAACGGAAAACCTGGAGGCCAGAGGCATGCTGGGAGAGTTTATGACAGGTGATCACGGTCCTGCAATTTCTACACCGCCTACAAAATCCCTGGCTTTAAGTGTGCCTGGAGGAATTGAAGAGGCAAATACTGATTTGATTTAGTTTTCTTCTGTTCACTGAAGTTGCATTTTGTTTATTCATAAATATAATCTATTAACAAGTCTGTGAGTTAAAAATAACATACTAACATTAGCTAATTAACAGTAAACACAAAGTGCAGAGAGAACCCACCCAGCAGCTGTGGAGATGATTCAGTCTGTACCAAAGTGGAGGACAGTTGTTCGCATCCATAGAGATGCTGGAAAAAAACTACGTACTGAATCTCTGCAACAGACAAAATTCTCCTCACCAAAGACAAATTAGCTGGACTGAATCTCTAAATGTTCACAGCTCTGTAAAACTAACCCTGAACACGTCAGAGCATGCAGTCTCTGCACTGCAGTGCTCATTGCACAACCTCAAATTACTCTTAAAAACAAGTTCATGAAATTCACTAGAGCTCGGAGAACCTTAGCCTTTACACACTAAATGGCGTTGCCATTGAAAGGGTAACTCGCTACAAATATCTCGGTATTTGGCTAGACGATAAATTAGCTTTTAAAATACACATAGATAAGCTTTTAAATAAACTCAGACCCAAACTATGAAGCGAGAAAGGAACTTGTCCAGTCTACCTTTTTGTCGGTAGAGTAGAGTTGGGTAAGATGCCCCCCCTCAGCTCAATGTCTATTTTCTGACACATAAAATAATATTTTATAGGTTTTTTGTATCTTGGAGACGGCCATGCTCAGGGTAACATAATGTAAAGTAAGATAAATACCTACAGTTGAGAAATTATTTTGAATTTAATCAAATGTAAATTTTAGGAGAAAGGCATTTAAGACGCCCCCCCCCCTCAGCTCAATGTCTATTTTCTGACACATAAAAGAACATTTTATTGATTTTTTTGTATCTTTAAGAAGGCCATGACATATTGTAAAATAAATAGCTACAGTTGACAAATTAATTTGTATTTAATCAAACGTATTTTTTAGGGAAATGGCATTTTCCACATGGGGTAACATCTTACCCCGAACATACTAATCTAGCATTTTACTACTTTAACCAAAAACTATAAAAAAATCTTTCTCTATAAACATTTGCATAACTTATCTTAAAGCTCCCCCTAATGTTAATTTAAAAAATTGTGATTTATTAGTTTTAGTTCAGTGAGAGGAGGGGCAGCCAGAAGAAATGCTGAGACTGGGGTCTCATGTTAGCCTACTTATGACTACGGGGACCTGCTGTATCTGCATGTGTCCTCATCACTGTTAAAGAAACTTGATGCGTTTTATTACACTTGCTAAATCGCGCACACATCACTGCAGATTATTTGATATGCTGGGTGGGCCGTCATTAGCTATGCGGAGACAGCTACATCTGTGTATCTTTATTAATAAGGAGCTCGTTTGCAAATGACCACATTACATTGACAACCTCCTCAGCTTTGCGGTCAGTGGTCATCGTACCCAGTCCAGCTGCATTTAAAAGTTCCCAGGGTGACTTCAGTGTTGGGACAGACCTTCTCCTGCTGTGCACCATTAACATGGAACTACTTGTAAGGGATCCTTCGGCTGGAGGTACTGGTACCTCTTGAGGAGTTCAAATCCTTGATTACAGAGGATTTTAAAGATGAATGTTACTGTTTTTGAATAAGCAGACTCTACTCTGATGTATTTAATCTGCTCATTGAAGTTTGAATGTACTGGTTTCATAGCGGGTCGCGACTGTTGCATTTGTATGCAGGTAAAGGGGGAAATGTTCTGATTGTATTTTGTACCGTCTGACTTGCTGTCCTGCTGCCTTTCTTGGGCAGTGCAACCTTAAAAAAAAGATTTTATGTCGATGGTCAATCCCGAGGTTAAATAAAGGCTAAATAAAAGAGCGTGCTCAGTCTCAGAAACATGAACGGAAACCTGTCGAGTGAGTTTAACGAGTTAAAACGGTCAAATGTGTCTTCTGATAAACAAAAGATGCTCAAAGCAGTCAGACCGGAATGAGATCAGCTCCTCTGCTGATCCTTTCCTTTATGGAAACTTCCATCACGTTCTGAATCATTAAAGAGTCTCTAATAAAAGCTTGGCTGTGATTAAATCTGCCGTCACTCTGATCAGATTAACACACTGGCACATTGTTTCTCAGTAAAGCTGTTGATGCTCTGATCCCGCTCTGATTTTAGCTGTTGGCCACGTCGTGGAGCTCAAACTGTGCTTTCTGTTTCTACGAACATAAACAGATTTTAAAAGTTAAAAAAGTGTAAAAGTGATTTAAGAAGATGGATCCAATGATTTTATCACAGCTCCTCACAGAAACACTGACGGTTGAAAGTTTTACGACTGTAGTTTGAACCAAAGTTAAAAACAATGTTTACGTCACCAAAACAGACATTTTCAGTTTTGTTCATAATTTCACTGTAGGACCAACCGATGACCAGCTGCTCTGTCTGCCTTCATTAATATTATAGAGATTATATATAATATAGTCCAGCTGTTCCACTGTGTTTACTGTAGGAATGTGTTTCATTTCCTTCCACTGCTGCAGAAGAACCAAAGAAGGTAAAGAGACAAAGTTTTTGTGTCAGTAAAACTGAGACATCAGACATTTACTATTTTCAGGGATCAATAAGGAGTTAACAACTTCAAGTTATTCTGGACCGTCTGTTCCAATGGAAGAAATCCTCCCTGTGGGATCTACAGCCGTGCAGACAACGGAACAAAACCGGGTCACAGAGATCCGTTGCGTAGAAACACAAAAAGGATAAATTAACAACAAGCCAACAACGAGCTCCGCCGGGCTGAGAACAGAACAAAACCGTGACTCTTTTATGCACAATGACCTCTGAAACTCTGCACACGTACAGATATACACAAATATTCTATTTCAACTGTATATAGTGTGTATATATTTTATTTGTTTGATTCAGATTTTTCCCACCACTTTTTTAAAGCATAATTTGTAACAAAAAACGTTCTGAAATCCAGCTTGTATCTAAATAATAAATGGAAATACCTTTACAAAGGTTTATGTGAACATTAAGAAAACATGCAATGCAACAAAAAAGAAGAAACAAACGTGCTTTGTCCAAAAAAGTAAGCTGCTGATTATAAAACGTGCAGCAGTCAGCAACTTTAACAACTTCTTGACATAGTTTCTTTTTCAAGTTTTCTGTTCTCTCCCTGTGAACATGACAAAAAGAGGAGGGAAGACTAAATCCTGCCTACATGTGTGCTGCCTCAGCAGGGACGATATTACATGAGAATAGTTGATCTACAGGAGAAACAGATCTGAAAGCAGCGCAGAACGACTGAGAGCTGCTCTGCCTGAGATTCTATTATATTTATATACGTTGAAACTTTGTGTTTCCTTTTACATAAATAAAAACATTTCCACTATAAATTGGTGCAGAAACTTTCACCAGAATGCAGGAAATGAAATGTTTAATGATCAAAGTTTCCTGGGGGAGGTCCCCCCACACCCCCCACCTACATCTCTGCACTGAGGATATCTTTAAAACACTGTTTAAGGATCTTTTCATCTTGCTCTTCTGAACATAATATTGCATATCGTGATGTCTCGCGAGCGAAGTGTCTGTTCACAGCCCGAGTGTGAACACAAAGTGAAGCCCTTGCCCTTTGCACTACATTCCCCTGTGCTGCGGTGCCAATTTGAATTTCCCCTATGGCTGATCAATAAATGGCCAAAAATCCTAAAGCTGTGGACAGATTATGAAAGAACGGGGCCCCTGAACACAGACATGTAAAGGCCCCTCAGGCCTCCTGCACGGTTCCAAATCCCCCAGAGTGAAAGAGACTCATTAGAGGAGCAGACTGAACTCCTCATCTATGGTCACTGCTCGCCCTCTTTAATCTGTGGAACGTTTCATTTCAGAAAATCCACATTTTAAATGCTCTAAAAAATAAAACAGTGGTTTGTTAGTTAATCTGAAATTCTGGAAAAAGCAAACAAAAGTTCAGTAAGATTCCCAGAGTTCCTTTGAAGTTGTCCTTATGGTTTTAAACGGTTTAACAGGATCAGCAGCTCTGAGCCTGTTATGGATGACAGGAGAGCAACTGCACTGGACTTGGGGTCAAAAGATCTCAGCCGATGAAAGTGACAGATCGATACATGTCAAGTCTTGACTTGTAAAGGAGCGACCCGCATTAGGACTGTGCCTCCAATGATTATCTGATTGGTGACCACTGATGGGACTAAGTTGGACCGCTGGTCTGTCCCGGTCTGGACTGATGTGTCCAGATGTGTCCCGGTTTGGGTCAGTCTTTACAGTCGGCAGATATCATCATACATGTGATACGTAAAGAGTCTGAAGTCGCTGATATTTGCCAAGGGGGCAGGTTCCAAAGTTGGAACTGTGAAGCCAACCAAAGCCTACACGGAGGGCTCGAACTAGCTGGTGGTTGGTGTCCATATTTGGTAGTTGGCGTTCTCGCTGGTGGTTGCTGAGCAGGGGTTCAATGTGCTTTCTGCTGGATTTGTCCCAGTCGTAAGTTACCGGATGTTTTAATGAGTTTATCTGAGCTCAGATTTCTTCACTGTGGAGAACTCAGGATTTCCCCTCACACTCCCGGGACTTCTGGCCATAAAGCGAGTGCAAGTATCTCAAAATCATACTTGAGTAAATGTGCTCAGTGACTTTCCCTCCGGTGCCACCCTCCTTCCTGCTGAAGTGTCTCCTCCTCGGGTGGAAACCTCCGCTGTGGGCGTAGGGGAACAGGGAACCTCTCCGTCTGAACCGGGACACCCAGGTGAGCTTGTTATGTAACCGTCCTGCTTCCAGGTACCTAACCTGCACTCCGTAGGTAAAGCCTCTTGGCCCGGCCTCTGGCAGCACAACCCTGCGGCCGGCGCTCTAATCTCATTAGGGAGTTATTTTCGGTGCTTCCTTGACTTTTGCTCCAGGACGTAAGAGGGTTAGAGGTTTGCTCTCTGCCTGCAGAGTCACTGCAGCCTGGATGTCGGTCAGCTTGACCCTCCTGCTGCTGACGCCACGGATTTCTAACCATCATTTTTATTCTTCTCTGTCCCAAGAAAAGGACTTCTGAATCCTTTACCGAGCTCTCATTGTTGCTGACCGTCAAACATCCGTCTGCTGAGGATCTAAAGAGACCTGCGGTTCTTGTTCGAGGTTGTCTGGATTTGTGTCTCTCTCTAAAACCCTCTCCCTTCCAGGTGAGGAGGATCCCCCAGGCTTCCTGCTCTCGGAGGATTTTGTTCACCTCGGCGCACCCCCGTCGGACCGCCACCCATGGGGAACCACGGCTCGAACCTGGACGACATCCTGGCGGAGGACATGCACCACTGGTACAACAAGTTCATGCGAGAGTCTCCGTCGGGCCTCATCACGCTGTTCGAGCTGAAGGCCATCCTGGGCCTGAGGGGCATGACGGAGAACGCCAACAGCTACGTGGAACAGGTCTTCTTCACCTTCGACATGGATGGGGTGCGTTTCACGCCGACACACACAGCGGACGGCGAGCCGTTAAACATGTGTTCCTTAAAACCTACCGCTCGCTATTCAAAATCTACTAGTAGTTACTAGTAACCATTTCCACTGTACTACTCAGGGGTTATTATTTATCATTAATAATAATTAATAATATCATTATTATTTATCTACTAGTGCATATTTTTAGTTACTAGTAACCATTTGTTAGTTTGTAGCACCTTTTCCCATTGAAATCTATGGAGCTCTGCAGTTTAGATATCAGCTAGTCACTTATTGGATAGTTACTAGTAACCATTTCCATTTTACTGCTCACTATTATTTTGATACTTGGGCTTATTTTTTACTTGGAAGTATTTGTTAGTAACTAATTGCAACATTTTTGCCATTGAATTGTAAGTGTGTCTATTCCATTAATTACTAGTACTTGACTTTTACTTACTAGTAAAACTAATGACTGCGTGATACCTGAACTGCAGAGGCAGTAACGTGCAACTTGTTACTAGTAACAATCCTGTTTTACAAGTGACAATTGATTAGATACCAGCGCTTATGTTTTAGTTACACACAACAATTCCATTTGTTACTAGTAAGTATTTCAGAATCAGAGTCAGAAGGAGCTTTATTGCCACCTACGAGCAATTTGCTTTGGTGATGAGGTGCTACACGTAGACAAACACACAGCTGACCTAAATAAGTTGATGTAGAAATATATAAATATGGAATAAACAGATGCAAGTTATATAAGAATAAAAGAAGAGAAAGAACAATGAGGCAGATATTTCCATGTGCATTACTCCAGACGTATTGCAACAGGAGAGAGTATTGTGTGCATAAATATATAAATTGACAATATAAAAATATTTAAATAACAATAAAACAAAAACGATTAACAACAAATATGTGCAATATAGTTAGTAGCAGTGTTGGGCAGTTACTGTAATATTACTTTTCCCAGTAACTAGTAACAGATTACTTTTCCAAAACTGTAATATTATTATAGTTACTAATCCAAGTAACGCTGCGTTACTCGTTACTGAACGCACCATCCTTGACGTGAATCAGCGACTGTGCAGCAGCTCAGCAGCACCAGACTTTGGTTTGGGTTTACTTGCTTTATTAAATGTTCTTAAGAAACGTTTTGTAAAAAGAGACTGCTTTGTTTGGGGGTGAAGGGGTCCTAGTGAAAGTAAAATAGTAACTAGTTACTTTTATCACCCAGTAATAAGTAAAGTAATATTTTTACTTTTTTAATAATAAGTAAGTCGTAATATATTACATTTCTGAGTAACTTGCCCAACACTGGTTACTAGTAGTAACCTACAGGGCTCTGCTGTTCACATATCACAGATATAACCATCTCCATTTCACTAGTCATTATTATTTATCTACTAGTGCATATTTTTAGTTATTCTGTTCTTACAAGTAAGAATTAAAATGTGACTATCAACAAGCCATTTTACTAATTATTAATGAATGACTAGAAACAAAAACTAATTTATTAGTAAGAAAAAAAAATTCTATGGTCTTTTGGAATAGTTACTAGTAACTATCCTGGCTTTACTAATGACAATTGATTAGATACTAGCACTTATGTTTTAGTTACTAGCAACTATTCCAGTAATTACTTGCACATTTTTGCCATTGAAATCTAAGGGGCTCTTTTCAGTGGTTACTAGTAACAGTTCCTGTTTTACTAGTAACACTTGATTAGATACTAGTACTTGACTTTTAGTTACTATTTCCATATTAGCAATCACTAATATTTAGTTTCTAGAGCATATTGTTTAGTTACTAGTAACTAATTAATAGGTAATATGTGAACAGCAGAGTCCCGTAGATGGGAAAATGTGCAATTACTTACTAGTAACTAAAATTATTTAGTAGTAAGTAATTAATAAGTACTAGTAGCTTTTAAATAGCGTTAAATAGTACATTTTCAGTAAGAAATAAATGTTAAAACGGCGTGCCATACACAGCGAGGTTTTTCAAAATAAAGGTTTTAAGGAAATGCTCTCTAAATGTGGCGAGTTGTTGTCATGTCATTTTCCATTTTTTAAAGTCTTTGCCTCTGGTTTGTCTACGGGTTTCACTGGACCAGAGCCGGTCTGAGCCTCACTGGGGCCTGGAGCACAAAAATGTGACCTCCGAGTCCAAAAACACTTTAACAACCTGGTAATTTTTGTCGATAAATATCAGGATAAAAGTCAAATCATTATTTCTTTCAGGTTTAAAGGCTGATTTTTGCTCCTGAGTGAAAGTTAATGTGGTTTTAAACTTTTCTCTCTGGTCTGAACAAACAAAGAGGATCACTTCACAAATCTGAGGCAGAACATTCAGAACTATTCTGATAAAATCTGTGTCGATTCATTTGATTGAATTCATTTGAATCACAAACATTTACTGAACATTTGTTATAATTATTGAGGGCAATGTGATAATTACATTATTAAATTATTGCCCAGCCGTAGTAAAAAATTGATTCAAAGTAAAACTATATATTTATATATTTCAGCAACAATCCAGTCAAGTTACAGAGTAATCAAAGATTTGAAAGCTTCAGTCAAATAAAACGGACTTGAAACCTGAAGTTACAGCGACGGGTTTGAATAACTGGCCGGTTGTTTATTGGAAAGAACTTGTAATATTCAGATGTTGCTGGTTCCAGAATATTTATTGTGAACAGTAAAGTGTCCTGCTGTTGATTATTTTTTATTTCTTAAATATTCTAACACACATTTCTGCATTATTCTAACTCACAGTTTTAAGTTAAAACAACTTCATTACATTTATACAACTTTCAATTTCAAGCTAAGAGGATTTAAATTCCAAATATGTTTCAGTTTACTTAGGGCTGGACAATAAACAATAACAATAATTATCGCAATTTATTCAATAACAATAAAACAAATGTTCAATAAATATTCAATAAATGTTTGACTTTATTCACTTGAATCAGACATGAATAAGGACTTAATATTTTTATTAAGATGTTTATTTTGTTGAGGAAAAAGCACTGAAAAAAGCTTTTACTAGATTTTGTAGACAAAGATTTTATGATAATAGTTTTGAATGTTCTCCCTCAGATTTGTGAAGTGATCCACAAGTGTTGACCATAAAGAAAAGTTTAAACCGCAATTAACCATCAGGTTTCTTCAACTTACACTCAGGAGCAAAAATCAGCCTTTAAACTCGAAAGAAATAACGATTTGATATTTATCGTGATAATTATTGATATCGAATAGAAACTTTTTCTCGTGATAACATTTTAGTTTTCACAGTATCTGCAGTGTGTGATTAGTAGATTATGTCCATGTGTCAGCTTTGCCAAAGAAGACAGTTTCTCTCAAACTCCAAAGACGCAGCATATTTTTACGAACCAAAGTTCAATCAACAACAAAAGTCTCAAACAGTCAAAACAATGAATTAATGCAACTTTTACTTTCTTTCAGCAGCAGTTCCTGTTTTTCTGCCCAACATTGTTTTTTTATGAGTTAAGTGCGATTTATTCTCATGCGTCAGGTCTACGAGCGTAGACACGCATTTATACTTGTGCATCGGTGTCTGCAACGTTCTGCAATTACACCGCCAAACGCTGTGTTGACTTTAGCTAACTTGCGGTTTAGCCCTCCGCTAACTTGAATGGGGGTAAAATTGAATATGTGCGGCTGTCGCTTTAATAACTAAAATTAAAAACACAGGTTGTTCTGTCGCAGCAGCCTCTACAGGTAAAACAGTACGCTGCCACATAATTAAAGTCATTAACGTTATTCGGTCACACTTTGGGAATGTGACTACTAGTCGATCGAAACTAATTTTGATCATCAATTAATCTTCATCTTGTATCGAAATGCCAGAAACGTCCAGGTGAAGCTTCTCAGATGTGAAAGTCTGCAGAGTTTCTTTGTCTTACGTCACTTTTTGGGATCTGGGAAATTATAAGAGCCATTTTTTTTTGACATATTAAAGCAGAATTGATTAACGGAGAAAATATCCGACAGAGTAATGGATAAAAATAATAATTTGTTGCAACTACATGTGAAAATCAAATACAAACAAATCAGATTAACACACCTCTTTATGTTTTTATGAATAAATCATCTTAACTCAAGGTTATGGAGCTTTTAACTGCATCTCATGGTTTTCATCTGCTCAGCGGTCATGTGATAACGCCTCTGACTGATGAAGGTGTGAATAAAAGCTTCAGTTGAACCACTTGTTCCAAATTAGACTTTGACACTTAAACATGCTTTTATTTTGAAGGTTAACCAGACATCATGTTCTGTCTCATTATTTTATTTAATATTATTCTAGAAAACTGAAAATTTACTATTCAAGTACATCTCTCTGGAGTTTTCTGACACGGAAAAGTTATTTTAGTTTCTGCTGCAGAGACGTTAAAGTGTGAAGTAGGACAAAGATGGCTGATGCTGAGCTCATTGGCTCTCTGTCTAAGAGGCTTACAGTGTTATTATCCCTGCTGTGTGTTCATGGCGAGCTAAGTGGATTCATAGTGTGTGGCGGTGAAGTTCAGGGAGGTGATGTCATCAGAGGAAGGTCAGCGGAGACCACAGGGTTCATTTAGTCTTCTCCACGACTCATTTTGTCCAATAGATTTCCGCAAGCACACGTGATTTCTGCGTATATAATAATTACCAAGTACATTTAATAGGTGATAATTTAATATTTTTATAGTTTTGTATTGATTAGGAGTAGAAACCTAATAAAATGATCATCACAGACTGTGGTGGTGAAAATGACTGCAGCTCAGACGTCTTACTTATGGCGCTTAGAATAATGAACAGATGGGGAATAAGCGCTTTCTTCCATAGATTTTTTGGGGTGTGAAGCATTTGGTGCAGTTGCATTTGGGACTTTTCCAGCTCCGATTATTCTAGTTTAATATGGAAGATTTTATTGGACTTTATTATTTTTAACCCACAGAAAACAATCCCCAAATGTGTACAATGATGCGCAAATATTTCACAATCTACAAATATGTATTTTTACATTTGTGATGTGTAAAATCATTTCCACAAAAATACAGGGTGACTTCTACATTTGCACATTTGCAGATTGCTTTCTGTTAATTTGTGGGTCATGTTACATTTGTAACTTCTTTTTTACGCATTTGTGGAATTTTGTCCAATGTGTACAGCGGAGATTTGTAAAAAAAAAATATACACAAATATCTCACTACCCAAAACATGTATATTTACATTTGTGTATGATGCGCAAATATTTCACAATCTAAAAATATGTATTTTTACATTTGTGATTTGTAAAATCATATCCACAAAAATACAGTGTGATTTGCAAATGTGTACAATTTACTCTGTACACACATATTTTAATTTCACATACAAAGTGTTATTTAGGCATTTGTGGATCTATTTTTATACACAAATTAGTTTTTGCACATATCACAGTCAATTTGCAGGTCACGCTATATTTGTGACTTCCTTTTTACGCATTTGTGGAATTTTGTCCAATCTGTAAAGAGAGATCTGTAAGTGTGAGAGCAGTTTATTAGCTACACCAGCAGGTGGCGGTAGCGACCTTGCCTCTCATGAGTTGTAAGAATATCCACTGCAGTACCCAGGGTCATATGTAGGAGACAACAACTTCTGCTTCTGCTGGACTCTACTCAGTCTAAATTTTTCCATACAAGTGTATATAGTTTACTAATGAATACTTTATCATTGTATTTGTTTTCCTGTCAGAGCTTTGAAAGAAAGCTTTGTAAAAGTATATGAACAGCAGAGAAGCGCTTTGCTCCAGGTGCCAGACGGCTTTGCTGTTTCTGCTTTGAATCTCTACTGATCCGTTCACAAGCAGCATTTGTTTTCAAGTTCAAATATAATTTGCACATTTACTGGTTTTTTTTGCAACTACAGATCTTCTACACATTCACAAATCATCACACGCTGACTTTTCACAAGTTTACAAAGAGTGATTTAAACTACAGAGTTTGATTTATTTGTGAACATAGGAACATCCAAGCTCGTGTTTTTTCTACAAAATGTTTTACATAATTGGACAAAAAAGCCAAAGTTCTCAAATGTTAAATATTGTCTGAACTCAACGCAACTGTACAATATGATGATTTAAATCAGGACTCAGTAAAAACGGCACAAATCTAACCAGACGTTCGACACTTAACTAATCGTTCTTAGATTAAAAATAAAGTCTGAGCTTAAAAACAGAACAGAAAATGATCCTAACAGCCTCACGCTGGGTTAACCTCCCTCTCTTCTGTCTGCAGGACGGATACATCGACTTTGTCGAGTACATTGCGGCCATCAGTCTGATGCTGAAAGGAGAAATCAACCAGAAACTAAAGTGGTACTTCAAACTGTTCGACCAGGACGGCAACGGCAAGATCGACAAGGAAGAACTGGAGACCATCTTCTCGGTAATCACCACACAAACAGACCTCAGGGTGATCGATACGGCTCGACACAAAACAGACGAGTTCAGCGTTTAGCAGCGTACGAGGGTCACCTGCTGAGCGCCACCTGTAGAGGGAAGGTTTGTACTGAAAGAAACCTGACATCACATTTACTGTCTACACTAGGGCTGGAACGCTTCTGATGAGCTCTCATTAAGACAGCACAACTGTGGCAGCGGCGGCCGGTGGGGGCGGTAGCGGTGTAGATCGTCTTTCTATATACAGCAGTTTATTGTTTAATAGTTAATATTTTAGTGTTTAATACTTTAATCTGCTCCACACAATCAAACACGCCTGCATCTCTGGTCTCTCGGGTAAACACGCCGGCTGGCGGCGTGTTTACCGTGGCATGACTATTTTGGTCAAGTTATGATTGAATGACCATGCCTGCAAGTTCGACAACTTTAATTAACCAAAGATAAAATATAATAATAATAATAATAATAATAAATACATACAGGTGGACAAATCGAAGTATGAACCGAACTGTGGATTTGGTGTATCGTTACACCCCTAGTCTACACCATCTCTTTAGCTTCAATTTATTTTATTTTAAACTTATTTTAGAGTTTTAGCTAAAGTAGAAAGTTCTACTAGAGACGAACGGCAGAGATTTCTTTGCATGGACCGTCAACAAGTTGGAACAGTTAGTGAAAGTAACACAGGAGGACAAAGACACGGTGGAAAGGAAAATAAATGAAATGTCAACACTCTGCATTACGTTCCCCTGAAAATGAAATTCCTGTTTCTGCTGTATATAAAGGTGATCTGACAGATGCAGTGCTCTGGGTCTGGTGTCTTGCAGGCAGGGATTGTCATCCATTTAAGTTTCCAAAGATACACCAAATATGTCCGGCTGAATTTAAATGTAAATGCTGCGTACTTGTTTAGCGCCTACACTACATCCACCAGTCAGACACATTCATACACTGAGGCTAAGTGCTCAAACAGAAACTGACATTCACACACATTCATATTCGGGGTTCAGTATCTTGCCCAAGGAGACTTCGACATGCAGCCTTGGGGAGCCGGGGATTGAACCGCCGACCATCCAATTAACGGCCAACCCGCTCTACCTCCTGAGCCACAGCCGCCCCGAAATGTATAAAAATAGATGACCAAGACTTCTGGAAATCTACTTTCTAACTTTAAATACGAGGAATGTTTTTTATAGAAGAACGTTATAGAACAGACGCTACAGACTGAAGCTGTGAGCCTGTGCGTGAATGACTGACGGTCTGAGACCGGGGCTGGATTATCTGAAAGTAGACGAGTGTTAATCTGCTGAAAGAACTAAATCTATCAGGGGACAGGAAGCTGCTGGAACTGGGTCAAAGTCTGGACGGTCTGCAGGACGTCAAGAGGGTCCAGTCGGATGTGGAGGGTTAAACCCTCTGTGGAGAATCACAACTGCACAATTTAAAGAGGACATGGCAAAAAGAGTCCTGAGGAAAGCTACAAATAAAAGGGAAACTGAAAGAGGACAGAAAGACAAATGGATAGTGTGAAAGTGGAAAGTAAAAAAGCTTGAAGCTGAAATTGAAATGTGTAGTAAAACTTTAAACAATACTTCTGGTCAAACTGATCCTCCTTAGCTGACATTCAATCCCAGATTATTCTCATCATCTTTGACACATTTCATCATTTAGAAATAAGTGAACAAACCTGCAGATTCTGAGCTTCTAAAAGGAGACACATTAAACTGCTTTTCCAGTCCTATATAATAGTTCTGTGACGCCTGTACGGCTGCTTTGCATGATTCAAAGTTCAATAAAATGCTTTTCTGTCTTATTCTGGCTCTTCATGTAGGCCTTCATTTCAGCCTCGGTCTGAAACAAGCTGTAGATGCTCCTGTCTCTTTAAGCCCCCCCCTCAAAGCCCCCTGTCTTCTGATTGGCCAAGACCTGAAGCATGTTACCAGGCTGTTGCTATGCAGAGCAATGACCATATATGGAACACCAGCTCTGTCTGGCTCGATGTATCGTATTATGGAGCCGTTGGTAGAAAAAGCCGTCGACAACAGAGCGTTCAGAGCAGGAGGAAATCTGAGGTTTTGGCTCACAGGGATTTCTTTTAAAGACTTTGACCTCATTATTTGAAGCTCTGGCCATGTTTAACATGAACATCTGTCATTGGTGATAAGTCATAAAATGTGGAAAGGCATCATAGCTTTTCTTTAAGGTTTTAAAGGCATCATCCATGTTTTGCTTACCTGTTCTGAGTCCGACTGTGTGTCTCCCCCTGCAGGCCATCCAGGACATCACACGGAACAGAGACATCGACCCCGAGGAAATCGTCTCGCTCATATTTGAGCGGATCGATGTGAATGGAGAAGGTACAGAACAAGGCGCTGCTTATTGTTAATTCCACCGATGCTAACGTAGGGCTGGACAATAAAACAATAATTATCGCAATATTTATTTTTTAATTTTTCAATAAACGTTTGATTTTATTCACTTGAATCATACACGAATTAGGACTTAATTTTTTAATAAGATGTTTATTTTGTTGAGGAAAAAAGCTTTTACTTAATTTTATTTTAAAGATTTTATCATCATTGATTTGTATGTTCTACCTCAGGTTTGTGAAGTGATCCACTGTTTGGCTTCAAGTGTTGAATATAAAGAAGAGTTTAAACCACAATTAACCATCAGGTTAATTACTAGCTACCCTCCAGGCAGTCAGTGGACATAAAGTTGTTCCTGTGATGTAGAGACAGAGCTCAGTTAAAACTTTATGGATACAGATTAATAACTCACCGCTTTGAAACTCTCGCTCCAGTCCGTGTTGCCGAGCTGGTCGGCAACACGTACGGCTGAACCCGAGCTGTTTACCGGCTTCTCGCTGACGAGTGAATTACAAAGGTTAGAGTCCCTGTTTTCTCAGCTGTTAACTTGTTGACAGGGCCGCTGTCAACCGCTTTTACCAGAGTTTGTAGCGTGGACAATCTGGATTTACAGTGACAACTGTATCTAAGGAAGGATTAGAGTCCCCTATATTTTTCTGTTGCTTTTATGTTTTATGTAAAGCACTTTGAATTACCTTGTTGTTGAAATGTGAGGCCAAACAACCAATCAGAGCCTCGAAAACCTGCCCGGTTGTCATGAAGCAGCCTGGTGTGAGCGTTTAAACCTTTGCACTGGTGTCTGCGTCGCTCTAGTGTGTATGTTACACGTCCGTTGTCGGTGTTGGCTGCTGCAAACGATGGCGGCATCGGATGAGACGCGTGTGCGACCCTTGAACCGGCTTAGGCAGAAGAAGAAGGACGAAGCGGAAATGTGTCGGAGGTAAATGTGATGCTACCAAGCCGACAAATCAGTTCCTGCGGTCTGCGGTCTGCATGTTTGGCAAGGTGAACATCGGGCTACGGCGTAGATTCGACACAGAAGTATAAATTTACCTTTACTCACTCGTCCTCCGAAATAGAACTGGACTTCACCGCCGGCCTCTAACAGTCACACAAAGTCAGAGGCAAACGCTCTGGATCCACATCTGCTGGAAATCCCTGCAGCCAAAAACGCTGTGAAAGTAGTCTACAGGCTTTCACGTGTCACGCCTGCTGCACACGAATGATCTTTTTATATTTTAATCTACCTTCTGTAGCCAGGATCATTTAGGCCAATGGTTTCCAACCTTCTTTCCTTGGCGCCCCTCTACTTTTATCTTAGAAAGGCTGAGCCCCCCCAACAGCTGACAAAACACGCACAGAGAAAAAGATGATGTCATTACTTATTAATAGCGAACAAATGGAGCCAAATGACACCTCCGTGGCTCTGTGTAAATCAGTGCCAGCTCTTGGTCGTCTTCACCAACAGTCTCCTGGTGTTTTGTTTTGAGCAGGAGATCATGAACTTCTTCTGTTTCAAAACCATTCCAGCCCCACTACTAAGTAGTCTGCCTACTATTTTAAGCGACAGACTTTTGATAAAGCTTTGGGCAGCCCCTGTGATCTCTGGGTCCGACCCCAGGTTGGGAACCGCTGATTTAGGCAGATAATCTATTGCGAACACCTCCGCGATGGTTAGGAGGGAGAATCGTCCCAGTTATCCTCATGCATGAGCGGAAATAGCCGTACATGAGAACACCCGATCTGTCTGCAGTGTTCTCATGTTGTATTGTTTAACGTACGTGTCCAGGACTCCCTCAGAGCTGCTGCTGCCGCTGAAATAACAGGCAGTCCAACCCATTTAGTTTCCATTCCCCGTTATAACCCCTCAACTGTCCTTTGACCCCTCAGGTGAGCTGACCCTGGAGGAGTTCATCGAGGGCGCCAAAGACCACGACGACATCATGGACATGCTGAAGAAAATGATGGACCTGACGCCAGTGTTAGTCATCATCGTGGAGGGCCTGAAGGGATGACAGCGCTCTGGCACAAAGACTGACTGAAGCAGAAACCCTCCCCACCCCAGATAATACCCATCAACCCTCACTGCCCATGAAAGAGAGAGAAACACCTGCTCCTGATGTTTCATGGTCAGAGCGAGGCAGCGGCAAATGATTGACTGTGGACAGTGATTGGCAGATCCCTGGCTGATCTCTTTGAAGAAGACTTTAATGTTTCGGTTCTCCAACGTGATCCTTCAGTCCCACGAAATCCACCGTCACAAAGATCATGTTGAACTTCGAATTAAAGTGATGATTCCAGTTTCCACCAGATATGTCAGGGGCCCCGAACCCCCAAACCTGGTTGGTACCGGCTGACTTTACAGCAGCTTTGGTGTAAACCAGCCGACACCAGTTTGTGATTTTGCAGATATTTTCTGTACCGTCTTTGCATCGATGTTTGAGAATATCTTTGATAATTTTGCTATGTTGATTTCGACCATTTCGTCCACCCATGTTTGTTTTGTAGCATTTTTTGAAACTGGTCCAGTAGTAAGTGAGCGTGCTGCAGTCAGCAGCAGTGAAACAGCTGATGGAAAGGATCCCTACAGAGAGAGACCTTTTTTTTAAAGAGCAAGATCTCTGTATCACGCTCGTCAAAGCCAAGTTTGACAAAAACAGTAATTTTACCTTATTATGAAATTATTTAACGTCAGTCCTGCAGACATCAGGGTGCTCGCTCAATACTGGACCCGTTTCAGAAAATGCTGTCCCAGTTGGTTTATAATTATATCCTTTAATGCTGTTAAAGGTTCAGAAGCCTGAGTCATAATGGAGCAGATTTACCTGCAGTTTCTTTTACAGGGACAGCATCAGCAGCCGGCTGCTGCACATTAACAATCCTAACTAAAGGCTTGAAAAACTCAAACAGTAGCATTACGTCCATAAACATCTACTGAAGGACCCTATTTCCTGGTAGTAAAACGAGTCATTTCGCTCGGGTTGTGACGGTCAAATATATTAATCCAACGTGTTACAGCAGCTGTTTTGGCCGCTAGTAAAAGTTACTTCAAGCACGGGGCATTTCCTGACAGCTCTGAGGCATCGCGAGGCAACCCAGCCGACCAATCACAGTTCTTACGGACTGCGTCGCCTCGACGTGTAGAGGAGGTGCACGTCAGTCTACGCCGTAGGGTAGGGTAGGGTAGGGTAGGGGGCTACGCAGAAGCTATGTCGTGGATTCGACGCAGAAGTATAAATCGCACTTAAGTGAGCGCGCTGCAGACGGCAGCAGTGAAACAGCTGCACCGTGATCTTTCAAAACATGATGGGAAGGATCCCTACAGAGAGAGAAGAGTAAGATTTTTATTTAACCAGAAACAGACGCTTATATGTCGCTCTCACCAAAGCCACCAGACTCCATTGACAAAAACAGTAATTTAACCATTTTAAATTTAAAGGAATAAACTTTTTAACCTACTTCAACGGTTTTTCACATTTGAATGTAAACGAACAGAAAGGTCGTTTGGATGCACCACAACATGTAACCACGGTTATTTTCTTTTTGTTCTTTGACAGCGTTAGTTTGGTTCAAAGGAATCTGGTTAAAGATTTGAACGTTGAAGACGTTTTTACTTTCATACGACGCTGTGAGAGACAAGATTGAGATGATGAAGGGGTGTGTTTGAACACGATGTGTGAAAACTAATTTTAACTCTTGATGGTCGAGTCGAGAAGTTGAGGCCATTTTGTCCTTAAAGCTGCGGACTGATAGATGTACGGTCAGATCTGATGTGCAGGTTAGCATCAACGCTAACAGCTCTTCTAGTGCAATACATGGATCTTTACAGACAAAATATCCAGTAAACTTTATTTTTAACCCGTCATGTTTTGTGTTGCCTTAACATTAAAGTTTTTAAACAATATTTGTGTCTTTAATTTAAACTCTTCACATCAACATTAACCAATCAGAAATCATTATTATTGATGGTTTTATTCACCTGCTCCGGGAATTAAAATCATTTATCAGTTTGTTTGAATCCTGGTGGACAGTTTTGTGGAAGGTGAAGTAAAAATCAGTCACAGTAAACATCATCACACAAACACATGGGACATATTGAGCTCTTTTATTTTAAAATATAGAAAAACAAACATCATAAAAAGGTCTTTCTGTTCTGTTTTGGTCCACGTGGGGTTCTAACAGAACCAGGGTTCTGCTGTATGGACTCTGGGACGGGTTGAAGTCACGGGTACCAGTGCAGTGCAGACACCTTATTTTTAACAAGAAACTTAATCCAAAAACTGCAGTTCAAAACGATTAGAGGGTTATTTTGGTATTTTTAAAACTTCACATCTGTGCAGTACGTGCGGCTGTAAAGTATTCCTTCCTGTCAAAATGGCGTCCACAGGAAGTGCTTCTTGTTGCCCCCGACAGTCTCAGACTGTTACACCAGATGTCTGACAACATTATGGAAAGGATCCCTACGAGGGACTCCAGGTGACCCCCTTTGTGTTTAACAGGAAGGACAGTTGTTGCAGGAAGACGGCGGTGGAAACGAGGGAGAGGAGCTGCTGACGTTACTCCAACACGACAAACTCCTCTCCCTCGTTTCCACCGCCGTCTTCCTGCAACAGCTCGCTATTTGAAGTTAGAGCTGTAAAGGTGCTCAGTGATCCTAATTATAACTGCCACTGGGGCTCAAACAGACATATTGTGATGTTACTGAGCCTTTGGGCGTGCAGTTCCCGCCTGTAATGAAACTTTAAATATTTATCATCCTGCATGCAGGGCTGCAACAATTAAACTTCGCTACACTTTTGTTTTTTATCCGTTTTTCCAGGCTTTATTGCCAAAACCTCTGACATAAGTACTAAGTCATCGGAAGATGAAGACGGGGTTTTTGGATTAAAGAGTCAGACCACAATCCGCCCGGTCCGGTTGTTTGGCCCACGGCGGGTGCGGTGGTCGCTCAGAGGAAACAGAGCCAGGAGAGGAGCCATGCTGGCCCAGCTTGGACTTAATGAAACAGTGTCTGGATGAAACAGGACTCATGTTGACCAGATAACAGAATTCAGAGGCTGTTGTGCCCACATCGTTACAGAGACCTGCCCCATCAACACCCGGATCAAGCACCTGGCAGGTGGTCCGTGTTCTGAGCGGTCAGCGCAAGACACTGGCGAGATGAGAGGAGGCGGACTCTGTGTTTTACATCAATGCTGCTCGGTGCTCAAACGCAGTCAGGATGGTTTCCTGACTGTTTACTGTGAAGACGAAACTTTCATATTATCATCTGGTCGCTGCTGTTTACATTCACCCCAGATGCAAATTCAAAAATTCCACTGCAGAATGGATACGCAACAGGATATATTGTTTTATTTTACTTTATATGTTACCATATTTTAATAAAGGCCTGCACTTAATTACATGTTGTGTGTGTTAACTTGTACATTGATTAATCAATTAATGACAACTATTTTTCATAATCAATTAATCGTTTCAGTCATTTTTTAAAAGCAGAAATGTGCAAGATGTGCTGCAGTCTTTGGGTTCCTGACCGGTGGTTGGACAAAAGAAGAAATCTGAAGACGTCACTTTGCACGCTGTAAAAATTGTGATGAGCATTTTCTTGACATGTTATGAAACCAATTGATTATTCATGAAAATAATCGACAGATTAGTCGATAATGACAATAATCGTTAGTTGCAGCCCTGATACGAGACGTACAAGCATCAACATTAACTACAGTCTGTATTAGGGATGCAACGAAATGAAAACTTTTGGCCGAAGCCGAATATAATGAAACAATTTGCCGACAAGTACATTCACATTTTTGTCTCTTTTTTTAACCGTTGCACATGTAACATGTTTTCTACTTCCTGTGAATATAATCCAATTAATCTTATTTCCATCCTGTACAGACGCCTTATTTTGAAAATCGGACGTTGTCACACGTGTTTCCTCCTCGCGCTAAATTCATCCAGTCCGACCCAGTTTGATAAATAATGTTGTAACATGAAGACTTCACAGCTCTCTTCAGGTCAGACTCTCATACTGCAGCACTTGTCTTTGGAAAGAGACAAACTGACAGGATAAAGTATTTTGATGACTGGAAATTTGATGTTTTGATAAATCTGAAAAGAAGAAACTTTTGCCGTAAACTTTATTAAACTCAGTTGTCTTGTATTGTTCATGATTCAGCACACAGCAGGCAACCTGAAGCACCGAGCGATCAGTCCACTGATGTTTGGTTCTCACCTCTAAAATCTGATGTTTTTTTCTGCTCCTGAACGTCCCTGAAGCTGCTGAAACACCAGAGCGTGATGCCGAGCGGTCTGTGTTTGGTCAATATTACAGGAGAAGAAGAAAGAACATGAAGCCAGAACAGAGTCACTTCCTCCGGACTGATCTGCACAGCGAGCGCTCTGAGTCTGAGGTGTGTTGGGGATCTAACCTGTGACCTCCCAGGTACACGGCGGCGTCTCACAGCTGTTTGGGCTTCTCCTCCCGCCTCAGCAGACTGGCGTACAGACGCAGGAAGGAGTAGCAGACGCCCACGGAGCAGTACACCGACGTCGCCAGCAGGGGGAGGAAGGGCAGCCTCTGTTGCCACGGCGACAGGGGGAAGACGACCTCGCAGGCGATCGCAACGACAACCAGCCCCAGCAGGTAGGCGGACTCCAGAGGACGCAGCAGAGGCATCTGACCGCTGGGAGAAGAGAGCCGGTAATCTGATTACTAAAAGGAGTACGGGACAGTTTCATGATGCTGCTGCAAAGCACTCTGGGTATTCGAGTCTTTGTTGTCGCCAGATGATAAAAGGATAATTCAGTGGCCTGTACTATGAAGCGAGGTAACTGGCTTATCCCAGTAACTTCAGGTGTAACTTCCCGGTGAACCCGCACTACGAAGGTGGACAGGTGTTACCCGAGGTCTGTTGCCATGGCAATTTACACCGCATCTCTAAAACTGCTCCGAGCAGGTTTTGTTCGTGGTTAACTGGAGGTTACCCTGCACGTGGACTACACACCACATCAGTACTCAGTGTTAATGAGGAGAAGTAGGATATTAATACACACCGCTTCATAAAACAGGTTTAGATTTCATCCTGATTTGTTCCACCGAGGCTGCGGTGAAGTTCAGACAGCGAGCTCTGCAGCCTCTGACTGTAGAGAGGAATCTTAATCAATTAACGGGACAGTTTCTTAGATGGAGCCCGTCTGTAGTCTGTAATTGAATAAGTGTTTTCACATATTTAGACTATTTTACGTGTCCAAAAAAATAGGAGCCAGGGTCGGGGGACATAACCGAGAAAACAAATCCTAGATGAAAGTGTGAAATTTAATATCCTGAAACTATCAACGCGTATTAAGAAAACTCTGCCTGCACGGCCGAACACGCCCATTTTATAAGAACGCGCACCAGCTCCAATTAAGTCAACACCGACTCAACTAACCAACATCTTATCCACCGTCGTAGTACCGTTTAACTCCAGTGTAGCGCGTCTCTCTGCCCTGTCGGACTTCCTGAGGCTCTCAGCTCTGAGCCCACTGGTTCGTCCTGAAGATGTAAGTCTTTAAAAAAACACCTCAGAAATGTGAGGTTTCATGTTTAAAAGCCTCACTAATTTCCTCAAAGTTGTGCATCAGTTGGGGATTATTTTCGGCGGCGGATGAATCACTATGTGGTGCTGAAGAGCGTGTTTGGGCCAGTCTAGCGCAGCGCAGTCTGTAGCCTGTATCCGCAACATTATTTAGTATTTTTACATTAAAATTATTATTTTGAAGAAACACCTGTAAATCGGGTGAAGGGCCTCTTTTAGCACTGCGGCCTCCCTGCGCCAGCTCCTGCACCAACACTGTAACACTGGACATTTATCACAATAACATAAAGCGTTAAGGCTCGTGCACACTACACGGCCAATGGCGTCGGCCGAAGGTGAAAGGATGGATCAGTACACGCAGGTAGCAGCAGTCTGAGCTACAGAGAGCTGGAGGGGAGTAAAAAGGGGTTTGCAGTGCTCTCATTGGCTGGATGTGGATGTCAGTCGGCAGACTCCTGCAGATATTTGGCGTGCTGGATATCTGTCAGACGTCAGCGATGTGTCAGAAATGTGTCGGGGAGCCGTTTTGATGCGTCGTTGTGTAGTTCACACATAACGACAAATCGGGCTTAAAACCGCGTCATGTGAACGAGGCTTTACGGCACCAACAGGACTCTTCAGCGAGCTATAAGAAGCAGCAGCAAGTACATGATGTGCAGTGAGTCCTGTGGAAGAAGCTTGGCTCTGTATTCTCAGTACGGATATGGACTGGCTTTTACTTGTTGAGCTGAAAGGCTGCAGGACAGACGGCGAGCTGCCTTCTTTCTGTTCGACTAGTCGGGAATAAGCTGCTCGCCTGCCTCTCTGCTGCTGCGCTTGATGTTTGGTGGCCAGTTTTTGTAGGAGCTGTTCTTCTGTACGACAGCAGCGAGTTACACTCACACAACTTACGTAATGTTGTAAAAACAGGTTTTATATCAAGACAATAAAAGTCGTTCCTTCACCTGTGAAGTTTCCTCAGAGCGGTGAAAGAGTAGATCACGAACATCAGCATCAGAACCACTTTGATGGGCAGCTCTGCAGAACACATTTAATAACCCGAGTGATTCATGACATTCAGGAAGAACTCACGTTCCTGTCCCCAGACCAACCCTCCGCCCTCCCCGTCTGACCGGTGTTTTACCTGCGGGGGTGAAGATCAGCGGGAACAGGGAGTAATGACCTGTGGTGGTCAGAACCAGGAAGATCCCAGCATCCTCTCTGCTCTCCACCGCCAGGATGCTACAGGAAGACAGACAGACAAAAACCTTTAAATGTGTCAAGAGCGTCGGTGCTGGTTTATCTCCTGTCAGAACACAATACATTTATATGAAGGCGAGATATCGTGTTGCAACCTTTAATTTATGGTTAGATTATTCAGTACTGTTTTATTTGTGCTCAGGGCTGCTTTTCTTCAAAGCATTTTATTTATCATTTTAATGATGTATGTATTATTTTCTTTAAGGTTCAAAGAGCGTTCCAAAGGTTGATTCATTTACCCTGCATAATTTGATCTAGCCAAAGACAGCTATTATAAGCAGTCTGTACTCTGAGTCATTGAAAGGTCAAGGGAGAGCTTGAGCGAGATAAGGACCCAGGTGCACCAGCGTAACGAGTTTCAGCCTTCACAGCACACAAGACAAGACAAGACCGGGAAAACACGAGTTGGTCTGTCAGCACACAGAGCAAACTGACAGATGGATGATTGTTTATGCCAAGAAATAGTAGTTTCAAGGGACCCTTTAGAGACAACAGCCTAACAGCCTGTTGAGCACCATGGCTGATTTGAAATGATTGTGTAACCAGAAAACATGTCACCCTTTATGAAAAATACAATCTTATTCGTTTGAGTTTTAATGGTGTGAAATAATGCATGTAGGTTTGATGATTTTTATGACTAGACTCTAGTAAACCATGTTGTTAACTTTAATAAGACAAAAAGTAAAATGATTAAAATAGCATGAAGTAAATCAGGCCATATAAATGCATTTATTATAATTACTACTGATAATAATTAGCAGTGATAATATTAATGGGGCGACACAAACGGTTGACAAGAAACTGACCGACAACTCTTATATTCAAATGTTAGGGACAATATAATATGTAAAATATTTTTGATGTTGTTCAATTACAAGAATGACCTGGCGATGGTAAGGGCGACAGTAATAAATGTCCGTGCGAAACAGTGCGCTGTATAGTTATATGGATTAAATGAAGCCTCGATGCAAAGAATTTACGTTGATGCATTTTAGAAATTGATTTAAATCGCTGAACCGTTTCAGCCTCACACTAAAGTGGCCACTAGATGGCAGCAGAGGAAAACGAGCCAAAAAAGGGTCTCTGGTCAGCGAACACAGAGGAGGAGATCACGTAGAAATCCCGACTAAGTGGGAGGAGATTGAGTATAAAAGGAGGTGTTCATCCTGATGCCTGCGACGACCTAACTCTGGTTTTTAATGGACTAAAACTCTTTTTGACTGTTTCCAGAGAAGTTTTTGCAAATTTCTTGAAGTTGGGGAGAGAAGTTTTGGGTTTTTAACTTTTCTTCGTCTGCTGGTTGGACAAAACAGAACAAAGTGATTCCTATTAGTCTTTATCTAGTTGGGAAACTCCATTCCCATCCTCGTCTGTGAAGAAAAAACACCCATAATATTTAATAACAACACATTTTATCTTTCTTTTGTCTTTAACTAAGAAGCACTTTACTGTGTGAATAAAACTTTACTCACTTACTTACAACCTTCACAATACTGTATTTACCTGAGGGGCAGGATGGCGATGAGGACGGCCTTCTCGTGGACGTGCCAGCCAAACATGAAGGAGCCCAGAGCGCAGAGCAGCAGGCAGCGCAGGAAACCCCGAGCACCGCGAGGACGCCGCCAGATGGACGCCACCGCCGGCTTCAGAGAAGCGGGGACAGCGAGGACAAGAAAGGAGGACAGACAGAAACCCGGTCAGTTGGTCTGAAGAAAGTTATTCTGTACCGAGACGTCCTCAGTCTCCATCTCATTCACACCAGATCTACAATTTGAATCAGAAACTTCAGTATTTGGATCAAGTAGCTCGTAAAAAACATTTAATCAACATCCAATATTTTCTGCTGCCGTACCACTTATCAACAGATCGTCCCAGACATGATATTTAATTCTGTTTGGATATATTTATATTAGTATTTTGGACACTGGGTGGAGGGCAGAGGTGACAGGAAGTGGTCAGCTTACACGCAAACAACTGGAAACAAAAGAATAAGAAACCAACTGGTGTGTTCATCCATTTGTACTTTTCTCAACTGCAATAATGTCTGGAAAATCGGCAAAGAGATTGGAAAGTAAAGCTAAAGCAAAGGAAAAATTGCCATTACAGTATCGACCGAAACAGCCCGGTATCGAGTAGAATCGAAACCAGAACTTCACTGGATGCGTTTTGTAACCAGATCGCAGCAAATACTGAGTATTTCTCTGGTTTAGCTTGCAGCCAAACACGCAAACAACACACCGACAGAAAGAGAAGAGCAGCCTTTCTTTCCTCATGTGCCCGCACCATAAACTGTATTAAAAAAAAAGCCACGATCAGCTGATTTTACTGACGGAGGCTGCTTCAGGTGCAGCTGGTTTGATCGGCTGGACGTGCGGCCTCTCGTTGTTTAAACAGACTGACTTGTTTTATACTTGTGACTGTCGTTTTTTTGGAGGTTTGCGGCTCACCACTAAAGGAAAAAGGAGGTTTTTCCCAATACTTTTTATGTAACAGTTATTTGAAACAAGAAAAAAAATAAAACAGATCACCTTGCTTGTACATAACAACAATAAAAATAACAATAGGCTGCCTGTGGCTTCAACAGGTGGCGTTTTATGCAAGGTATTGAATGAAGTACTCTACTGGTATCAGTATCAGTTTAAAGCCCCTTCTCCACCGCTCAGTACCAGCTCGACTCGCCTCCGTTTGGGTTTCCATTGTAGAAATGTTGGACCTGTACTTTTTTTTCATATCACCTCCGTCGAGGTTCCAGTCGAGCTGAGGGAAACTAAAATGTAACGTGAAAACACAGCAGACTGCTGATTGGTCAGAATATTCACTATTGACTACATCATCATTGCTGCACCAGACAGAGGCAACAGGAAGTTTTGTATTTTACAGATTTTGTATGGAATTTCATCACTAAATCCACTTCTGAGATGTTTTGAGGTGAGAAATCAGCTGTGTAGATTTAGAATATTGACAGTTTTAAGAGAAGTGATGGCGGAACAAGAATGTGCTTTAAAGTTTTCGGAGTTGAGGAGCGGTGAGTTGAGCAGCGGTGAGTTGAGCAGCGGTGAGTTGAGCAGCGGTGAGTTGAGCAGCGGTGAGTTGAGCTGGTACTGGTGGTGGAAAAGGGGCTTAAGGGTCCTGGTTCTGGAGACTCACCAGGATGGAGAGCAGAGTGCAGACCAGTGTGATGGAGGGAGAGACTGAGGGGAGGACCGAGTGCTGAAACTCCTGAACCAACCCGCCCGTCATGGAGGCTCGAGGAAGCCCCGCCTCCTCCAGCAGCTTCAGCCGAACACCTGAACAGGTAAATGGACGGAACAACGAGCAGTCACACAGCAGCGGGTGTCAGAGAGAGAACAATGTGACCGACGTCTCTCCAAGAGTCGAAAGGCTTTGACAGATCTAAAGGTTAATCTCCAGAAGAATCTTCAGCTTTGACTTTTAATAAGTAATGAGGAGGAGTCTCACCGAGCAGCGCCAGGCTTTTGTCCAGCATGTTGTAAAGGGCCCAGATGTTGGGGGCCCAGTAGGCATGGCAGAGGCCCCGCTTAAAGGGGAAGAGACGGGACAGGACCTGAGGGAGCTGACCCTGAGATAAACACAAAACGTTCATATTGTTCAAATGTCCCCCTTCCCACAATCCTCTGCAACAATCATGCACATGTGGAGCTCAGAGGGAAGCTCAGCCGTCTGAAACATGAACGTACGTCGGCGTAGAGACTCCACTCACCATGGCGATGAAGGGGCCGAAGGACAGAGCGCAGACGGAGGCCACGATGGCGCCCAGAGCCAGCAGACGGAGCGGACTGAAACTCGTCCACCTGACAGACCCGTCTGCACAAAAAAAACAAAAAGACAGAACCAGAAGAAAGTTCACACGTGTTTGTGGGGATGTTGCTGCGTGGCTCCTGGGACGCCGCTTGCTGTTTGGGTTGTTGGCGTTTGGTTAGTTGGTTAATTGCGGCGTTAGAAACCACAACCCTGCACCTACACACCCCCAGACGGTAAACACACGTAGTGCACTGAATGGTAAATGGGCTCAACTGGGGTGGTTGCTCTGGTGGATTGTGGGTAGTTTCTAGGTGACTGCTAGGATGTACAGTGTGGACCCAGTTCACAGACTCCAATTAAAGCGAGACACGACAGGCAAAGACACGTTTTTATTGTTATTATGATATTATTATTATTTATTTTTTTAACACACACACTGTTTTTTTTATTTTAAATATTTATTTTTACTTTATTTTTACATTTATTTATTTATTTTGTGTTATTATCATCATCTATTTATTTTAACACACAAACACACACTTTTTTTAAATATTTATTTTTAATTTATATTTTTATTTATTATTATTATAATTGTTATTATTATCTATTTATTTTAAACACACACAAACACGCTTTTGCTATTTTATTCATTTATTTGTCTTTAAATATTTTTATTATTGTCTATTTATTTTAACACACACTTTTATTGTTTTATTTATTTTTAAATATTTATTTTTACTTTAAATAAATTTTTATTCCACAATGATGCCTCTGAACATCGTCTTATTATTAAAATTTAAAATCTCGCCTGGGGCTCCAACATTGTCAGGGCCGGCCCTGCAGTTTTGTGTCTGGTGAGATGTTTGATTTAGTCCGACAGAAAGGTTTCATACATCAGCCAGAAAGGAACAGATCAGGGGTGTGTGTGTGTGTGTGTGTGTGTGTGTGTGTGTGTGTGTGTGTGTGTGTGTGTGTGTGTGTGTGTGTGTGTGTGTGTGTGTGTGTGTGTCCTACCTTTGTTGTCCTGAGTGAAGCAGTAACTCCTCAGCAGGTAGATGCCGTAGGCCGGAGCCACGTACAGGTAGATGTGCTTCAGGTTGAGCAGGACGGCGAACAGCAGCGCCCCCTGCAGGTGTCGAGACTGAACCAGAGATGAACTCATTATGTTCAGGTCAAAAATAACAAGTGTGTTTATTAAATATCATGCAGCTTTTGTCACACGTTCTGATTGACGGCGTGCAGCGGCGCTCTCAGGTGAGTACCTGCAGGTGTTTTGCCACCGACAGCAGCAGGAAGCCAAACAGGAAGCCGTTATACTGGAAATGAATATCTGAGGTCAAAAATTAAAGGAAGTTTGATCCTGATGAGCAAGAGTCGAACTGTGCAAGATACAAAAACTGATGTCCTGAACGATGAAACGTAAATGTGTATTTATAGGTTTTTATATTTCTCTCGTTAAACTCTTTACTGAAAAGGTCTTTAAACAATCTACAGAACTTGGTTGCGCAAGTTCTCTCGCCGTAGACTCCTGCACATATTTCTTCTTCATCCTTCTCCTGCACCAAACGATCGAAACTTCTGATTAGAGAATAATTTCCAGAAGAACGACCCGACCGTCAACGAGCTGTCTGTCTCGTGTTCTGGTGTCGCAGCTGAAGGATACGGTCGACGATGAGGAGGCCGAAGTTCCAGAGCAGCAGAACAGCCAAGACGAAGGGCGGCCGGTTCCAGACGTCCCGAGCGCCTTTCTGCTCCTGAACACACCTGCAGCACCTGGAGGAGGACAGAGCCAATCAGCATCGAGCTACTGGAAACACCAGGGCTGAGGTCAGCGCAGACAAAGCGTAGCAAAACAGAAACTGTAGTTTCCTGAACACCCTGCTGCGAACTCACTGCATTCTCCTGCCTTTTTAACGCCGTGTTTACAAACTTGTGGCAGCTGATTGGATAACACCTGAGACACGCCCACCAAACGGGAGAAAACAGACCTGGAAGCCCGTTGCGGGCAATAAATAAATCACAGCATGAATTCGAGCTTTTGTTGTATTTGTGCTTTCAGTGTTTGCCGCCTCGCTCGTCACTGCTGCTTTAATACCAAACATAAACACAAGTGGTAGTGTTGTAGTACTCGAGACCGGTCTGAAGACCACTTTTTGATGGTCTTGGTTCGTCACGGACTCGGGATTTTATTTCAAGACCAGTCAAGACCATAACTTTGGGAATATCAATAAATTGCTTTCGCATTGTCTGATTTGTTAACATCTTAACTTTGATTGGATGTAAAACTTGTTGCTTCAAATGTAACCAACAACGATAATAAAAAATGTGTTGTTCCCGTTAACGACTGTCACTGTCAATAGTAAACATGGAAAAGGAGCATTGAATAAAGATGCTTACGTTGATTTAAGCTCTTAGTGTTTGTATGTGGGTGTTTTAATGGGAATGTGGCTCTTTCAGATCAATGATCTCATGTAATGTGGGAAACTGGTCTTGGGCTTGTCTCGGTCTCATTAAACTCTGGTCTTCGTCTTGACTCAGTCTCACCCTCCCTTGGTCTTGGTCTTGACTTGGTCTCGCCCTCCCTTGGTCTTGTTCTTGACTTGGTCTCAGCCCCTAAAAGTCTTGGTCTTGACTCAGTCTCGCCCTCCCTTGGTCTTGGTCTCGACTCGGTCTCACCCTCCCTCGGTCTTGGTCTCGACTTGGTCTCAGCCCCTAAAAGTCTTGGGCTTGTCTCGGTCTCATTAAACTCTGGTCTTGGTCTCGACTTGGTCTCAGCCCCTAAAAGTCTTGGGCTTGTCTCGGTCTCATTAAACTCTGGTCTTGGTCTCGACTTGGTCTCAGCCCCTAAAAGTCTTGGGCTTGTCTCGGTCTCATTAAACTCTGGTATCGGTCTTGACTCAGTCTCGCCCTCCCTTGGTCTTGGTCTTTTTAATTTATACTTCTGCGTCGAATGGGCGTCCCCAAAAATGTAGCCACACATTGCAGTGACGCAGACAGCAAGAACTGCGATTGGTCGGCTTGGTAGCGTCACATTTTCTCCTCCGCTTTTTTTAGCGCGTCCTTCTTATTCTGCCTCAACCAGTTCAAGGGTCGTAAAAACCGCCTCCTCCGGCACTTTCTGTTGTTTCTGCGATCACAGCTTGACAGTCGGCGAGTTCAGTTACTCGCAAATCAGGATTAGAGTCGTGTAGCGTGAACTGGGGCTGGGCGATAAGGCCAGAAAAGTTATCGGGATAAAAGTCAAATCTTTATTTCTTTCAGGTTTAAAAGCTGATTTTTGCTCCTGAGTGAAAATGTGGTTTTAAACTTTTCTTTCTGGTCAGAGCCAAATTTTTGTCAAGCCGTTACATGGCGGGCCAGAACAGAGTCAAATTATTTCGAATCTTTGTATAGTGGTGAGCAAGTTTAGCTCAGTCGGTACTGTGCGGGACTCCCGTTAGGAAGGTTGTGAAATCGATTTCAACAAACTGTGGGTATTATTTTCTCCCTTGTCAAACAAATTAATTATAAGGACACTTTTGCACATGCTCGCAATAAAGCATGTGCTGCAGTGCGTGCGCGTCCCGGCGTTTGATCCGCATCCGTAAACGTACGGACGCTTATTTGCATTTCCCTGAGTAAATTCAGGGGAATCCAATCACACGTTTACTGACGGGTGTGTCCAGCAGGCCAGAGTCTCTTTTGAATGTCGTTCTCTCAAACTCTTCAAAGTAAAAGCTCTCAATAAAGTTGTCATAAAGCATTGCTGCACAAAAAATTGTTGCGCTTTAATTTTGGAGGCACAATCACCCTATCAATTTATTTATTTTTTATTTTTCTGTTATTAAAGCAACCTGGCCGCAGGCCAGATTTTATTGCTGGCGGGCCAGTTCCGGCCCGCCAGCAATAAAAGTCAGTCAGCAAACATCGGATCACTTCACAAATCTGAGGCAGAACATTCCGAACTATTCTGATAAAATCTGTTTTCAACTAATATGCACGATGAAAATTGAGTAAAGTCTTTTCTTCAGTCCCTTTTTCTCAACAAAATAAATATCTTAGTAGAAAAATTAAGTGCTGATTCGTTTGTGATTCAAAAAAATTATATTGTGGTAATTATCATTGTTTTATTGCCCAGCCCTAGCATGAACCAAATTTCACTAACAGTAACTGCTGTTCAACATCGATCAGCTGTTGTCACTCGTAGATCTCTCACTTTATTAATGTTCGAATGTTGTCCTTCAAATGTGAGTCACTGGATAAAAGCGTCTGCCTCATGAGTAAATGTATCTGAACCGCTGTGAACCATCTTTGTGCTGAACTAATAAAAGCTGCTCCTCTGTGGGATCGATTTCATTAGAGGCAATAAAAAGCTGAAGGCAGCCATCAGACTCTGGACTCACTCTCTGACGGCGTAGATAAAAACCACGTCGGTGGCGATGACCGACAGCCTCTGGAACAGTACAGTAGACGGGCTGGCGTAGTCCAGATTCTCCACCAGCAGCATGTTTCTGTCGAAGTGCTGAGCCACGTGGGACAGGCCGAATTCGAACCAGGCGAACAGCGGAGGGTAGTCCAGAGTCCACTCGGACGTGTTCTACAGGGGCGGGGAACAAAACCCAAATGTCGTTATAGTTCATCTTCGCTGCGACAGAGAGGTTTATAAAGATTACATCCAAATAATACAGAACACCATCACGTGCAGCTCGGTAACGCAGTCTTTAGGGTCGTGGGTGCACCCTAACTTTTGTGGCGGTGCAGCTAAATGAAAAATGTAGGCGCACCAGTGCGACCACAGCAGAAAGTTAGTCTGGAGCCCTGTGATTTATTTTATCTCACCGGTCTACAAGAAACTGAAGGTGTGCATGAGCCTTTACAGCCAACATGCAGAATATTTACATGTAGATGAAGACAAAAGAGACTTTGTGGTGTGAAAAAGAATCTCTGCTGTTATTCCCCTGGAGGTTAACGTTTTATTTCAGCAAGAATACTTCCTGTCTGAAACGCCCCCGTCACATACCGACCTCATGGTACCACCTGGACACCGGCAGACTGTGAGTGATGGCCAACCAGTTCCTGTGCACCTCGAAGTCTGTGGAATGACTGACAGACAAACAATAGCTCATTAACAATAATCAGTCTCACCAAACTCCATATAGAGAAACAGGCACTTTAATATAGACTCACTTACTAGCAAACAAACATAAGTCTGGTTTCATGTGACAAAGACAGCACCTGAAAGCTCTTTGCTTCTTGATTAGAGATCAACTAACTTGAGTTTGGAAATGGTCATATCACTGGTTACGCTCCACTACGATGTCATCAGTGAGAGAAATAAAGTCCAAACATTTGAGACCAGTTTACAGACTTTCTTGGATTGGATCAAACCTGAATAAACCAGAGGTTATTACTTATTCAGTTAGTGTTTTATGAAACGTGTATGTTGGCAAACAAGACTCCCGTAAAATTGCAGATTTTTACAGAGGAGTTTTGTTTGGCCATTCACCTAAACTACAGTCCAACTTAATTCTTCCAGACAAAAAAACAAAAGCACATAATAGTAACACGAGCATAACACTGATTTAAATACAGTCTCAGGTTGACACTAAATAAGTAAGCCACAAATATAACTGTAGTATTAATACCGAAATTACCAGTAGTTAATACTGACTCTACTGATACACTCAGTTATGGATTATGATGCGTGGACATTGGCAATGAAGCGAGACATCCTTAAAATGTGAGATTTTTCTGAGACGTTTGGCGTGGACAGAAATTGCATTGCATGTTATCATATTTCTGAGGACTTACGCCTCCATACCGGCTATAACAGCACGTAACAAACAAACAGCGAAATAATAATCTAAATAATTGAGCCAGACGTGTCTCAGGTTGTCAGTTCTTATTAATAACGCGGGCGAAACTTCGCAACTTCGCTTCAAAACAAACTTCTAATGAAAGACGGCCCCATTTTCGAGGTTGTTCCGCGACGGAAGCCGGGAAGTTAAGAACACGTCAAGTTAATCGCATCGCCGCTAGCCGGATGCTAACCTGCTAATAAGCGTCGCGGCAGCTTTTAAATGACCGTTTCATCCCGAATCTCCGCGGCTCTATGAAACTACTCCACGTCAAAGTAATTTCACTCACTAGGCGTTGATGAACAGACATTTCAGTAAAGAAACTCCCAGAGCTAACGCCGGGAACCAGCTCCAACCGTCCACCGAGGGCTCCGCCATGACGGCGATGTTGTTGATTTTGTAAACGAAAACTTTATTGACAGCTCCGAGCCGGACACTGAACACTGCTTACATCCTCCAGCTGCTGTCACGACTTTATGTTTATTACCCGTGAGCTGGAATGAGCTAGAAAGGTGAAACTCGGGGGAAATAACAAAACATAACTGGAAATTATGTGCAAATGCTTCCATAGAAAAAATGAACCCAATCGGCCAGACGGTGGCGCTGTAAATAAGGCCAAAAGATGCAAAGTTTGAAAGACCACGGCCCTCACACAGTGAGTCCGATTGACTTGAGATTTCTCACGCGGGTGCAGCTCAATGTGCGCTACAAAAAAGCCTCACGGACTATTAAGGTCCGCCTAGAAAAAACATCCGCCATTTTGAATTATTTGAAAAACAATTTTTTTGACATCTCATCCTAGACCTTAGCTCCGATTGCCACCACATTTTCAGAGGATAATCATTTGAACAAGTTGATTAAAAGGTGCAGAAAGCTTGTTGATATCTCATTTCGTTTTCAAGATATTAACCAATGAACTTCGAAAAGGGGGCGTGGCTTATGAGATAAATGGACACAAATGAGCAGTCTTTGGGCCAATCATCACTAATCTCACAGGGTGTGTTTAGACCAGTGCCTGAGACATGCCCTGAAAGTTTCATTCAAATCGACCACTAGGGGGCGCTAAGAACATGAAAAAACTGCAAGTAATCTAACGCAAATCAGAAACTGTTTGTCCAATCATTACAAAACTGGCAGAAGGTTTTCAATAACAATGTTGGACCACATGTGTGAAATTATTTTGAAATCGCTAAGGCGGAAAAAGGTTTAAACCTGGAAATCGCTGCTTGCTGCTATAGTAGTTTAAATGTTTCTGTTAAAGTTATGAATTAAGGCGAGAGACACCTCAGCCCATAATGATGATTCTGCTTCAATCTGTCAATTTTCAAATGTTAAGTTGTTTTGAAACTATTATTTCTATATATCAGAGATATCTATGTGTTCACGTGATAAACAGTAATGTGTGTGCTAAGTGTGTTGTTATTGCGTTAATTAATCTTTAACAGACAACGTTTTTTTTTCAGATGCCAAGTCATTTTGCTCGCCCTTCAGGGCCGTTAGATCATCATAATTTTTACACAGTGTTTCTTAGTTCTTGAGACATTTACAGATTTTTTTTAATGATCTTTTATCATTTTCATTTTATGTGGAATTTTATCTGTGAATATGTGGGGGAAAAAGGATGTTTTGAATAAATCCATGAAAAACAATATTTTGATAAACTGTTCTGTAAATGTCTGGAATTTGGTATATTATCTGAAAAATGGGTTTGTGTCATATGCATAGACTGTATATAAGAAGTCACCTCATAAACTCTTTGTAAAATAAGGTAATTCTCTGTAATTGTGTGGGCCCCTCTAAAACTGAGGGGCCTTGGATCAGTTGTAGGAAACGTATTAATACCTCTTAGTAAAAGTCCAAAATATCACAATGTAAAAAAATACTCCATCACAGAAAGTCCTGCTTTGGCAGGTAAATATTACCAGCAAATGTACTTTTGTATAAATACATACATAGATGCAGGCAAACATTATTCTACATTCTGTTCTATTACATTCACATGTAAGCTACATTTTACTGTTGACGCTGGCTCTGGTGGAGCCAATTTTATCTATTTTACATATTATTAGTTTAATTTGCTGTATAAAACTGCATCATACACTCGTTGTAAGTTTTTAGATGTTTTTAAATAAACAAAGTAAATAGTAACTTCAGGTATCAAATAAATATAGTGTGGAAAAAAATACAAACCTTTCCTTTGATAAAGATGCATAAAATTTAAATACTCAGGTAACGTACATCAACACCTTTGAACACAAAAATAAAAAATAAATTACAATAATAATAATAATGATGTGTTTTGTGTTTAAATTTATTTAAGAACGACGCCACTAAAGTAAAACACTGACTTCCTGTAGAGTAGGTTTGTGTCAAAATGTAGTTTAACTTTTGATGTCAATATAGTCCATATACTGTATTTTTAGTAACGTTTTATCAATTTACCACAAGTTGAGTTACTATTCCAGTATAAAGTACCAACAACAGGTCATCAGAGACGGTTCTTCCCTCAGAAAGTCAGAGTGAAACAACAGTTTTATAAAGTATTGAGTTACTTCATCTTATAACAGATTTCCTTCATGAAAATCCATTAAAACATCACTATAGATTTACTTATTAGCCACACCTCAGAAACCAACGCCCACTCACACATCTCCTACGGTCCCTGAATGCATCAGCAGGACGGACTGAAACTCTGAAGTGTTTCCGGTCTGTGAGCAGTTCTTTAGAGAGAGATCAGCCACTGCGAACAGTCTGTAGTTTGTTTCTCAGGAGTTTCACAGTTTAAGGAAACTTTATTGGAGCACTTGAACGCGACATGAACGCGCTGCTGCGGCGGTTCGACCTGCGGCGGGTCGGAACCACATGGAGAGGTGAGGAACCAGAACCACCTGGAGAGACCGGTTCGGTCTGTGGGAGAGACGAGCCCACCTGAAGGACCCGCAGAGAGAGAGAGAGAGAGAGAGAGAGAGAGAGGGCTCTGCGGGACACCAACGAAGAAGGGAGGGTCATTACGTCATAGTACCAGCGTCCCAAAAAACAGCACATAGTATTACTGTAAAGTATTACTATAGAGTGCATAGTATTACTCTAAAGTATTACTGTAAAGTATTACTATAGAGTGCATAGTATTACTCTAAAGTATTACTGTAAAGTATTACTATAGAGTGCATAGTATTACTGTAAAGTATTACTGTAAAGTATTACTATAGAGTGCATAGTATTACTGTAAAGTATTACTGTAAAGTATTAGTATAGAGTGCATAGTATTACTCTAAAGTATTACTGTAAAGTGTTACTATAGAGTGCATAGTATTACTGTAAAGTATTACTGTAAAGTATTACTATAGAGTCCATAGTATTACTGTAAAGTATTACTGTAAAGTATTACTATAGAGTGCATAGTATTACTCTAAAGTGTTAGTATAGAGTGCATAGTATTACTGTAAAGTATTACTATAGAGTGCATAGTATTACTGTAAAGTGTTACTATAGAGTGCATAGTATTACTGTAAAGTATTACTGTAAAGTATTACTATAGAGTGCATAGTATTACTGTAAAGTATTACTATAGAGTGCATAGTATTACTCTAAAGTATTACTGTAAAGTATTACTATAGAGTCCATAGTATTACTCTAAAGTATTACTGTAAAGTATTACTATAGACTGCATAGTATTACTGTAAAGTATTACTGTAAAGTATTAGTATAGAGTGCATAGTATTACTCTAAAGTATTACTATAGAGTGCATAGTATTACTCTAAAGTGTTACTATAGAGTGCATAGTATTACTCTAAAGTATTACTGTAAAGTATTACTATAGAGTGCATAGTATTACTGTAAAGTATTACTATAGAGTGCATAGTATTACTCTAAAGTATTACTGTAAAGTATTACTATAGAGTGCATAGTATTACTCTAAAGTATTACTGTAAAGTATTACTATAGAGTGCATAGTATTACTGTAAAGTATTACTGTAAAGTATTACTATAGAGTGCATAGTATTACTGTAAAGTATTACTGTAAAGTATTACTATAGAGTGCATAGTATTACTGTAAAGTATTACTGTAAAGTATTACTATAGAGTGCATAGTATTACTGTAAAGTATTACTGTAAAGTATTACTATAGAGTGCATAGTATTACTGTAAAGTATTACTGTAAAGTATTACAATAGAGTGCATAGTATTACTGTAAAGTATTACTGTAAAGTATTACTATAGAGTCCATAGTATTACTGTAAAGTATTACTGTAAAGTATTACTATAGAGTGCATAGTATTACTCTAAAGTATTACTGTAAAGTATTACTATAGAGTGCATAGTATTACTCTAAAGTATTACTGTAAAGTATTACTATAGAGTGCATAGTATTACTGTAAAGTATTACTATAGAGTGCATAGTATTACTGTAAAGTATTACTATAGAGTGCATAGTATTACTGTAAAGTATTACTGTAAAGTATTACTATAGAGTGCATAGTATTACTCTAAAGTATTACTGTAAAGTATTACTATAGAGTCCATAGTATTACTCTAAATTATTACTGTAAAGTATTACTATAGAGTGCATAGTATTACTGTAAAGTATTACTGTAAAGTATTACTATAGAGTGCATAGTATTACTCTAAAGTATTACTGTAAAGTATTACTATAGAGTCCATAGTATTACTGTAAAGTATTACTGTAAAGTATTACTATAGAGTGCATAGTATTACTGTAAAGTATTACTGTAAAGTATTACTATAGAGTCCATAGTATTACTCTATTACTGTAAAGTATTAGTATAGAGTGCATAGTATTACTCTAAAGTATTACTATAGAGTGCATAGTATTACTGTAAAGTGTTACTATAGAGTGCATAGTATTACTGTAAAGTATTACTGTAAAGTGTTACTATAGAGTGCATAGTATTACTGTAAAGTATTACTGTAAAGTATTACTATAGAGTGCATAGTATTACTGTAAAGTGTTACTATAGAGTGCATAGTATTACTGTAAAGTATTACTGTAAAGTATTACTATAGAGTCCATAGTATTACTCTAAATTATTACTGTAAAGTATTACTATAGAGTGCATAGTATTACTGTAAAGTATTACTGTAAAGTATTACTATAGAGTGCATAGTATTACTGTAAAGTATTACTGTAAAGTATTACTATAGAGTCCATAGTATTACTCTAAAGTATTACTGTAAAGTATTACTATAGAGTGCATAGTATTACTCTAAAGTATTACTGTAAAGTATTAGTATAGAGTGCATAGTATTACTCTAAAGTATTACTGTAAAGTATTACTATAGAGTCCATAGTATTACTCTAAAGTATTACTGTAAAGTATTACTATAGAGTGCATAGTATTACTCTAAAGTATTACTGTAAAGTATTACTATAGAGTCCATAGTATTACTTTAAAGTATTACTGTAAAGTATTACTATAGAGTGCATAGTATTACTCTAAAGTATTACTGTAAAGTATTACTATAGAGTGCATAGTATTACTCTAAAGTATTACTGTAAAGTATTAGTATAGAGTGCATAGTATTACTGTAAAGTATTACTATAGAGTGCATAGTATTACTCTAAAGTATTACTGTAAAGTATTAGTATAGAGTGCATAGTATTACTGTAAAGTATTACTATAGAGTGCATAGTATTACTCTAAAGTATTACTGTAAAGTATTAGTATAGAGTGCATAGTATTACTCTAAAGTATTACTATAGAGTGCATAGTATTACTGTAAAGTATTACTATAGAGTGCATAGTATTACTCTAAAGTATTACTGTAAAGTATTACTATAGAGTGCATAGTATTACTCTAAAGTATTACTATAGAGTGCATAGTATTACTGTAAAGTGTTACTGTAAAGTATTACTATAGAGTGCATAGTATTACTGTAAAGTATTACTGTAAAGTATTAGTATAGAGTGCATAGTATTACTCTAAAGTATTACTATAGAGTGCATAGTATTACTCTAAAGTATTACTATAGAGTGCATAGTATTACTGTAAAGTGTTACTGTAAAGTATTACTATAGAGTGCATAGTATTACTGTAAAGTATTACTATAGAGTGCATAGTATTACTCTAAAGTATTACTATAGAGTGCATAGTATTACTCTAAAGTATTACTATAGAGTGCATAGTATTACTGTAAAGTGTTACTGTAAAGTATTACTATAGAGTGCATAGTATTACTGTAAAGTATTAGTATAGAGTGCATAGTATTACTCTAAAGTATTACTATAGAGTGCATAGTATTACTCTAAAGTATTACTATAGAGTGCATAGTATTACTGTAAAGTGTTACTGTAAAGTATTACTATAGAGTGCATAGTATTACTGTAAAGTATTACTATAGAGTGCATAGTATTACTGTAAAGTATTACTGTAAAGTATTATTATAGAGTGCATAGTATTACTATAAAGTATTACTGTAGTATTACTGTAGTATTACTATATAGTGTTTACTGTAGTATTACTATAAAGTGTTTATATGGTAGTACTATAGTATTTACTGTAGTATTACTATATAGTGTTTACTGTAGTATTACTATAAAGTGTTTATATGGTAGTACTATAGTATTTACTGTAGTATTACTATGATTTTTAAAGAAACTATTATTAGTTATACTATAATGTTTATACAGTAACAGTATTACTAATGTTTTTTGGATGTTCTATAAAGAGTTACTGTAGTAATACTGAACATTTACTATAGCATCATCATAGTATTACTACAGGAATATTAATGTTATGTATATGTATTAATGTACTATAGAAACACTACATAATATACTATAGTAATACTATTTAATACAGGAATACTACAAAGATATAGCATTACTACTGAAATATTACAGGACTACTGTAGACAATAAAACAGCACTACAGAAATAAACTGTAGTAATACCATAGCTGATGAAAAATACTACAAACTTACCACAGGACACTATACAGTACTTACAGTAATCTTTATGCTAAGCTAACCTTGTAGCTTCATATTTAGTGTTCTGAACACGGGCCTTTATGTCGTCCTTTAAGTTTTTAATGACCTGAAACCCGGGACAGGTTTCCATGTGACGGCCCCCATGTCGACCTTTGACCTGAGGAGGGTTGAATTAAAGCCTCTGGAGCAGCGGAAACTCACCTTCGACTCCCACGCCATGGTGACGGAGCTGCAGAGCAGCGGTGAGGAAACAACTTTCATTATCTTGTTTCCGTTCCTGAGAAAAAAACTAAACCTGGTGAGTTTACAGACTCTTCATCCTGAACGCTCGATGGGACGAGTTTAACACGGAGGGATCGTTGTTGTTTTTATCTTGTGCAGGATTTGAGAAGCGTCAGGCGGAGCTCATAGTTTCAGCTCTGGTCACTCTCACCACGGCGAACATGGACATCGTTTACAAAGACATGGTGACCAAATCCCACCAGGTAGGAGGCTTTTCAAACCACTTATTTTGAGCTTTTAGAACAATCAGGTGAAGACGGACCTGAGTACAGCAGAGAGAAAGAAGAGCATACAAGCTGATGTTCAGATGATGGTGCCCAGGAAGCGGGAAGGACCGGGGCTGATCACAAAAACAAAAACGCCGTCTTTACCTGTGTTTTCTGTCAGGAAATCGCTGTGCAGCAGCTCATGGCTCACCTGGACTCCATCAGGAAGGACATGGTGATCCTGGAGAAGAGCGAGTTCGCCAACCTTCGCTCTGAGAACTTGGTGCGACATCTCTCTTTTTACTTTGTTTCTTTAATCAGTTGAAAATGAAATGTGGTCAGCATTTCACTAGTTATTCAGTTAAAGTTCTCCACCTGAAATCAGTTTCTTTTTAAATAAAATCAAGTGTTTTGTCAATTTTAAGGAAGTAGGAAAGCTGCCAGATCCAGAAAATTCAAGAAAAATGTATAAACGTAAATACCTAAATATCTGTCTCACGTTCCTGAGAGAGATCAAGTCTCTGTTGTAGATCTTTACTAAACGTTTCCCAAAACAGTCTTAGAAAACATCAAGTGTTCAGATTTCTTTCCTTCTCTGTATTTTTCCTGTAGAAGATGAAGCGAGAGCTGGAGCAGCTACACGACAGACTGAAGGTGAGACGGTGTTTGGACTTCTGTCAGTCAGTCTGCAGCCCAGCGGGTGTTTTTACAGAAAGGGTTTTCTTTTTGATCAGTTCAATGACGTGTGTTGTTTTCTGTTTCCTGTTCAGGAGGAGAGTCAGAAAGTCCGAGCAGAAAGCAAACTGGACATCAACCTGGAGAGCAGCCGGGTCTCTGACATGGTGTGTCTTTTATAACAGTCAGGGGTTTTTAAACACAACTCATCAGTAAGTGAACGCGTCGTCGTTGGAAGGGGCTTTGGCGTGTTCAACAGTAAGTGAATGCGTCACCGTTGGAAGGGGCTTTGGCGTGTTCAACAGTAAGTGAACGCGTCGTCGTTGGAAGGGGCTTTGGCGTGTTCAACAGTAAGTGAACGCGTCGCCGTTAGAAGGGGCTTTGGCGTGTTCAACAGTAAGTCAACACGTCGTTGTTGGAAGGGGCTTTGGCGTGTACAACAGTAAGTGAACGCGTCGTCGTTGGAAGGGGCTTTGGCGTGTTCAACAGTAAGTCAACACGTCGTTGTTGGAAGGGGCTTTGGCGTGTACAACAGTAAGTGAACGCGTCGTCGTTGGAAGGGGCTATGGCGTGTTCAACAGTAAGTGAATGCGTCACCGTTGGAAGGGGCTATGGCGTGTTCAACAGTAAGTGAACGCGTCGTCGTTGGAAGGGGCTATGGCGTGTTCAACAGTAAGTGAACGCGTCGCCGTTGGAAGGGGCTTTGGCGTGTTCAACAGTAAGTGAATGCGTCACCGTTGGAAGGGGCTATGGCGTGTACAACAGTAAGTGAACGCGTCGCCGTTGGAAGGGGCTTTGGTGTGTACAACAGTAAGTCAACACGTCGTTGTTGGAAGGGGCTTTGGCGTGTACAACAGTAAGTGAACGCGTCGTCGTTGGAAGGGGCTTTGGCGTGTTCAACAGTAAGTGAACGCGTCGCCGTTGAAAGGGGCTTTGGCGTGTTCAACAGTAAGTGAACGCGTCGCCGTTAGAAGGGGCTTTGGCGTGTTCAACAGTAAGTGAACGCGTCGCCGTTAGAAGGGGCTTTGGCGTGTTCAACAGTAAGTGAACGCGTCGCCGTTAGAAGGGGCTTTGGCATGTTCAACAGTAAGTCAACACGTCGTTGTTGGAAGGGGCTTTGGCGTGTACAACAGTAAGTGAACGCGTCGTCGTTGGAAGGGGCTTTGGCGTGTTCAACAGTAAGTCAACACGTTGTTGTTGGAAGGGGCTTTGGCGTGTACAACAGTAAGTGAACGCGTCGCCGTTAGAAGGGGCTTTGGCATGTTCAACAGTAAGTGAACGCGTCGCCGTTAGAAGGGGCTTTGGCGTGTTCAACAGTAAGTCAACACGTCGTTGTTGGAAGGGGCTTTGGCGTGTACAACAGTAAGTGAACGCGTCGTCGTTGGAAGGGGCTTTGGCGTGTTCAACAGTAAGTGAACGCGTCGTCGTTGGAAGGGGCTTTGGCGTGTTCAACAGTAAGTCAACACGTCGTTGTTGGAAGGGGCTTTGGCGTGTACAACAGTAAGTGAACGCGTCGTCGTTGGAAGGGGCTTTGGCGTGTTCAACAGTAAGTCAACACGTTGTTGTTGGAAGGGGCTTTGGCGTGTACAACAGTAAGTGAACGCGTCGCTGTTGGAAGGGGCTTTGGCGTGTTCAACAGTAAGTGAATGCGTCACCGTTGGAAGGGGCTATGGCGTGTACAACAGTAAGTGAACGCGTCGCCGTTGGAAGGGGCTTTGGTGTGTACAACAGTAAGTGAACGCGTCGTCGTTGGAAGGGGCTTTGGCGTGTTCAACAGTAAGTGAACGCGTCGCCGTTGGAAGGGGCTTTGGCGTGTACAACAGTAAGTGAACGCGTCGTCGTTGGAAGGGGCTTTGGCGTGTTCAACAGTAAGTGAACGCGTCGTCGTTGGAAGGGGCTTTGGCGTGTACAACAGTAAGTGAACGCGTCGTCGTTGGAAGGGGCTTTGGCGTGTTCAACAGTAAGTGAACGCGTCGCCGTTGGAAGGGGCTTTGGCGTGTTCAACAGTAAGTGAACGCGTCACCGTTGGAAGGGGCTTTGGCGTGTTCAACAGTAAGTGAACGCGTCGCCGTTGGAAGGGGCTTTGGCGTGTTCAACAGTAAGTGAACGCGTCGCCGTTGGAAGGGGCTTTGGCGTGTTCAACAGTAAGTGAACGCGTCGTCGTTGGAAGGGGCTTTGGCGTGTTCAACAGTAAGTGAACGCGTCGTCGTTGGAAGGGGCTTTGGCGTGTTCAACAGTAAGTGAACGCGTCGTCGTTGGAAGGGGCTTTGGCGTGTTCAACAGTAAGTGAATGCGTCGTCGTTGGAAGGGGCTTTGGCGTGTTCAACAGTAAGTGAACGCGTCGCCGTTAGAAGGGGCTTTGGCTTGTTCAACAGTAAGTGAACGCGTCATCGTTGGAAGGGGCTTTGGCGTGTTCAACAGTAAGTGAACGCGTCACCGTTGGAAGGGGCTTTGGCGTGTTCAACAGTAAGTGAACGCGTCGCCGTTGGAAGGGGCTTTGGCGTGTTCAACAGTAAGTGAACGCGTCACCGTTGGAAGGGGCTTTGGCGTGTTCAACAGTAAGTGAACGCGTCGCCGTTGGAAGGGGCTTTGGCGTGTTCAACAGTAAGTGAACGCGTCGCCGTTGGAAGGGGCTTTGGCGTGTTCAACAGTAAGTGAACGCGTCGCCGTTGGAAGGGGCTTTGGCGTGTTCAACAGTAAGTGAACGCATCATTGTTAAAGGGTAACGCTGTGTGTTTTGTCAGTTCACTGAACAGGAGAAGAAGCTGATGGAGGCGACTTCAGAGTTCAATCACAAGGTAAACAGACTGTGTATTACTACTCTATAAAACTACTTAGTACTGTAGCAGCGTGGGCTGTGATTGGCTGACGACGTCTCTCCTGTGGTCAGAAAGCCGACCTCGAACACGACAACATGGAGATCAACAAGAAGATGGACCTGCAGGTGGCTTCACTCAAAACGCTCCTGGAGTCCCTCAAGCTGGAGACCATCAGCTACCTGGCAGGTACACGAGTACACACTGTTGTACACACAAGTACTGGGAGCAGAAGCTGATTGGGTGATCACAGATGAGGGGGCGGGGTTTAGTGAACACACCGGATGACCTAAAGGAAGTGGTGTTTCAGGATTTTGTTGACGTTCTGTCCCGTGTTCCTCCTCAGCGACGGTGTTCTGCTGCCTCGCCATCTCTCTGGGAGTCTACCGGCTGTGGAGGTGAAGGAACTCGTATTTATACTCGACACGGAGTACTTCCAGAGAGTACACAGAGTACACAGACCAGGACGCCGCCGCTGCCGCAATGCAACAAAAACCTGATTCACTTCATCTCCACAGAGTTTTACTTCAGTTAAAGTACCAGTACAACTGTGTAAAAATACTCTGATACAAGTACAAATTTACTCAAGTAGAAGTACATAAGTATTATCAGAGTTATAAGGACTACCACTATGCACTTACTCAAGTACTGGATATAAGTACACTGTTTAGGTATTTCCACTTTTCTGGAGTATTTCCATTTACTGCAAATTTTTACTTCCACATTACTGCATTTCAAATATTCAGTGGTGTAAGAAGTACTCAGGTCAATCCTTTAAGGAAAAGGACCAGTACAGCAAAAAAAATTTATGTTGAAGTACATAAGAGCTACCACTACACTACTGAAGTACTGTGTTAGTACAGTATTTAGGTATTTTAATGTGTATTTCTCTGGAGTATTTCCATGTAATGCTACTTTATACTTCTACATTATAATTTAGAAGTATAAAGTTGTGTAATGTGAAGTATTCAGTGGCAGAAGAAGTACTCACACCAATCCCTTAACTAAAAGTACCAGTACAACAATGTAAAAATACTCAAATCAACTTCCAACATTCAAAAGCCTAATTCAGTACACAAGTATTATCAGCGTCCTGTAGGTAAAGTACCAGCTCATAATACCTAAGTATTATACTTACATAATACTTTAAATGCAGGAGGTTACAGAGTACTTTTAAATTGTGGTAATGCTACTTTTGGGGTTTGAGTACTTGTTCCGCCTCTCAAATGGAGTACATGATGGGAATAACTCGGTGTTTGTACTCTTCAGCTACTTGTACTGTATGTTTGATGCGTTTATGGAACTCGTGCTGTTTTGGAAAGAAGAATCTGTTTTAATGAAGCGCTTCAGTGTTTTTATTGAATCTAAAGCTGCTGGAAATGAAACATCTGGAGCTTCTGTTTGCTGAAACTGAAAGATCATTTATCCAAATTATAATAAATATAATAAGAGCTGAACGAGACGTCTGGGAGCTCCAAAGAAAAAGCAGAGAAAGATCGTAAAAACTGCAGGTGTGGTTTTATAACGTCACAACAAAATACTGAAAGAGATGAGGGACGAAACAGAAAGTGAAGGAAAACTCAGAAACCACTTTGTCAGTAATTCAGGCAAAAGGAGCCCCAACTAAGTACTGAGTGCCGTACATGCTCATACTTTTCAGTTGGCCAACATTTCTAAAAATCCTTTTTTGTATTGGTCTTAAATAATATTCTAATTTTCGGAGATACAGCATTTGGGATTTTCATTAGTTGTCAGTTTTAATCATCACAATTAAATGAAATAAACATTTGAAATATATCAGTCTGTGTGTAATGAATAAATATAATACCCAAGTTTCACTTTCTGAATGGAATTACTGAAATAAATCAACTTTTTGATGATATTCTAATTATATGACCAGCGTGTGTGTGTAACACTCAAAAGTTTGGGGTCACCCAGAGAATTGCATGTTTTTAAAGATTATAAATACTTTTTATTTGAAATAATAATTTTGTCCTTCAAACTTGGCTTTCGTCAAAAAATCCTCCATTTGCAGCAATTACAGCCTCGCAGACCTTTTGGCATTCTAGCTGTCGATTAGTTGAGGTAATCTGAAGAAATTTCAGGCCCCGCTTCCTGAAGCACCTCCCACAAGTTGGCCTGCCTCGATGGGCCCTTCGTACCGTACCGTACGGTCAAGCTGCTCCCACAACAGCTCAGGAGGGCTGACATGTGGTCACTGCGTTACAGACAGAACACCGGCTGACGGCTTCTTCCCTAAATAGTTCCTGCATAGTTTGGAGTTGTGCTCTGGGTCATTGTCCTGTTGTAGGAGGAAACTGGGTCCAATCAGGCGCCGTCCACAGGGCATGGCGTTGCTAAATGGAGCGACAGCCTTCCATATGCAGATCTCCCAAAGCAGCCCCAGACCATCACATGACCTCCAGCATGCTTGACAGATGGCGTCAGGTTCTGCGTCTCACAAATGTTCTTCTGTGATCCAGACACCTCAAACTTGGATTCGTCTGTCCTTTACACTTTTTTCCGATCTTCCTCTGTCCGATGTCTGTGTTCTTTTGACCATCTTCGTCTGTTCCTTCTATCGGCCGGTCTCAGATACGGCTTTTTCTTTGCCTCTCTGCCTAGAAGGCCAGCGTCTTCACATTTAATGAAGCTGCCAGTCGAGGACCTGTGAGGCGTCCGTTTCTCAAACTACAGACTCTAAAGTGTTTGTCCTCTCGCTTAGTTGTGCACCCGGACCTCCCACTTCTCTTTCTGCCCATATGTGCTGTTCTCTGAAGGGAGTAGTACTTCATTTAGAATAGAATAGCCTTCATTTCTCAGAACAAGAACAGACTGTCGAGTTTCAGAAGAAAGTTTAAGTTTGGGTATAATTGAACCCACAAATGCTGCTGCTCCAGATGCTCAACTAGCTCAAAGGAGGGCCAGTTTTAGAGCTTCTCTAATCAGCACGAGGGTTTTGTAATCATCAATGTACCATTAGAACACAGGAGTGATGATTGCTGGAAATGGGCCTCTGTAGATATTCCCTTAAAAATCAGCTGTTTCCAGCTGGAATAGTCATTTACCACTTTAACAATGTCTAGACTATATTTCTGATTAATTTAATGTTATCTCCATTGAAAACTGCTTTTCTTTTAAAAATAAGGACATTTCTAAGTGACCCCAAACTTTGAACGGTAGTGTTTATATACTCTATATACTGTAGATGTATTCTTTTAAAATAAACAAAAATTTTTGACCTGAAAGAAAACCAAACCTTAAGGATTCACAATGAAAATATTTTTTATAATCTGGCTTTTCTTTCAACACCACTGCAGGACTGAGCACTGAACGCTTCATTTCCTGCATTCTGGAGAAAATCTGCACTAATTTACGGTGGAAATGTTTTTACACACAAAGGGAAACAAAACTCAGGTGGCGATATATAAATATAATGAAGTAATCAGCAATGTGTGGGTTTCAGTTTAAATTTCAGATAAAGGACATTTGCCCGTTTTCTCCCTGCGCAAATTAACCTCAAAGCATTTTCATTTTAACATGTCTTTTTTAAAGAGTGATGAGGACGCGGCTGCAGGGTAAACGACCATTATACATAAAAAGTGCAAAAATAAAGACGCAGTAATAAAATAAATGAGGACACATCTGTTTAATGTGCAAAACTCTGCTGCTAGTTAAACTGTTCACCATAACAATTCTTTTAATAATGTAAATATTGTACATATCCACACTCCTTTAAGTCTGATCATTATTTACCAACTTTCTATTCTTTCTATTCCTTTTGCCTTGACGCAGCTGTGACAAACACCTCAGGCAGGTAGAAGGCGGCGAGGCCTGATGTTCGGACAGCTGTGGTCTCTGGTGGGAAAAGTGAGAGAAGAGCTACTCGTGCATCAAGCAGGCGGCGCTGGTCAAAGACTCAGACCTTTAAAGACCTCCTCACGGAGACAGCCGGACTCTGCAGATGAAATAAAAACACCACGGCAGGAGCTTTGAATCCACTGAACCTTTATTTCAACTTGTGAAACCTACGTGACAATAAACCAGTCACCGCTCACGCCGACCACTTTCAGACTCTTTTATTGAAAATCAACTCGAGCAAAGAAAAACAACGGACAGACGTGGATCCTCCGCAGAGACGCTTCCTGAAGAGCGGCTGGAGTCTTCAGTCGTCCAATCAGATGATGCTTACCTTTAAACGCAGCCTGAAACAACACCTGCAACTACCCACCGATAAACCAACCAATCAAATCAATGAACCCGGCTGAGTCCAGGCCGACAGGCTCAATCAGCGTTACACCAGAGATACCAAAAAATACTTTAATTTATAAATTAACTCATTTACATCTCAGCCCCGCAGGAAACAAAACATTTCTCTCTTTATAAACACTTTCAGTTCGGCAGACCTGAAATGGTCGCGCAGAATCCAAATACAAAAATGTATTGAGGGTTATTGTTGCCGAGGACCCGGCCTCCGCACGCTTAAAAAAAACAAAACAAAAAAAACGCCGCCTGCTCCGGGAAACGGAGGGACGGCGAGGCAGCAGCAGCGTTACGCTTTACTCTCATCAGATTGCACTTGAGTTAAAACCTCCGGCTCCTCCTCTTTCTTCACATCAGGAAGCTCGCTGGCCTCAGACGCTACTTCCTGTTTGGCGGCGGCGGCGGCGGCAGCAGCGACAGCACAGGAAGACTCCTCCTCCTCCTCCTCCTCGTCTTCCTCCTTCTTGATGAAGGCGCTCAGCGGGTGTTCAGTGAGCACCCTGTTGGGCGACGGCGTGACGTCGAGGTACGAAGACGTCTGAGGGGGACAAAGGTCAGCAGGTCAAACGTCTGAACGTTTACTTTGTTATTATTTACAGGATTTTATTCTTCAGCTACTCACGTTTTTATAATCCTCAAAGCAGGAGGGGTGGAAGTTCTGTGGAGAGAAAACAGACAGACGTGAACGACCCTGATCAGGGCGCCGACAGGCCGGTCAGCAGGTAAGAAGGCGAGGAGGATACGCAAGCAGAGAAACAGCGGCGGCGGTGTTGGTCTAACAGGACAGCGAGGCATCGAGTGCCGTTCCAAACGGCTCGAGCGATCTCTTCCTGTCGCGTAAGACGCCTCCAAACTGCCGCCCGTAACGCCCGTTGCTTTCAAAAACTGGTCAAGATGGCGACAAACAAGCCGAATTCGTACACATATACGTTTTTAGTAAAAAAGTCCCGGCTCAGCACGTACCTCGGTTTGAAGTCACGGTTTGGTTTATTTTTGGTACAGTGAGGGAAAAAAATGCAAACATTAAATTGCTGCTGGTTTATTATGAACTTTTGTAAACATCCAAATTAGTTTTCAATTTTTTAAACAAACCTAGAAATGCAGCTACACCGTACTCGACAGACCGGCGGCGCTGGACACATTAACATCAGCATTACATTGATCAGTCGACGCTTGCGCGGCTCGATTACTTGTTTGGTCTATTAAACGTCACAAAATGGTGAACCGCGCCCTCCGAAGTCTTGTTTTGTCCAGACCCCAGAGATTCAGCAGAGGAGCAAAGAAACAAGAAAATATTTATATTGAAGAAGCTGAATCAGAGAAAATCCCCGACTTGAATGTTTAAATCGATCACGAAATTAGTTGCAGCTCTAGCGTGTCGACAGTCCCAGAGAGGAACCCGGACCTCGTGTCAGAAAAACATGCGACTGGAAGCTTTCAGATATTAAACAGATCAATATTTTCTCCTGAAGATGTTTCCAGTTACACCGACCAGAGAACAGAGCGGCGACTGTCAGGAGGGCGAATCGGACCAGAACCTGTCATTATTTTCTCCTCAATCGTCCGATCAATCGACGGCGTGCAGGAGGAACTGCAGCTGTGACTTCTTTTTAAACAGAGTCTGGCGGCGGCGGCGGCGTACCTTGTCGTCGACCCTGACGGCGTTCTTCAGGAACCAGTCCTCCTCCTCCTCCACCCAGTACGTCTCAAACGGCTCCTGGCAGATTTCACACGACTGCAGGAGGAAAATAAATAAATCAGCACACGATCAATCACTTTTATTGGTTCCATGTTTACTGAAGAAGAAGAAGAAACTGTGACCTGAGGGATGTTTAGGGATCTGATTTGTCCCTGCTGGCCACCGTACTCTCACTCCATGAACTATGTTTCAGTGGAGTACTTTAGTAATTTACTTCAGTACAATTCACAGGTACTTGTACTTTATACTTTACTGCTCTGCGTTTATTTTAGTTACTCTGCAGATTCAGATTATTGATAATTAAACACATAATTGATTAGAGATTAAACTTTACCAACAGTTTCAATGCAGTAACAGTTTTATTCTATTATTTTAATATACTTTCATGCTAATACTTAAGTAAGTACTTCTACTTTGACTTAAGCAAAAGAGGAAGTGACATCAGACACCAGGGCTCTGATTGGCTGGCGGGCGCAGGTGCGACTCACCTCTCCCACCTGGTCCTTGGTGGCCTTCACGCTCTGGAACTCCTTCTCCTTGGCGGCCGCCTGGCTCTTCTGAACCTCCTCCTCGTTCTCCTTCTCGAAGAAGTGACTCTTGGCCCGCTCCTCCAGGTCGGCGATCTCCTCGAACTCGATCCAGTCCTGACGCACAAACACACACAGGCGAGTTTAAACATCGGGGGCCCGTCGGCGCCTGACCCCACAACCGTCTGGATCAGACCTTCAGACGAGGGTTTTATGTTTTTGTCTCCATGCACCGTTTCTCACTTTGTTGTGATTTTATCCGAGAGGTGCTACATATTAATAAACTTTGCTTACTCATTGGTGGCTCGTGGCTGCATTGGGCTGCACGTAACGATTATTTTTCAAGTCGATTCATCGAACGACTAATTTTGTGTAATCTAAAGAGAAAATAAGTCAAAAAAATCAAAAACGTGTCTAATCAATAAATCAATATTTTATTCAATGATCCTGATGAAGCGCATCAGAGTAACGACAACAGCGGCGTCTTAAAATGAATCTAATTTCCTCGTCACTGATGTTTTGTGATAATAAACTGTAATCAGGCTGCTTTACTTCTGACATGGATTTATTTCAGTAACACGGTTTCACAAAATATGAAACGGCCGAACGTTAGTTGACGCGCGGTGTAACTTAACGTTACCATGACAACAGCAGCGGGGCAGAAATGACGTAACATGAAGGCGATTAAGAAAATACATTTTTACGGACGCGGTGTCCTCGTGCTGATAATGTGGCGCTCCGGGACACTTGCGCTTCACGTATTCGTGGACAGCAGCTGTGCTGCGGTGAAGCTCACGGCGGTTCTAAAATACTCCCGAACTTTAGACGCAGCGGGAACCCCGCAGCCGCTCTTTGTTTTTATCAGTTTAAAATATGTTCACTGCATTAAAACTTAAGGATTAGAGTGCACATTTTCAGCTCATTTATTTTTATTTGCTGTGCATTTTCCCCGACAAATCACCCCAATAATTCTGGGATGCTTGATTCTTTTCAGAATTCTCTGCATTGCAATGTCAGTTTTTATATAGTTATGAGTGCGGCTGAGTGACGTCTGACGAACTGAACACGGCCTGAAATCCACAGCAGAACCCGAAGTCTCCGTATCATTCATTAATAAAAACGTTGCTGCTGAGAGATTTTACATGAATTATCTCGGTTCTGATATCAGCTTCATCTACCCTGCTCTCTAAACGCCGGGCTGCTCGCCATGTGGTCATGTAACGCTCTCCTCCGCCCACACCGGGCTCTCGCATGTGCCTCTAAAAACAGATACGTGCAATCAGAAAAATGTTTCATGAGCAGTGTGACCGTAACATTAAACATTATTCTCTTTATTTGAGACGCTCGTGTACAGTTTCTCCTCCAGGGTGAGGATGGAGACTCTGCAGATGTTTGCCGCTTCTAGCCGCCTCCTCCGCGGAGCAACACGCTCCCCTTGTTCTGTTTCACTAGTTATCTTTTCAACTTTGTTCAAGTTGAAAAATACACATTTCAAAATGTCAGGATTTCGGTCAGTCCCTGATAATCAAGCAAGGAGCCTCATTTGTTCCATTATAATCCAAATGTTGTCCACAATAATCGCAATATGGCTTTTTCTCCAACCAGCAGCCACCGTCAGAGCTGCAGCTCAGTAAAGACTTCACCTGCTTCACACAGCTGTTCCACATCAGCCCTGTATTGTGTGTGTGTGTGTGTGTGTGTGCGCGCTCACCCTGAGTGTGTAGTACCAGCGGCGGTGAGTGATCTTCTTGCTGGCGACCTTCCCGGCGTGGTTCTGTCTGAAGTGCCAGTCCAGGTGGTCGGCGTACAGGTCGGTCTGAGCGGCGGTGAACCTCATGCTGCAGAGGCAGCACTGGTTCCCCGAGTACAGCTTGGTCACCACGCTGTCATAGCGCCTGCGGGGGGGCAGAACGTGTCACAACACTGACCAATCAAACGGCTTCAAGGTTATTCTAATTCTGACCCGGATGGAACGCTAATCTGACAGCATGTGGGGGGAGAACACAAATATTCAGGGTTCAAAGAAGAAAGAAAAGCTTCCAGACGCCGAACCGGAGGACTTTATATCGATCGCTTTGATCTGTAACCGACAGATTCGGGTCTGAACTCACTGTTTCATGTCGTCGATGTTGAAGCTGGTGAGGTCCGGGAAGTCGTCCTCCTCCACCTCCGGCTCCTCCTCTTCCTCCTCCTCCGCCGCCGCCGCCGGAGCTGCCGGAGCCGCAGAAGAAGATTCTGGAAAAACATTAAAATTTAATTTAAAAACAGCAGCTTTATTAAAAAGCTCCTGACAGCAGCAACATTTCAACACAAACAGTGGAAGCGTTAGCGCGGCCCTCTCACCGGTGTCGGCGGCCGGCGCGGCGTCGGGCTGCGAGGGTTTGATGATGCCGTTGGAGATGAGTTTGGACAGCAGGTCGTTGACGTCAACCTGCCCGAAGTGGTTCTCCGGAGGGACGACCTGCGGAGCTGCAGCGACACAAACAGTCACTCGCTGAACTGAAGGAACAGACGGCTGAAACTAACGTCATCGTTATATTTTCACTGTCAGCTGATTCTACAGATCCACACGCGTGCTGAGCAGCAGGAAGAACTTACGCTGCGGTCTGAAAGGCACCGGGTTCTGAGGCAGGAAGGGCTGGCCGAGGCTCGCCATCATGTTCACCTGGAAAAACGACAGTGAAAACGTCAGCCAATGACATCAGAGTAGGTGTTTGATTGACAGGTGTGTGTGTGTGTGGGGGGGGGGGGGGGCGTGTCTCACCGGTGGCTGCATGCCGGCGGAGCCAGCGGGGTTGTAGAAGGGGCCGGGGGCCGGCTGGCTGAAGGGCGGGGCCGGCTGCATGTTGAAGTTTCCCGCCTGCTGCAGGTTCGGCTGAGCTGGAAACACCATGGGCCCCGAAGGGAACTGAGGGTTCATGGGCTCCTGGAAACGCTGGGGGTTGAAGTTCTGCTGGGGGGCCGCCATTGGATTTTCATAGATGGGAGGAGCCATGGGCCTCATGGGGGGCTGCATGTTGTGTTGGGGAGCAAACCTCGGGGGGCCTTGCTGCCCAGGGGCGCACTCGTAGATGGGGGGCCCACCCTGATGTGGCACATTGGGTATGTCAAACCTGGGCCCTTGCTGGACGGGGCCATCAAAGATCATCGGACCGGGGCCTTCAAACCTCATCGTGCCCATCTGGTTTGGAGGGCCCTCAAAGCGCATAGCCCGCGGCTGCTGGAAGCCCAGCGGTCCAGATCCAGGACCAGGGGCCATGTTGTTAAAGCGTGGCATAGGACCATCAAAGTGACCCGGTCCGGGCCCCTGTCCCTCAAACCTAACAGGGTGCGGCTGTCCGATCGGACCATCAAACCTCCCAGGGCCCTGAGGGTGAGGCGGACCGTCAAACCGCCCAATACAGTCTCCGCCTCTCATTGGACCGTGAGGCATGTGGGGCCCGTCGCACTGCCCGGGCCCATCAAACCTCTCTGGCATGTTGTGATGAGGCGGTCCCCCACCATCAAATCTGCCGGGGCCCGAGTGGTGAGGCCCATCGAACCGGGCCGAATCATCAAAGCGCCCGGGGCCACCACCTTCGTACCACCCGGGAGGGTGCGGTCTGGAGGGGCCCATGTGTCCGGGCCCCTCGAACCTGAAGGGGGGGTGTCCTCCGTCGTGAGGTGGCGTGTGTCCTGGAGAGTCGCTGTGCTGTCGGACAGAAGACAGGGGGCCTCCACGAGCCGGCGCCTTGAGGATGGATTTGGGGGGAGGGTGAGCAGGGGGGACATCCAGATTGAGGGGCCCGTCGTCAGAGTGCTCACTGTTGGGACTCTCGAAGCGTGGCACCGGGCTCACCTCCGCCGAGTCCTTCTGGTGTAAAGGAGACAGGCGCTCGCGCTCGAACCTCGGGGCCGGGGCGTCCAGACCGGCCGGGCTCGAACAGTTCCTGTGGACCACGGTGCCCGAGGGTAGGGGCCCCTCCGGCCTCCGTGGGTCGGGGTGTCTGGAGTCCGCGTGTGGGCCGTACCTGCGAGGAGCGTCGTAGCCGCTCTTCTGCTCCTCGCGCTCGTCGAAACGCTGGCGCTCAGTCAGCGGCGAGTTCCACTCCCTCTCACCTGGAAACATGCAGAAACACATCAAGATGTTTGTTGGCGTCCGGCGAGCGTCAGAGCGCCCGGACATCCTGTGACATCATGACTTCAGGTGACTTTAAACAACAGCACGAGCTTCACTCAAGGTTACCTCAGACAGAAACTACAGAGAAGAGATCTAAACCTAAACTCTTCTTCTCTAATTACTGACTACACTTCCCATGATGCCCTGGGGGACGTGATTCTACGTGAGTGTGACATGATCTAACCCTGCTGGAGCGTCTCTGATCGAGACCCTGACACCCCGCAGCTCCAGAAACTGACCTCTGACCTCTCTGCGAATAAAGACGACAGGTGACAGATAATATTCGGCGCCACAGATCAGCGTAAACAGAGAAAACATACAACACATCGTCATGGATACGCTCAGGGCGGCGGACTCACTGGACTCTCTGGGGTCGGCTCGCCTCCTGAAGCGAAGGTTGGGTAGAGATTTCAGGGTGGGGAACTCTTTGCCGTGGTTGTACTCCTCGATCATGGGGCCGAGCGGCGGCCGAGGCTCTTCGCGCTCTTTACTTCGCCGCTCACCTGTAAGAGTCGTTAACAAACGCCATCAGTGACACGCCTCAGAACGCACACCTGGCTGCTTCGTCAAGCTGTGAGGTCGTCAGTAAAAGAGCGGCTGATGTTTGGATGAAAACTTTGTCGTATGCTCACCTAGCCTGTCCCGTGGCGCCCGGCTGTATTTATGTGGCGGCTGGTGTGCGGCGCTCCGCCCGCCTATCTTGTCACCCGGCACCCCTTCCTCGGCCTCCTCTGGACTCTCCTCGCCCTCCCACTCCTCCCCGGCGGCCCGGCGGGTGACCTGCGTCTTCCTCAGCTTGGACTTGTGCTCGTAGTACGACAGCTCCGCCGGGTCCATGGCGTCGTGGGGGCGGGGCTGACCCGAGGGGGGCGTGGTCAGCAGCGGCTGTTTCTTGGCGGAGAAGCTGCCGGACTCGTCCCAGCCGTCCGTGTGCTGCTGCTTCTCCTCCCGGTACTGGAAGAAGTGTTTGATCTGATGGGCCATGTTCAGGAAGTCCTCCTGGGAAATCTCGCCGCTCTCCAGACGCTTGCTGGCCTGCAAAGAGAGACGGCGGCGACTTAGGGAGGAAACACCCGACACGGTAACACTGAGCTCATTTAGAGTCTATCGGATATCTAGATATTTCCTGGGATTTTGTCGATAACTATAATTAGTGTGTGCGAGCGGCGTTTGGGACGTACCCTCCTGAGCAGGTCCTTCTTGGAGGCGGAGTTGAGGACTTCAGGTATCTGCAGGTTGGCGTCCACGCTGAGGCGATGCTTCGGGGTCCGGGGGGTGGCGGGGCGAGCGGCCTGGGGGCCGTACTGTTTGTGTCTCTGAGGTCCCGGCTTCACATGAGAGTCCTCCGGCAGCTTCGGACTGAAGGACGAAACACACGTTCAGGTTTTTTACTTGTTTCACCGCGGCGTGCTGCTGTGACCATCAGCTGACCGACAGTTTATAGCTTTAGTCCTTTATTATGCAAAAAAGTTTTTAGACAGTTGGTCAAAATTTAAATGTTGAAAATCCCAGTGCTGCCCCCCAAACTGAGTATTTTATTACCGACTAATAACCAATTAATTCAGATTCTTTTCCCGCAGCCCAAAAACAGGAAGACGATTCTGCACACGATTAAATATCACAAGTAAAGGAAGAAAATTATCACATTTAAGAAGCTGGAAACAAAATGTTTTAAATGAAAACAGTTCTCAGGTGTTCAAACGCTAACAGAAGAATGAATAAACTAGTTAAATCAGGAACGATCGGACCACCTTGAATCTGATTGGACGTTGGATGGCGGCTTCGGGCCGAACCACAGAACATATAAAAGGTTATAAAACTCACTGTTTGTTCTCCTCCCAGCCGCTCCTCCAGCGGTGAGGAGCGTCCTTGGCGTCCTTGCTGCCTCCGTCATGGCTCCGCGGGGAGTGAGAGTCTCTGGACTCCGAGTGCCGCTCCTCCGCCGGCCTCTTCGACCTCCTGCTTTCTGATTGGATCTTCTTTGGCGCGAGCCGGTCCTCTCGACTGGGCTTGCCGTGTTCTGGTTCTTCCGCGCGGATCCTCCTGGGCTTGCCGGGCTTGTGAGATGGCGACGGGGACAGGGAGCTGCTCCTGGTTCTGCTCTTGGGCGACCGCCTGTCCTTCCTCTTCGGCGAGGGCGACCTGGAGCGCGAGCGGGTGCGTTTCCTGGCGTGTGTTCGTGCGTTGCCTCCGGCCTTGAACTCAGCCTTCTCTGAGGACTCCTCGCGGTCGTGTTTGGTCACCGCGCCGTTGACCAGCTTCCCCTTGCTGGACCTCAGAGGCTCTGCTCCCCGTGGCGCCTCCTCTCGCTCCTTCTTGTCGGTGCATCTTTTCTTCTCCTTCAGCTCGTCGTCTTTGGCCTCCCCGGTCTTGTCCTGCGTGCGTTTCTTCAGCCTGGGATCTTTCTTTGTGCCGTCTGCTGACTTCTGAAGCTCCGCCTCCGCCTGTCTGTTTTTACTCTGGACACTTTTGGCCATCGGAGACGGAGACTTGGACTTGGGTTTCTCCTCCAGCACGTCTTTCCTCTGGGTTCTGGCCTTGTCTGGCCGGGTGGACTTCTCAGGTGTCACAAGAGGACTTCCTGTTGACGTCGCGTCCGCTTTCTTCCCAGCAGGATGTTCTTTGGACTGGGAGGCGGCGGCGGGCGGGCCGGCGCGGTTCAGACGCGGGTCTCTGGTGGGCGGCTTGGCGTCCGCCTGAGTCTGAGGAGGGATCCAGGGTCGGACCGCAGGAGCCGCCTGGCTGACTGGCTTCGGCGCCGCTGGAGTGGAGACCGCTGTCGATGTTGGTAACACAAAACCACCGACCTGCAGACACACGAAACAAAAGGTTGGTGTTTGTTTCAGAGGCGGCTAAACTAACAAGCCAACAGATACTGGTCCTCATCCGGCACCGAGGTTCTCTTAATGAGCTGCTGACGGTTTCCTGCAGGATGTTCAAAGCTTTTCTACCTGCTGAGCCTCGTGTTAGAAAACAGGTCAACTGACACGGGGAGTATTTACTAACTTAAATACCACCACTCCGTGCTCATGTGCACCAAAGAGGTTTTGTTCTTCAGTGTAAAAACACACAAAAGGTTAATGAGGCTTCAGCGGTCGGACAAAAAAACCGGGAATCTATTTTGTACCATACTCAGTGTTCCCGTCACTCTGCTGTATTACAGAAAGCTAACAGACGAAGCACCAAGAGGTGGTTCAACACGGCCGCTTCGACCTTTCACCTCAGTTGACCAATTTCCTGAGGGAAACGGCTTCTACCGCTTTTTCTTTCCTGAAACCGGTTTCCCAATGGCGGCTTTTGGACCTGTTGCCGTGCGCTCTACATCCTACAAAGCTTGTCTGAGCTTCACACAAGTAGTGAGACAGCTGAACGTAATCTCAGGTTGCAGCAGGTACAAGACGGCATTTCTGCTCACCGTGGTTATAGTGTCACAGAATCAGCTGATGCGGAGTGGAAACATTCAACATTTTACCTTTTTAACAGAAACATCTGCTCATTGATGGCAGATGATGCTAACGGGAGGCTGAATCTGCTGAAAATAATATTTTCTCACATGCTACGGCAATGATAAGACACAACAACTAGACTCCGCCCGCTCGTTTGTCCTACCAGCTGTGCTTTGGTCTGCTCCAGCTCCAGCTCGATCTTCTTCTGCTGCAGCTCCAGAAGCTGTTTCTGTTTGGCCAGCAGCTGCTGTCGGATCAGCTGCTCCTGGGTCAGGCTGCACTGGCTGACGGCGGGCACCGGCTGCGGAGCGGGCGCTGCTGGTGGCGCCGGCTGGGCGGGGACAGGCTGCGCAGAGGACGCCTCCTCATTCTGGAGAGACGGCGAGGTCAGAGAGGGTCAGAGGTCAAAGAAAAAAGAAACAACTTCCTCTGGTTTTGTGACTTTGGACGTTTAAGAGGATCTTATGGTTCTTTTCATTCCACAGGGGAAAAATCTGGCAGTAAACGTCTCGCTTTCCCTTCTGCTACCAGCCCAGTGAGGCAAATTTCAACATTTTAAGAACATTTCATTAAAAGCAACTCTGATATTGAGTTCAAAACGGGGAACACATTATGGTGGGTCACATTTCAAGAACCTGCAAACAGATCAGGTTTGCCATTTTTGAAACTAACAGTTTCAGCTCAATATGAATTTCAGGAAAAAAAACACCACAGGAACTTAAAAGCTCCTAAATTCAGTTCCTCCTCTGTAACGAAGTAGTTTAAAAGTTTTCCAGTAGCGTTGGATAAAAGTCTTAAGGTCGCGTCTTACACCCGGGACGATTAAAGCTGCTAACACCTGCTTAGCAAGTTGACATTTGAACGCACATGCCTCCGTGTTTAGACACAACTTCCTATGTCTCGTCTCCAGATACATATTTACAGAACAACGCAAATCTTTCATGAAGTTCATCATTTTAAAAAGAGTTTAAACTAATTTCTGTTAAGATCTAAACGTGCAACTGGAAAGCGACAGCGCAGTCTGGCGTGGCGTCTGCAGCACATACACACCTGTTTTAAAAACTTGGGGTTGACGTGAATGCTGGCGCCGGCGTTGACGGTCGGCGGCAGCGGCTTGATGGGCCAGGCCGGGTCCACAGAGTTGACCCGGACGTCCAGCGCGTACAGCTTCTTCAGAGGAAACACGTCGTCCCACGTCGATCGTAACTTGAACAGACTCTTTCTAGTGTTTTCATCCACCTACAAACAGAGGACATGACTTGGTCCACAGCTGCCAACAAAAACCTGAAACACTTCAGCAGCGGCATCACAGCAAAAAGCTAAAAAAGCACTTTAACAAGCGTTACGTCCATTAAAACTATGGGGGGGGGGCATACTTCTGCACAGGTTAGAAGAAATGTAAAATGTTTCTGGTACAAACTTTTATTAGCAGGACTATGGGAAGTACAACAGGAGCAGAGGTCACACGTGGAAAGCAAGCAACACAAACAGCAGGGAAGTGAAGACTTTTAGAGCTTAAATGTTTTAAAACAATGCTGAACGGCAGGAAAGAGAACTGTACCTTTTCAAAGACACATATAAATGAAGTGATTAGGTTTTTAGCAAACACTGCAAGGTACTCTCCTCCAACATTCTTCACTATGGAATCCACTAAGTACAAAACTGGAAGCTTCTCGGCAGATGGGGCCTGGAGCAATAGAGAACTCAACAAGTTTAGAAAACAACAGGGGTTAAAAACCAACATTTCAGACACAATGCTTCAAGTACAATGTGACAGGATCAACAGCGGCGAGGCCGCCCTCCCCCCTCGCCACCCCGAGTGAAAAAGCCAAAAACAGTCTGTGCAGAGTGAGGGGGGGGGAAATGTGTCGACACGTCTGATAGGAAGAGGAAAAAGTTCAAGATTTAAAATAATAGTTTACAGTCTTTTTCTTCGTTCTGGAATAAAAACGCTCCTCTGATCAATCCCAAAAAACAAGACCATCATCAGAACATCATCTTCCACCGTGACCTCAGGACGCTCCAGTCAAGAGGAGGAAAAACACGTCCATGATGCACAAAGGGGTTTAAAAAGGGGGCGAGTCCAGTCCGATCTCCAGGAACCTTTTTACCTCCAAAGAGGGTTTTCTTCCTTAAACCACTCTTTGTACTTTACCCAGATGACACATGAGCCAGTTTTACCCAGTGAGTTTTATTCACTCACTCTTTCAAAGTTTGACCCTTCAGTTGTTTAAAAAAAAACATTGATAACCTATTAAAGAGAGTAGGACACGTGATCTGTAGGCGTTAAGTTAAAGAAGCTGCATTTAAACTCTTAAGTCTGTTACTAAACTGTGCAGCATCAGCTGAGTTAATGTTTAAACAACCAGTCCGAACAAGCCGAGTCAGACGTGTCAGTGAATGTAAACCAGAGTCATACCAATAAATTACACTGGGAAATAAAAAATGACAAAAAGCACATTTCACATTTTTTATTATAAACATTTTTAACCATTCAATGACATTTCAGTAATTCAAAATCCACTAGTGAAGTAATGCAGAGAAACGTTTGTTTTCCTGATCTGAGCAAAGCTTCTGTCGTGTCAAACGTGCAAACACTGACCACAGAGGTACCTGAGGCAAAACTGCTGACTGAGACGCATTTCTATAGTAGGCCGTGTCTCCTGTGGTCAACAGCAGCTACCCGACAGTATGCATTAACACATGTGGTCTGGCCTCAATCAGCAGATCAGTAAAGAAAAAGGACTGCAGGGACATGAGCGGCCAAAACACGTGTTAAAGTCAAAATCCACCATAACAGCTAAGTCTAACTAATTATCTATACATTATGCACTATTAACACATGGACTTTGTCTTTTAGGTCACTACTTTAGACAATCAAGATTCCAGCAGTTGTCACATGACTCTTTCAGGAGGCTTAGAGCCAAACGTGCAAATGGAGATAAGTCTTTACCTGCTCTCAGAGGATTTATTATACTCCAGAAACACATAAAAAGATAGTTAGACTGATTCGAGGCTGAAAACCGAACACACCGTCTGTGCTTTTGTTGCTCCTGGAACAATCTACTAATGTTTATTAAAAAAAAAAATAATAGGGCTGGGCGATTATCAGGATAAATGTCAAATTACTATTTCTTTAAAGTTTAAAGGCTGATTTTTTTTGCTGCGGAGTGAAAGAAACCAGATGGTTAGTTGTGGATTTAAACTTTTAACTTTATGTTCAGAATGAACACTTGATGCCAAACAGCTCAACCAGAATGCACGAGTAAAATTAAGTAAAAATCTTTTTCTCAAGTAAATAAATAAATAAATATCTTAAAAGAAAAACTAGGGCTGATTCTAATTAATGAAATCAAATATTTATATTGAGGACAATTATATTTTGATAATTGTTTATTGCGTAGCCCTTTCTTAGAGGTTATATTATATTTAAGGAACACATAAAAGCTAATTAGACTTAAAACCTAACATGATAATTGTGCTGTTGTTTCTTCTGGACTCCCATCAGCCTCCCATGTGTATAAAAAGCCATTTTATTTGTTTTCTACAGCGCTCTCTTGATATTAGGACTTATCTTTTGGGTAGTACATTCAGTTCTCTCATGTGTTCACACAATGTCTCCTGTCATTTCATCTCTCCTGCTTTATAACTTCTGCTGTGGTATATAAACAGCGTTTGCTTGCTTTTAGAGGAAGTAAACAATAAATAGCAGGATTTACTTTATTATCTCAACGATGTTTTAGTAGATTAACTTTACCAAAAAACAAACAAACACGTGTTTAGTCACAATAGGTCATTGTCTGTCGACCTCGACGTAATTTAACATTAACTTCATCGTCATGTTCACCTAAAACTTCATCCAGACTTTAAAACAAACTATTTTACGGTGGATTTTAACTTCAGTGGCCAGAAGCACAAATATATAAATTTCACATAAAGTGCGTCGAGTTTGGACAAAACTTTTAAAAGATGAATACTTTCTTATTTGGACTCTAAATATGAATGAATAAACGAGCTGTTCCACTTTAATACACAGAAATGTGGGTTTTAATAAAGACAGCAGCGCCACTCGACAGCCGCCATGTTTATTAGCTAACGTGCGTAGCTAACACACAACAGCACATCCTGCTCGACGACTGGGGCCTTTAAAACTAACATACACGGACATGAAAGCATCTGGAATTGAAAGTATTCTATATTTATAAAAACCTTGCTTATTTGCGCTTCAATAATAGCGACGATATCCTTGGCGAAGTTGAGGTTTTCCTCGGCCAGGATGGTCAGCATGTTGATGTGCGGCTTGCTGTTGAAGGTGAGGTCTTCCAGAGAGGACTGGTACTCCCGGCAGGCGTCTTCCCTCGCCGCTTTGTCGTCCATCTTTGAGCTGAGCGACGCGGGAAAACCTACACCGGGCTTGTAAATACCATAACCATTGATTAGCAGGCAGTCCATGAACTCATGTAGCGATCTGTTCTGCCCTGACTCGGTGAGAAATAACGCCGGGAGTCGTGGTTTAGATATTTCTGTCGTCCTTCTCTGCCCGTTAACGACGACGACAAAATGGCGACTGTAACTGAAGGCCTCATACGTCACGTGGAACCTTTAATATCTGGCGTGACGTCACCGCAGACTCATTGGCTCGCTTCAGGCCGCCTGGGCGGGATCTTTCGTTTTCATTGGTTCGACAGAATCACAGGCACACAAATGAGCCAATCAGATTAAAGCGGTGTGAGCTTATCGTTACATAACGGAAGACATCCGTGCTGCGTTCAAATGCACCTCGGATGGTCCCCCATCCCCAGCTCTTCAGACATCGGTGTGCTCGGAATGTGGACTGTCATCCAGCTACGCAGTTTTTCTATTATTTATAAAGTGTTTTTTGTTGTTACTGTACCAGTAAATTACCTAAAACCACTAAAATATTGCTTGTAATGCAAATACTGCTAATACATTTAAAGCAGTTGAATTCAGCTTTATTGGCATGAATGCAAAACAACAATATTGCCAAGGCTACAAATAAATTACAAAAGAACGATGAATTTCATACAGTTCATTAAATAAAGTAAATAAAACAGTAAACATGTGTTGTGAATTCAGTTCATAGGGTTCATCAAATGACTCTAACCGGTGTGTGTATTAAAAGACAAACAATAAATAACAACTAAAAAATCAGTATCAAATGTGAAATTAAAAATAAAACAAATAAAAGAACAATTACTAAAATAACAAACAATGAAAATAATGATTTTAAAATTGTACAGTCCAATTATTTAATATATTTATCAGTGTAGAGTTTCCACTGGTTGCCCTCAGTTCAAACCATGAGGAGATATATTTTGCTGCAACGATTTGGCATTTCTCCCAGAAAATAGGGGAGTTTCTGCTAATAAATAACTTTCCTAATTAGTCTAGTTCACTCTACAGGGGCAGCAAACTAAGGTAGAACTTAACACCATGATACACATCAGCAAAACTGAATGTGCAACACGTGATTTTGCACTATTAATCAAACGTTTCTAACAATCTGCCATGTATGTATATAGTTCAGTATAATACCGAACTTTTGTCAGACTTTCCGGGCTGTTGTTCAGACTTCAGGGGGGCGTTCAACTGCATTTTCCCAGTCTGCGAATAATATTTCCGATTTCTTCCGACACCACGTGAATGCACAGTGAGACGTTTCATCAAACACAACAACATGTGAGGCCGAAGTAATGGCGTCACTCAGGTCACGAGTTTCAGGGTTAAAATGCAGCTTTTTAAGATTAATATTATAATAAACATAACAAATACATCTTATGCAGTAAATATATTTTACAATGTAATGTTGGGAGATATTAAAATATGAAACGTGTGATGTAACAAGGCCTGTAGACATGTGATCAGTGTGCAACTGTGGCCTCCAGTGTGTTGAAACTGCTAAATGAACCAAAAGATTACCAGACTGAAATTTTTAGATTTTCATATTCTGAACATATTACTGTAAGACCATGTCAGTGTTTTATCATTTATATTGTGTGCTGTGTAGCAGAAGGGAACTTCAAACTGCATTTACTTCTACAACCCTGTTGGAATATCTGATAAAAACATTTACCTCGTACTAAAATCTGAAAACCCGAATTCTGAATTTTCACAAAGCTTTTTCAGGTGAGAAAAACATTGGCTTTTGGGAATATTTAAAATTAGAATAAAAAAAAAAAAACAAAAAACATGCATGTAAATTAGTGGTGGACAGTAATTAAGTATATTTACTTAAGTACTGTACAAAATTATAAAAGGCGACCCTTTTGTTTTTACCCCAATTCATCTAAGAATTCCTCAAATATTGTTCAGAAATCTGTCAAAATCTGTGTTAGTGAGCACTTCTCCTTTGTCGAGATAATCCATCCACCTCACAGGTGTGCCATATCAAGACAGCACGGGGACTGCACAGGTGTGCCTTAGGCTGGCCACAATAAAAGGCCACTCCAAAATGTGCAGTTTCACTCTCGGGGGGGGTCTAGAAACCAGTCAGTATCTGGTGTGACCACCATTTGCCTCACGCAGTGCAACACATCTCCTTCACATACAGTAGATCAGGTTGTTGATTGTGGCCTGTGGAGTTTTGGTCCACTCCTCTTCAACGACAACGTGAAGTTGCAGTCAGGTCGAGACCCAAATGAGGAGACGGCTTATGGTAAAGAAATGAACGTTCAATTCACGGCAAAAGCTCTGTGGACGTTCCTGCAGTCAGCATGCCAACTGCACGCTCCCTCAAAACTTAAGACATCTGTGGCATTGTGCTGTGTGATGGAACTGCACATTATGGAGTGGCCTTTTATTGTGGCCAGCCTAAGGGACACCTGTGCAATCCCCAATATTTAAGAGAAATAGGCCTTTTGTGTACATAGCGAAAGTCTTAGATCTTTGAGTTCAGCTCATGATGAATGGGGGCAAAAACAAAAGTGTTGTACTTATAATAGTGTGTGTGTGTGTGTGTGCACACGTATATAAAATACCATGTAAGTACTGCATTCAGAGATTGGAGGGAGTCAGAATGTGTGTTTAGGGCGTTGTGTTTCAGGTTGTCTTCTGTTGTCGCTCAGCTGCTCTCACCAAACATTTATTTTTTATTGCATCAAGTGTACCGTCCTTTGTACCTGAAGAAAATCCACGTTGGGTTTTAAGACATTTTAAAAAGGAGCCGATTACGACAGATTTCTCCGGACGGGCGAGTGTCTTTTGTCGACCCGTCTGATGAAACTTCTGCATGTTGGCAGTTTGGTTTCTTTGCTGTCAAACAATAACTAAAATATATCTGAACTTTACTTCACACCAGATTTTACCCTCGCGTGTCGACTTGTTTCCACGTGTTGTGAGCAACGTGTGAAGACCGAGCGTCAACCCCGTCAGCGTCTCAGCTGCCATGTAGGGATGCAAACTAACTGCCTGGATATTATTAGACACAGTCATCAGACACCGGACCGGGTGGACAGATGTACCGCTGTGATCCAGTCTAACATGCAGTACTCAGGTCCTTTACTGCAGTAAAAGTTAATTAATACCACACTGTACTATTACAAGAAAAAATACATTGGAAATATCACTTAAAGGGTAATTTCTCTATTTTAAAACCTGTTTCCACATGTTGGTGTTGAAATGACTCGTAGGTACAGAAAGTTCTGAGTCTGTGCAGTAGATTCTTCAGCTTGCAGACTATTCCTTCGTGAAAATGGCGTCCACAATAAGCGCTTCCTGTTGCCAGCGACAGGCTCGGGCCCCGTCCACACTGCTCCGTTTTAGTTTACAAACGGAGAATTAAAATGAATATGATCTCCGTCTACACTAAAAAGACTGAAAACGCACAGCTGGTGGCCGTTCACGTACGCTGGGCGTGTGCGTGCCGGCGTAAACATGAAGCAGATGGTCTATTCTGTTGTTACAGAAGATTTGGCGAAAGAATAAAGTAATGCAGACGAAGAACCGCTCCAGATTTTGTTTTGCATGCACCAATAACGAGCTGGGACTGTTACTGAATGTAACACGGGAGTTAAAAGCGGCTGTGGCGGCGGGAAACAGACTGGGAGTCACCGCAAAGTAATTATGGCGTCATGCACAGGACAAGTGTCAGCTGTGAGTGTTGTTTGCACGGTACAAAGTATTTTAATAAAAATACCTAATCAAAAACTCTGTCAGCAGCATCGTGTTTCTGCTTTGCATGACTTATGAGAGCCAATCAGAGAGCCGAGCGTGAGCGTCCGCGTCATCGTTTCTAAAGTGCTCCGTTTTTGCCCGGCCGCACTAAAACGCTTTGTTTTAAAAACAAAAAACGTGGTCGGCAGCGTTTTCAAACTTCCCCGTTTTAGTCTGGACGGGAGGAGCAAACGGAGCAAAAGGTCTCCGTTTTAAACCCAAAACGCAACAGCGTGGGCGGGGCCTAAGTTTGTTACACCAGGTGGGACTCCGGGTGACCCCCGTTGTTTTTAACAGGAAACTGAAGTCTCGCTCTGAAATCTCGTAAGAGGAGAGTTGTTGCAGGAAGACGCTGGAGGAAACGAGCGAGAGGAGTTTGTTGTGCTGGAGTAACGTCAGCAGCTCCTCTACATGACGGGAACGAGAAGCCGCCTGCGAGGTTAACGGCGTGAAGTAAAACTTGTTTCCTCCAGTAGAACGCGTTTCTATTCTCTGACAAAATCATCGAAAACTCTGAGGATGTTTGGATTTGTTGGGGGAGAAAACGAGACGTTTGAAGACGTCACTGGGACGCTGAGACGGACATCTTATAAAGTGAAACATTAAGTTATCTCACCGCCTGCTGCAGCCGACAGCCTTTAGACGCCACATCTCTCTTTGCGTCTCCAGTTGAGAGGTTTTCCCTTAACGGACAAGAAAATAGAGAATATTTAAAAGTTTTTCTTTACAGCTTACCGACAATCAGGGCTGAACTACTCAGAAAGAATTGCAATTATTTTGACTAATATTGTGATATGATTTGCGAAGTTAGGGTGAATAATCATAATTATTCTCATTTATTGAAAAGCATTTAAATAATTATAGAGATCTGTACCAAACAAAGAGTCTGAAGAACAGGATGTGTAGAGTCACACATTTAGTGATTTCATTAATTGTTCAGCCCTGTCGACTCACGTGGGAGTGACGGCGTAAATATTCACTCTGCCTGTGGACAGAATATAAACTGAAGTTAAAGTTAGAAGCTGCCTGTTTTTCCACCAAATCCCAAATGAAATGAATCAGAAATAGCAGATGAAGCACCAGCCAACGTTTTAATAGTTTTCTATATTCATGACCAGCAGTGATGCCACCTGACCCGTGTCCTACGGTCCCCGTGGCCCCCAAAAGTTTCCATTTAAAAAATGAAAAAATTAAACTACAAAATGACACAAATCAGAGAAACTGTAGGAAGACCGACAGGAAGCCATCTTTGAAAACAGAACAGATGATTAAAAAAATGTACGAAAGTGTCCCACAGTCAGGAAACTTCCACACTCTCCTGAGAGTTCATCAGGTGGGTGGAGTCAAGTTGCTTCTTATTTCAATACTTTTACAGTCAGTCTTTTCTTTCTCCCGCCGCCGTCCACAGGG